GTATAGAAAGAGTATTGTTCATATTTAAAGGAGGATCACCACATGTGATCCACATTTTGCCTCTACCTCACCTGGGTGGAGAGTGGCAAATGTAGATTAATGTCTGCCAAAGGACTTTAGTGCCGGGCTGGGATTGGAACCCTCAACCCTTGGATTGAGGGTCCAAGTAAATAAACCACTATACCACAACAGGTCCTCTATCTGATGGCAGATCTACACCTGTACTGTAATATGATAATATATCTGCAAAGTGCAAAGAGAGTTGAAGAGACATCGATAATGTATGTGCAATGTTTAGTGAAGGAAGTTCATGAGGTTAATTCTTGGAATTAGAAACCATTATCCGCAGGGCAACTTTTGAAAAGGAAAGTATTTTCCTAGTCATGCTGTTTTGTGGTTCAGAAAGTCATGTTTTACACACTATAACCTAGGAATCAGTTATTTTCCATACAGTGCAACAAGTTGAGAAATCACCAGAAATCATTTTATTCTGTGCCTATCAGAAAGTCAGGAACAAATGCAAGGCTATCATATGTACATTCCCAGAAATAGAAATGAAAGCTTTGACCTTATTCTGAAAACCTCTTCACAACCCATTTCAATCTATATTCAGTCTGTTCAGAGCCAGACAGAGTTACCGTAACTCTGTGTGAAAGTAAACAAGTATATCCTTCTGGCTCCAAACAGATGATATTGATGTGAATTTTTTTGCCTCAGAAAATTCAACTTCTCTAGTTGGCTATTTCTTATCCCTGTAGACAACAAAATTGAAAAATTTGCCTCTAAATGGCAATTTCGTCCTTCTGCCAAATAAACTACAATTTGTTTGATTCTGCGGGTATTTTATCTACAAACATACATTTCCACCAGTATATCTGTAATCTGTAGATCAAAGATATGACATTCCTTGCACACTGTAAGGGGTGGGAGACTTCAGGCTAATCAAGAAGACCAATCTAGTGTTAGGGTTTCGGGTCTTGACGTATAGGATGGACGCTTCTAGGACCTGGAAGTCACTCTTCTGACCTGTCAACGCAATTACTGCAACGGTTAACCCATAAGCCCTGAAAGAAAATTACGAAATAAGGAATATCAGAACTTGTTGATGACATTCAAAAGATTAGATGAATTAAAGAGGCCCCTGTATGTGCTACTTTTATGTCTTTGATTTCAGAATAGTTTATAATTTGTCTTCTGACCTGTCAACGCAATTGATCGCAAGTGGTAACCCACTAACTGTTAAGAAAAGTGATGCCATGCACAACAAGAAGTATAAAACCTCATTGATAACATTTAAATCCAATTCAATTCAATAGGTATTCGATATAGTGCCTTTTCCTTGCAGCGACAAGGTGCCCAACACATCATTCCACATGTTTGGGCCACTTGAATGATGAAATTTAACTTTATAAAAGACCAGTTGAGCCGATACAATCCATTGTTTTCTAGCAAAATAAATGAGACTTCAGTAGTTTCCTGAACTGGTTAAACAGCTGAATCTGACTTCACTGTAGTAGAAAGCTGGTTCTTATACTTTGTTGCAACTGATGGAAAAGACATTTCACCTAGGACAGAAAGGGTTAACTTAGATTGTTTTGGAAGTATTAATCTTGGCATTCATGCAGTATCCCAAACGCTAGCCAAGTTGTGAATAGGATGCAATCAAATCGGGAGCGCCAGGAGGGTCAATTCTGACTGACAAGAGCGCGATACAAGAACCCATTATTATTATTATTATTATTATTAAATAAAGCAGAGCCGGACCACAAAGATCAGGACCATATGTACCTGTAGTCCCTGAAGAGATTTGAAATAAAAACCAATTGGAGATTGCGGAATATTAGTATTTATGGGGATCAAAACATATCACAGAAATTGACTTCAACACATGCAGGTAGTTGGGCTCTTTACTAAACTTGAGTTTGATTTGACACTGCTGTAAAATTTAAGATAAGTCTATAAGGCAATCATGTTGATTTAAAACACTGTCTAAATCGTCATGTTTTACACTTTAATGAGACAAGTTACGGTTTTGAATATTTATGTGCAAAAAAAACGGGTTATTTGGTTTAAGGTTGGTGACCTGTTTTTAAAACAATTCCTTAAAGAGTACCTTAAAATGGACAGTTCAGCACTCTTCAGCAACAAGCAGTAACATATTTGACCAAAAATATTTTCTACATGCCCCCTGTGTTGATTTTTATAACTTTATGATAAAAAAGGCAGAGATATGTGAAGCAAGGTTATTTTTGTTGAATTTGGTGGACAGTTGTAAGCATTGTGCCTCCAAAAGTTTGACATCTTAAGTAGATCACATGCATTTTGGCATGACTAGCTTACATGATGTAACTGCCTTGGAAGTAGGTCATTTTACATGAACACTGTAGCTCTAGAGGTGACACTTTATCACTACAGATGACTTCAGCCTATTTTACCACACTATTTAGAAGGATATTTCTGCATTTTAAAGCTGTTTGTAGTTAAAAATCTGTGATTTTGGCCTTTTGAAGTTCTTAAGATGTTCTTGCGAGCATTCTTGATCAAATCTCAGAGGTTGCTTGTTCTCGTATAGATCCTGGTTTGGAAAATTTTTATTTTTCACCTCTACCTAAATATGAACATTGGTCATACTTGAGCCAGAAGTACCCCTACACTTCAACATGTTATTCATGTACAATGTACATGTACATGTAGATTATCTCTGTCTTGTAAATCTAGCATCACTGATCCTGTCAAGGTCCAGGAGCTATCGTGATCACCTCTAGATTTGATTGTTTTACTGTTCTTGTGGATCCTTGCGTCATGGAAAGATAAAAAGACAAATGTGTGGGTCATGGAAAAGATTGAAACAGACTTGACCATCAGAAGGGGAATCATGGAAAGAAAACTAAACTATTTAGGGCACATTGTTAGGAGAGCTGAAGGTGTTGAGAAGCAAATACTGCAAGGAGCAGTCAAAGGAGAACGGGGTAACTAGAGGTCGTCCACCAATATCTTGGACTGATGATATCAAGAAAGTGTCTGGACAAGGAATGAAAGGTGCAACACAAATGGCAGGTGAAAGAGTTGCATGGCGTACTCTCGTGAAGACCACAGCAGCACTTTACAGCGCCACCTGAAGTTAATGATGATGATGATGATGTGGATCCTTGTGTTGCATGGATCCTAGGTTGCATTTATCGACCAGATTTTTGGCTAGAATCAGGTTTTTCAAACGTCTTTCAGGCAAATTTAGAAGGTGATAAACGCAAAGCCTTTTTTAAAGGGCTTTAGATATGGGCATATCTAAATACGCAAAAAGGTGTGTTTTGTATGTGACATACAGCCAGAATCACGTTTCTGAGAGATCGATAAACGCAAAGCTGTTTTAAACCTCACATACAAATAGGACCACCCAGGTGTTACGTACACGCATGTGTGTGAAGTTGACCTCCGAGAAACTGTCTGCTTCCCGGGTCAAAACAGCTGGGCAGACACAAGGCCTTTATTTTGAATCGTGAAAGGACGATAAACGCGACATCCCGCAAATCACGATCGTATAGTGGGGTATGATAGTGGGGTTCAATAGTGGGGTACGATATGTACATATCTAGTGGCAAGCCCCGATAAATGCACCCCTAGTTTAGCAAAGAAGATCACCTTTAGCATAGAAGATCACCTTAAAAGACCAATTCTCGTAGGAGCAAGTGTGTTAACCGTTATGACCTGCAGTACAGCTAGTGCTCTAATTTGACATCACCTCTTCTAACTCTTCTATCTTATCCAGTGGCATTGACCCTGTTGTGTTTCATCATGGTCTGCTCTACAGAGTGATCTACATTAATCCACAAATCCAAGAAAGAGGCCATGTGTAGAAGTATGATGAATCTCTCCCCTGTTTAGACAAGTTTCCTGAATTGGTTGTATGCTATATGATTAAAGTCATTGCATTTTTCGAGTCTCATTGTCTTATAATGAAACATTGTATAGTGAATTGGATGCTTGATCATCGTTTTGAATGAAAACTCGATAAAGAATCATCTAAAACTCTAAATGTTGTATTGTCCGAAAATTAGATAGTTGAGTGGGGCTCGTTTCGAGCGCGTAAAGTTCACCGAACTCCCTTCAAACATGATTCTTTATATGACGTTTCGATAGACGATGATGTTATGTAGTTTTTATTCCCTTAACGCTACACTATGATTCCCTGCATGTAGACGTTTCTTATGATGAGTTTTGTAAAAAAAACTCTGTAGTCTAAACAGTCTATCTGTCAAATAAAAAGCAAAGCTTGATAGTGTACATGTAGAGCAGGAGTAATTGATGATTAATTCCTTTCATTATCCAGCCAAGGTCAAACAAGAAGCAAAGTGCAGGCCACGGAAATCGACACGCTCATTTGCCGACGATTCCAGTTTATGTTTATATCAGACTCAGAGGAATAACAGGGAAATGAGGGCTTTGTTGAAGTAGCCTTAGGAAACCCGGGGAGAAATGTTTTCATTAAGTCCATACCCACCAGATACCGGGCTTCCTCTGTCATTGACAGGCTGTGATGTTTGATCTAATTTGTAATGGATTAAGGTGGGCATATGAAGACATTTAGCCAGGGGTCTCACCAGGGCAGAGAAGTTCTCATGAAGGGAAGTCTTGTTTATTATGAAGTAACATGTGGTGTATTCGTGGAAGGAAGCCGAGGATCAATATTTTTCCACATCAATTCTTTGGCAATACTCATTCATATCCGTCTCCTGCGTGTCGATCTACCGGTGCACTGTACTCTCCGAAATAGGCCCAGGTCGTGATGTTTGCTTCAACTGGTCTGGAATTTATAGAATGTCTTATAAATGTGAATCGCGGTTCATTGTGTTGAAATTGAAAAATTCTTTGAATCTGACAAATCTTTGAGTGATGCTTCCAGAGAACATGTTTTGAACAAATGATTTAAAAAAAAATTAGTTTGGAAAGTGTGTGTGTGTGTTAGATAATCAAACAGTGTTTATTTGAACAGAAGTTAAACAGAATACTTTTATCTGCATGTTCAAATTGTATAATGTCACAGAAGCACCCCTTAACCAGTGGTTGAGTTGATACGAGAATAGATCCTGCGTGGCGGGGTGTTTCCTAATTGAATTCAGCGCGATTGAGTCTGAGTGACTTCTTTGTTGAATCATCCGTCATTACAGGAGGAGGAGGTTTGCTCGTCCCTCCGTGAACGATTATCCTGCAGCTGCATGTCGCTTTACGACTCGCTGTCGCAGAGTGACATAGTGGGCATAGCAGCGTTCGTTGCCATTGTCTGACTGTCAAGATTGTTTTCTCTCCCAGCTTTCGAAGTTTAAGTTTGACATGTATGTAACAATGAAGTGAGTCATTAAGGATCTTGAGGCATAGATTGTGAGTACGGTAAACAGCCATTCAAGGGGTTTGACGCTCCTGCACGTACTAGCTGATTGTCTCATTTCTTGGATCGTTACCTCTGGATTATTAATCATGGGAACAATACCTGCTTTTTAAGTTGAGCCAAAACTTACAAAACTTGAAGAAACTTGTAAAGATTGTGAACGCTGTGATTATTGCACTGCAAGGGGAGATATCATTAATTTTGTGTCTCTGAGAAAGTTTGGTGGTATATTGCAAAGATGATGAAAACGGCCATTGCCCAGTTTGCTTTCCAAAGCCAGTACAATCGGAATAAGACTCCTATACCGCCACCGCGGAGGAAAACCAACCCCGCAAGGACTAAACTCACCAAGAAGGTAAATATATGGCATGTCTGGATTTACTCTGCCGTACCAAAAGGTTCATGAGAAAAAGAAAAAGTTGTTAAAGATCTTTGAAGAGTCAAAATCATGGTTTTCTATCTTTGTTTCATCATGAATTTTGAGTAGTTTTGAGTAGTATTCTTTTTGGAATTTTACTTTACTATATATGTACCTCAAACCAATACAATACAATACAATAAAATCATTTCTATAGTGCTCTTACAAACTAACTGTTGTTTTACAGGGCTTTACATAAAAGTTATCAAAGAATCTATTGTTGATCATGGTCAAAGCGGAGAGTTTTAAGACATTTTCGGAAGTACCTGTGTCTGTTTCTCAAGGGAAGGAAATAAAAATGCAATTTTAGTCCAAAATTTTAGCATAATAATAGAAGGCATTAGAATGTTCACAATAAACTTCTGACTAATACATGTACATGTAGGCAGAGAGTACACAAGTTCCATTTGCACTGAAAGATGAAGGTGCAATTCAATGAACACTCCCAAAGTAAGGTCATGCTACGTTTTCCTAAAAATTGAAATTTGTATATTTATTCATCAATGTTTGCCTACCAACCTTTGCAAAAGTAATGCTGAATATAAAGAAATGCACAGATGCAAAAGACATCTACAGCACATCGAATTTATTTCATTTTTTGCCTGAAACTTACAATATGTTGTATCAAGCATTCAATTAAGATTGCTGCACATTTAAAGCAATTTATTGTGAAAACGTTTGAAAAGCAAACTCGGGAACCAGCGAATTCTATGATATTGGGAGACTTTTAAAGAAAACTTATCCGAAGTAGGTCATTCCAAAACATTAAAAAAGAAAGGAAAAAATTGACATTGAATTTTATATCTTGTTTTTTCCTGACTTAAATTTGCCTTACAAGGTAAAGAAAAGATTATCCATAGAAAACAGAGGAAAAAAGTTTTGGAATTGATGTCTTCATTGTATTCTCAGTATGTTTTTCTAGCTCCTCTGCAACGACCCTGAAAACAATTGTTACATTAATTGGGCCAAGAAGGTGTCTTTTGATCGACTGTAACAGGGGAACAGCAGACCTTGATTGGAACATACAGGGTGTACAATGTAAAAGCTGACAGTATACTGTAACCACAAATTCTGTAAACCTTACTTTTAAACTCTTGTTTTGTTGACTATATGCACATTTCAGACTCTTTGCTTTGCAGTGTGTATAAAAATGATGGGAATTAGGATTTTGTGCAATGCATTTCAGGTAGTGTGCTCATATAAAAAAACAATTAGATATACATCTATATTTTTATTGTTCTCTTTTTCTGTACAGTGTGTATCAACAATTGTTTTGAAGTTGTATAAAAGTCTTGTATACATTCGAGTTCTGAACCATACAGTGGATATGAAATTTGTTAAACATTCTTTCTGCTCTCCCCCACCCCATCCCCTGCTTTTATTTGTCTATGGGTTCAGTGGTTTAATTGATGTTGGTGTCACATTTACATGTACCATAGATAAGTTGCTCAACTTCTAGACCTCTTTACATTAACTATTTATTTTAGTTGAAGATTATCAATTATTTAACCATGTGCAAAGTGTCTGTACAATGGTTTATAGGAATGATTTATGTTGTGTTTAGGAGAGTTAGACTACTGGAATGTGTCACTAATTTAAGTTACATTCAAGACTTGCAAACTTTGATGATGTCACTCACTCGATGTTATCCTTCATGTTTATAAGAAGCTATGTTCTCATGGTACCATTGTAGTTTTAAACTTAAAGGTAAAGACCAGTATTGGCAACGCCCCAATTTCAAAAAATGAAATGGAAGCTCTCATTACCAATCATGTGAAAGAATATGTTTTGACTAATACATGATGATAAAAAATTTGCCGGGAAACCGCCTACTAATTCATATATTTGGTAAATTTATTTCTCTCATGGTCTGGTGAGAGAGATAGGGTAGTCCCATATACATCTTTCTGTGTATAGTGCTTGTAACTTTACGAAGAATGAGCCAAATTTCTTATCATTTTGATGATTCCAGAACCTTGCAGATGCTAGATGCTAGATGATCGACCTTTTCTGATCGATTCCACAACGTTTCTTTCACAATGCAATCGCATGACCATTACTGGTCTTTACCTTTAAAGTTAGTGAAACCTTGAAGCTTAAAAACAACAACCCAATGAGAGAGGTGAATTTTGCTGTAGCTGTTTCTTCTTCTTACATGTAGTTTGACAGAGTTTGCTTCTTCTATGATTGATTGTTGGTTGTTTTGGTGTTCATCTGTTATTTGTGTTACACTGGTGGCAGCGGTGGGATGTAAAAAGTGTATTAAACTTCTCTCACTAGATGTTTAGTTTGACTGAGCTTGATTTAGCATGATTGATTGTAAGGTTTTTTGGTGTTAATTCTCGTCGTTAATTTGAGAAGTGTTACACTGGTGGCAGCGATGGGATGTGAAAAGTGTTACATTTCTCTCACTAGCTGTTAAGTTTAACTGAGCTTGATTTTACATGATTAATTGTGGGGTGTTTCGGTGTTATTTCTTGTCGTTAATTTGAGAAGTGTTACACTGATGGCAGCGGTGGGATGTGAAAAGTGTTACATTTCTCTCACTAGCTGTTAAGTTTAACTGAGCTTGATTTTACATGATTAATTGTTGGTTGTTTTGGTGTTCATCTGTTATTTGTGTTACACTGGTGGCAGCGGTGGGATGTAAAAAGTGTATTAAACTTCTCTCACTAGATGTTAGTTTAACTGAGCTTGATTTTACATGATTAATTGTGGGGTGTTTCGGTGTTATTTCTTGTCGTTAATTTGAGAAGTGTTACACTGGTGGCAGCGGTGGGATGTGAAAAGTGTTACATTTCTCTCACTAGCTGTTAAGTTTAACTGAGCTTGATTTTACATGATTAATTGTGGGGTGTTTCGGTGTTATTTCTTGTCGTTAATTTGAGAAGTGTTACAATGGTGGCAGCGGTGGGATGTGAAAAGTGTTACACTTCTCTCACTAGAGCTGTTTAGTTTGACTGAGTTTGATTTGGCATGATTGATTGTGGGGGTGTATCAGCATTCATGTGAGAAGTGTTAAACCACTAACAGTGATGTGGGTGCACAGGTGACTGAAACAACATTAAACTACAAGTCAAGCAAGCAGTAGTTGTAACTAAAGGCTGGTGAAACCTCTAAGTTGCTTTTGTACACACTTCATGTAACTCCAAGTTAAGTCCCCCTCCCCCTCCTCCCCCTCCTCCCCCTCCTCCCCCTCCTATGGCTCATAGTCACAGTTGTATTTTGCTAACCATAAGATTGCTCATGATTAAAACTTTGGGTTAAACCATGAGTGCATCTGCATGGCCCTTAACTACAATATAACTTCAACATTTAAAACCATGAGCATAACTTCAGGTGTACTTCTTGGTCCCTCTGTCGTGTGAACTCATCTAGAGCCTTGGAGCGTTGTAAATCCCTACTCATTCAGTGGGTGATTAACCGCTGTGATAACAAGAAATGAGGATCTTAGCACTCCTCCTGAAAGACAGACTGAATCTTAGTTGCACCAAGAACTTAGAAGTTGGTTGCACTCCCAGGCCCTTGATTCATACGCACATTGGGTATTTGGTTGAGTTTTGTTAAAGATAAAGACCAGTTATGGTCATGCGATTGCATTGTGAAAGAAACGTTGAGGAATCGATTAGAAAAGGTTGATCATCTAGCATATAAGTATTGGTGTTTACTGCAAGGTTCTGGATTCTGGAATCATCAAAATGATAAGAAATTTGGCCCAGTCTTGGTAAAGTTACAAGCACTGTATACAGAACGATGTATATGGGACTACGCGACCCGTGCGCGATATCTATCAGGTCCAAATAGATATAATAATTTACCAAATATATCAATTAGTAGGCAGTTTCTAGGCAAAATTTGTATCATCACGTAGTTAATAGTCAAAACATATTCTTTCACATGATTGGTAATAAGAGCTTCCACATCATTATTTGAGAGGGGGGCATAACCAAAACTGGTCTTTACCTTTAAGTTTTTTCAAGGAGATCCGAGACGAGCATCTCCTTGGTTTTTTTAATAGGATATAATGATGATACAAATGAATATCCATGGTTTATTCAGCACTTAATAAAACCACAATGTCTATAAGCACTTAAGAAATATAAGTTTATTACTCTAGCCATCAAGACAGATTGTGTGCGCTTAAAGGTAAAGACCAGTATTGGAAACACCCCAATTTTAAAAAATGAAATGGAAGCTCTCATTACCAATCATGTGAAAGAATATGTTTTGACTAATACATGATGATAAAAAATTTGGCGGGAAACCGCCTACTAATTCATATATTTGGTAAATTTGTTTCTCTCATGGTCTGTGAGAGATATAGGGTAGCCCCATATACATCTTTCTGTGTATAGTGCTTGTAACTTTACGAAGAATGGGCCAAATTTCTTATCATTTTGATGATTCCAGAACCTTGCAGATGCTAAATGCTTGATGATCAACCTTTTTTGATCGATTCCACAACGTTTCTTTCACAATGCAATCGCATGACCATAACTGGTCTTTACCTTTAACTTGACTACGATGTCTTTAAGCGCTTCACAAAAATATTATTACCCTAGTCATCAGATCCAAGCTTAACAGCACATACTGTATAATGTATTGTGTGCACATTCTCCTCTCTCTGGAGAGCCAAGTTACTTTTTAACGGATGACCACAATGCTGAACAAACCACAAGGATTTTTACATCAAACTGAGTATCCATTCAATTAATGAATTAATCTGGATGGAGAGAAGCATTGTAGAAAAAAAAGCCTTGCCTAAGGATATAATTTGTTTAGAATTATATGATTTATTTCCCTTCTAACGCTCAACGGATCATATCATCTTGTATAGACATATCATCTTAGTAGAGACATAACATCGTGTAGAGACATATCATCTTTGTACTATGAAAGCCATTGTGATAATGATTTTCTTTTTCCTTTTCAAAGCTCCTTAATGATTAGACAGGATTGTTTTTCTTCAGCATATGAAGCTAAATTTAGAGTCAACTTTATTTTTTCTGGATGTGGTGCCAATTTATAGCTTTAATGTGAATTATGGGATTAACTCATTGATATTACACATGCATGTTGAACTGTGCTTTGATACATTTAATCGAATCAATATGTGATTTAATCTTTGACAGTTGTATGCCTAGATATCATTTGTTCATACTGATAGTACCTGAACATCTCATATCATCTTTTAAAAACTCTTTTTGGCCACTTAGTATTTGGACGATTGTCATGAATAAACTTCCAAAAGTGAAAATTTGATTTAGAGGATTGTTTGTTGATTGACAAATAGTGCTAGAAATATCTTTCATAGATACTAACTGCTTGATAAAGGTATGTGCCTCTGTTTCTTGAAGAAAAATGTAGACTTTCTCAGTCCAAACTGCCTACAGCTTGGCAGGAGTTACTTTGTGTTACATCCTGATTTCCTGGACATCTAGAAATAGTCTGTGCCAAGAAGGGCATTAACTTTTCATTCAAGTACACGTCTGTTCACTCCGAGCAGATAGTTGCATGCTGTGATCCTTAATTATTATTGATGTGATTGTGTTGTTAGTATTAGCATATATTTAATAATGATTTCATGTTTTATTTAATATTGTTCATATGATTTTCTTTACAGTCTTCGGATCCGAACAGCAAGTTCCACCCATTCAGCAACCTCTCTGAGCTCGTCAACAGCTACAAGATTACCAACAATGGTCTCTGCTGCCCTCTACAACATCCCGTCGAGGCCAAGAAAGAAGAGGAAGACCAGGACACAGGTAGGTTTAACGTTGTAGACTATTCTTAGCAACTGGAACAAGTCCAAGGGATTAATAATCAAATTTCATGAAAAAGGAACGCTGTGGAGTGGTCATTTAATGGCACTTGTGAATGTAACTAGTCTGCAAGCACAGCAAATAATTTCTAGCTAATATGGGAACATGAGGAGCATTTTAAGAGCAATCCTTTTCATATGGCTATGATATTCTTCCACATTAGGAATAAAACAGAGGAAAATGTTTGGACGTTATCTTTTATCTGAACCAGAACTTGCAATCGTCTTTAAACTTGAGGTACAGGTGTACATGTAGTTCTGCTAAGTAATGACAGGAAATGATTCATGTGGAATTAAATAAAATTACACTGAATGTTCAAGATTAGAAATCGATGATGTCTGCCAAATGATCGTGGTAGAGAGCGGAGCGAAGTAAGTTACAGGGAATCGAGTTTGTTGCCCTGCCACGACCACTAGGATAACATGTGATCTCGTGCGTGAAAGATGAGTTGTGCTTTTCAGTGACCATGAAGTTGTAGGTCTATTTATATTCTTTTCGCTGGTTCAGACAACATGCCCATATAGCATGATAAACAAACAATTTAGAATTATCTTCTGCCAGTTCCTCGTAGAAGACGATTCATTTCCAGAATCCAAATATTAGCTTGAAGTTTTTAGGTCATGGTAAGATAGAGCATAATGCTTTGAGAGGCTATCTTTTGAATGCTCATCTTCCAAAGCAATTTAATTTCTATTTTGCTTCATTGTCTGCACCCAAGAGTATCCACCCCTGTGTACATGTATAGAAACTAGCACATGCTGTTAGACAGAAAGTATATCATAAGTAGAATTCAACAAGAGCGTAGAATTACTAGTGAAAGTGATCATGGGGAGTGCTTGCGTCATGACAGAGTCATTCAGACCTTCAGTTCTTGATCTTCAATTTTCAAAGGCACTGTAACTGTTTCTCATCAAACTTATGTATTTATGTTAAAACTAATTAAGAAAATGAAGAATAATATCTGTTGAGAGTCAGGTGGGTATCGTTAACCTTGCTTTAAGTGGATATGAGTTAAAACCCTTTTTAATTCGGAGCAAATGGATTTTTCTTTCAAAGATATGAGAATTATTGTATGTCAGAGTCACATATACATGATAATTTCTCTTATTTTTCAGTATGACACTTAAATTGAGATTTAATGTCAAGCTACATGATTTTCATTATTTGTGGCATAAATATTAAGGGTAGTTATATTGTTTGATTTACTTTAAAATCCCCCCAAGTATAATTACTCTTATAAGTTGAAATACCAGTTATTTGATTCCGCGAAGTTTACGTTCTGCAGTCAAGTGTGGATGCATGTTTGCTTTGACGTTCACGTCATGTTCATAAGAGGCCTCCACAACGTTTCCAGAACGTTTCCTCCCCACTCATTGAAATCATCCACCCCACGTCGTCGCCACAGTTTCTATTTTAGGGTCCTGGGCAAAGCGAGAGCCCGACTGTCAACGAGTAGGCAAAAGATGAAATTGCGGGAATTTCTGTGCAGGAAGTTGGCAGCAATTCTATCTGATTGGGAGGATATCGAAATATAAATAACGACTGTCAAGAGTTAACTCTCTTCCTGCTAAACATTGCTCATGTCACAGTTTACATAATGTAGGACAGTTTTACTGTTTTCACACTGGCAATATTTTGCTTAACCCCGTACTATAGGTGGGGTTAAGGGGGGGTCTTAGCCCCACCTATAGTACGGGGTTAAGCCTATTCCACTTTCTGTTCAGACTGGTTTTTACCAAAGTAGGCTAAAGTTGGCTTACCCCACCTATAGTACGGGGTTAACTAACCCTGCAAAATAGCAGGGCTAACTCCGCAATTGTGGTGCTAACTCCTTCTAACCCCGCAATTGCGGTGCTAAGCAAATGAATGAGAACAGAAACGAAAAATAGTCCGGTACTACGCAATGGAGCGTATCGCAGCTGGCCAGATGCGAAGTATGTCCAATCATAACATTCACGATATCCGGGGTTAATGAAATGCAGTGAGAACAGCGGGAATTTTCTTATTCCGGAATAGGCGCTAGTACGGGACTAAAAACAGCGTGTGTGAAAAGCCGAAAAAATAGTCCGGGGTTAAGGATAGTACGGGGCTAAGCAAAGTACGGGGTTAAGCAAAACCAGTGTGAAAAGAGTATTTATGTTATTGAGATATTTTTTGCCTAGTGTATAGAAACCAAATCAATATGGAATATGAGTGAAAGTATAATTTTCCTTGTTATATCTTTTTTATGCCGAGCTAGTAGACAAATAATAATCAGTTTAGTAAAACCTTTGATGTGTTCAGTAACAACACATATCCTGGACCTGCCCATGTACATGTACTGACATAGTCTGGTTGTTCATTTTTTTTTGTGGAAACTCTCATTAAAGGAATCTTGTCCATTAATCGGCAAGAACACAATAATCTGTCAGAATAACTGAAGTTATTTCTTAGGTAAAGTTTTCTTTTAAGGCTTGTGTACATATCTGCCATGATGACACAGATTTTCAAAAGCATGTTTACATGTACAAGTGTACTGCACTTCACATTTTTGTAGTTCTTATACTATACTATAAATGTTTGATACTTCTTGTGTGAACTGTGACGTATTGCATATCTAGACACTCCCAATCAAGCATCTTTATCTTCTCCTGCCTTTCTCACCATCTTCTTCCCTTAGATGATGAAGATGAGAGATTTTCCAGCGATACCTCCGGGTCATCCCAAGATGGTCCTCAGCATCTCCTCCAAGCCCGGCTGGACGCCATGGACCTCACACCTCTGGAAGGGGGTGACTTTGTGGGGCGGCTCAAGGAGTATGTGAACAAGGGGGTGCGGGAGGACAGCGAGGAGGTCAGGTTAGGGGGAGGCCACGCCTCTCATTTTAGGAGCATGATGATGGCTTCCACTAAAGATCTCACGAGGTAAGAATCATATTTGATGTGAACTTAAATTTTTGTCAATGAGCTTAATTTGCTCAAGGAAAATTCTTAGTGTTATGGTTGCAGTTGGTTTAAAGGCCCACTGCACTACTTATAGCTACTTGCGCCCTCTATATAGCAAACAATGCCTAATCGTTGACCATTGGTCCCCCATGATCCTCTTTTTCTTATGTTAATTGAGAGCTGAGTTGATGAGATAGCCACCTGTCAGTGACCTCCCTGGGTGGTTTAATCCCTCCTAGCCAAAGTAGTACAGAGGGCTTTTAAACTTTGTCAATGACCTAAAATTTGTAATGAGTTTCATTTGCTCAAGGATATAATGTCAGTGTTATGGTTGCAGTTTGTTTAAAGGTTAGATTGGTTTGGGGTTAAATAAAAAGAATGGAAAGTGTAAAAAGAATCGATAAGGGAAGGATAGAAGATAGGAAGAGGGAAAGAGAGAAAAGAGAGAAAAAGATAAAGGAGAGCTGGGAAGATAGACATTGACAGAAAAAATTGGGAGAGGGAAAAGAAGAATGAGAAATATGAAGACAGAAAGTAAGAGTTGGAAAAAAATGTTAAAACCGCTAAAGCAAGAAAGAGAGAGAGAAAGAGAGAGAGGGAGTGTGGATGAGTGAGTGAGTAAGTGATGAATGAGTGTGTGTATGTGTATGAGAGAGAGAGAGAGAGAGCAAGCAAACGACAGATAGAGAAGTCTTTTTTTTTGGGGGGGGGTTCCCCTTTTCTCACCCCCCTCCTCCATACCCTTCTCTCCATTGACACAAGTCTCATCCTTGAATGGCTTTGTGTATATTCTCCAGATTTACAATATGAATATTGAAAACGTAATCAAACGTAGCTCTATGTGGGGTATCAGTGAGAATATAGAGATTGTAGGTAGTGAGGTTCCTTTTCAGAGTTCATATACTGTAGAAAGATTAGCAGATGGAAAGAAAAGAGAGAAAATTAGATAAAATGTGGGAGAGATAGGTAGATTCATGTTTATAGGAAGCAAGATAGGAGAGAGAGAGAGAGAGAGAGAGATAGAGGTGGGGAAGGGGATAGAGAAATTTATAAAGCTTGGGATGATAAGTGATAAAAATATGAAATGACAAAGAAAAAATTACAAAAGCTAGAGAGAAAGAATGGAAAAACTAAGAAAAAAGAGAGTTAAATTTTGGCAGCAATACAGAACAATAGATAGAGAGGGAGAGAGAGAGAGAGTGAGAGGGCATGCAGGGCGAGCTACAAAAAGAGAAATCTTCTTCTCTTCCCTTTTTCTTACCCCCTCCTCAATACCCTTCTCTCCATTGACGCAAGTCACATCATTGAATGGCTTTGTGTATATTCTCCAGATATACAACATAAATCTTGAGAACGTAATCATACGTAGCTCTATGTGGGGTATCAATGAGAATAAAGAGATTGTAGGTAGTGAGGTTCCTTTTCAGAGGAGAAGAGTTGATATACTGTAGAAAGACTAGCAGAAGGAAAGGAAAGAGAGAAAATAGACAAAATGTGAAAGAGATAGGTAGATTCATGTTTATAGAAAGCAAGATAGAAAAGAGAAAGAGAGGAGGGGGAGAAATTTATAAAGCTTTGGGGTGATGAAAATATATAATGACAAAGAAAAAAACTACAAAAGCTAGAGAGAGAGAATGGAAATACTAAAAAGCAAGAGTGTACGAGAGTTAGATATTGGCAGCAATACAGAACAATAGATAGAGAGAGAGAGAGAGAGCATGCAAGGTGAGTTACAGATAAATAAGTCTTCTTCTCTTTCCCTTTTTCATACCCCCTCCTCCATACCCTTCTCTCCATTGACGCAAGTCACATCCTTGAATGGCTTTACGTTTACCCTCCAGGTTTATGTATACCCTCCAGATATTATAAATATTGAGAAAACATAATCTTAAGTAGCTCTGTATGGGGGTGTCAGTGAGCTTGGCTGAGGGTATTTCCCTTTAAAAGCCCTAGCAAGTGTTGTCACATCGAGCCAAAATGTTGAGTCATAAAACTTGTGTCCAGAGCCAGAAAGGCATTAACTCGGATCATTTTACGCATACAACTGTACTGAATGCCTTGCTGGCTCTGAGAGGTTGATAGGATGAAGGATTAAGAACATAAGTGTGTTCAGAGCCAGAGTGCTGTTAACTCATATCATTTAACACAGTGTTAAAGCCCTTCTGGCTATTTTCATCGTCTTGAGCTAAGGTTTGGATACCCTTACACGAAAGTGACGAAACCATTGTCATTGATATGCCCCAATTAATGCATGAAGGTTTTTAGAAGAAGTATAGAAAATCATTCCAGTACTACTGAACAAACACAATTCATATTGATAAATATATTACAATTCATATTGTTCTAAGTGATTATAATAATTTTTTTTTTTTTACTAACTATAAAAACATACATGTATAATGTGTTATATGTTTCAAATACCAGGGCTGCTTATAGTTACATTATCATCAAATTGATTATATTTTACATTACTCCTATGACAATGTCTGATTGTCATTTTGAAAAGTTAACTACTCCCTTTAATACTAAGACCATTGTTTATTATCATCAAACCACTTCCTTACAATACAAGTAGAATAAAGTACTCGATGCATTTTCAATATGTATTGAAGAGGATAGGGAAAGGATAGCGAAGCAAAGGGGAATTATTTTGTAATTTCCTCTTGTCACTGTATGCATGAACAGCAGATGTCGTGATATTATTGTTCTCTCATACTGCTTACTGTACATGTACAATTACTGGCAATGACGATTGTAGACCTATTCACACTATGAATATGACGGACAAAGAAAGCGGACAAAATATACAGTTCCTCAGGTAGACAAAGGAACATCCCTTCACTGCTATTATGTAAAAATGTGTAGAACACACAGCCACATAATAGCAGTGAAGGGATGTTCCTTTGTCTACCTGAGGAACTGTATATTATGTCCGCTTTCTTTGTCCGTCATGTTCATAGTGTCAATGAGTCTCTGGTGAAACTCTAGTCCCATTTATACTGCAAATCAATTTTTTTGAAAACCATTTACACTACAGAAAAAAGGTATTTGATAATTCTGAGTTTTTTTGTGAGAAGTAAGGAGAGTCATGCAACCAAAAACCGGAAAAATTCACCAGTGTTTTGAGAGCGAACATTTATACTTTGCAAAAAAATGTTGGAATTTTTGCCAGTGTACCAAACTCCAGAGCTAGTTTTTTTTTCAATTTTTATTTTTTTTGTCATGTTTTTGTCTAGCAAACTCTGGAATGTGAGAAAAAACAATGGTTTGCGCTTGTAAGTTTAAATGTAAATGCCCCTTTTGATTGTTGTTTTGAGGTTTTGAGAGATTAAGCATTGTATTGGGTTACATAGGGGGTCGATTAACAAGAAGACTGTTGAAAAGAAATGAAAATATGATTATTAAGGTAGATTTTAATCAACCCATTCTGTAGTATGCAGGCATATATCCTTGTCTGTCATTGTGCATAACAGTGTCTGCAAAGTGAAACTACATTAGGCTCTGTACTTGAGCTTCTCCAGACACAGCCAGAAACTGACAAGGCTCTGCTCAATGCTATAGGAATTGTGGTTAAGTGTCAAATAAGAGTCTGTGCTTGGAGACTACCCATGAATGGAAAATCTCACCCATGACATTTTGTGTTGAAATTTGTGTTTTTACTATGAATGGCAGCATTTTTCCTGGAATTTGAAACAGGTACTTGATTGAGGAACTTTATGTGTATAAGAGATAATTTATGACTAATTTAACAATAAAATGAAGTACCGGTATTACAACACAATTTTGCTCTTAAAGGTTCATATATATGACATTTTTAAAGAAAAAAAATGATGGCACAGAGATGAGGTTATTTATGAATAAGATGAAAATGGGATGGATAAGAGGATGTGAATGTTAGGGTTTATAAATTTAAACGAAAAGGACATTAAATTTAAATTATTGTGGTTTAGGAGTGAAGGGGTGGGGTTGCTTCTCCAGTTTCACTGCTTGACAGTATTGTCATTGCTGTCATTTTTGTTGTTGGTTGCTCTCATGAGGTGTTTTGTAGTGTTCTTTGCAAACAAACTAAAATCAAAACTCTTTTCTCTTTTTATCTCTCATTTGTACAGGCAACTTAACTTTTTCCAACTCCAACTGGATGCTATGCAGTGTCTCTTTGATGTTCAACTCCCATCCAATAAGAAATTCACCCTCCCAGATCATGTAAGTCTTTTTACTTCCCCCCATTAATGTTCATGTTTTATTTTGTAAATAAATACTTGATGAAGGAATAGATCCATGTCATAGTGGGAGTGTCTAAGATATGTGTTTAATTAAGGGTACAGATATAATTTAATGTTATGATTGGAAAAAATAAGAATGAATGACATTTTGAGTTTACAACAATTATGAAAGTGATGCTCACAAGGTAAATCACAGAGTTGCCAATTTTTGATTTATTGATCACAATTTGAAAACTCTTTTACTTCTATGCTTTCGTTGAAGCCAACTTGATGCATGAGTGGACTCCCCCTATAACCTATTAAACATTGTAGATCAAATAATTCAAGCTTTTTATAACTTTTCTTTTTGCAGTCCCCAGTAGAGAGCAGTCCTGAGAACCTATACAAGAGATTTGCAGAATGTGAGAAGCAGGTCAAAAGTCTTGAGTCAAAGGTGAGCTAATATCAATGTCAAATGAATTCTCAATTCTAGTATATTTTTTTCATTACTATCTTAAGGCTTATCATTATGGATTTATTTGAATCAAAATCAGTTTAATATGTTAAAGCTCATGTGCTGGTTGTGTAAGTCAGGAAATTGATACATGTATAGTTTGAACATTGAAAGGTCAAACGTCAAAGGTCAAAATAACATTGCTATGTTGCTATGTCCACAATGTAGTCACAATGTATTGAAAATTTGAGTGTACAAAAGGTTGGCAGGTTTATTGTTATCCTAAGAAACATTGGCTATATTTAAAATTATGAGGAAGTTAAATGTATTGATTTTTTTTAACAACTAGTATGACAACTAATTTGTTTTGTAAGACAGGTTGAGTTTCCTTACTTTATTTTACTTGTCCCGAACTAATTGTATCCAGGTCAAGGCGACGCTACGTGACCTTTACAAGCCCAGCATGGACTCCCATAGCCCATCCTCCACATTGGTTACCAAGGCAACCCCTCAACCAGGAGATGATGCGGATGATGATGATGAGCCTGCTACGTACATGCCTGTCCCAGACAACCTTCCTTCTTTCAGCGACAGGGACGTCCGGGATCTACCCACACGCAATATTCTTCCAACGCCGTTCGAGGTACGGATACATTATTTTCAGAACAGAATCCTGATAATGTTGATTGTTCTGGATTATTGCAGAGAACAATTTTTGCTGTGGCAACAATGATTCAGTTTTATTTTGTCAAAGATGTAGGTTGTCGATAATAATGTTTTCAGTAAGGTATAGTGTTAGGGTTGAGGTTTGGTATACTGTGGTCCAGGGTTGACGTTATGAATTTGGTTACCATGACAAATCCTCTTCTCTTTAATCTGAGTCTTGGAATGGGCGCCCGTAAGTATTAGTGTTCGTATTGTGCAGCTTTTCAGACTCATGATAAAGGTAATTTCTATAGTTTAATGTGTAGAAGTTTTATTTAAGTACGCATTAATTTAATGCACGCAATAGATATGTGAAAAGGGGTATGAGTCTATGCTCATTTGTTACTGCAATTTTTAAAAATGTTTTCACATGTTTCTCATCGTCTCGTTCAGGTGAAAGTACTCAACGTTCCATCCTTGACACATCCAAAGGTCAAGTTGACCGTTGACCTCGCGACTGGTCATCTGGTGGTGGCCAAGATAACAGGCAAAGAGATGAATGAAGATGTCCAGTTATTGACTCATGATAAAGGTATAAAATGAAGCCTCACTTAAAATTTTGTGTCGTTTCAAATAAATTTTTATTTTGAAAAACAGTTGGATAATATCATGTGGGAGTTTGCTCATGAATTGCTGGTACATGTATATTGGCAAATATACTCTGTTAACTTTTGGGGTACTAATAAAATTTCAATGATTGAGATAATCACAACACGCAGTTTGAGCATCTAACAGCCTCAAAATTAGCTGGCAAGCTTTCATCCACTTCTGTAAACCTTCTCAAGCCCAAGTGATTTCTCAAAAACTCCTGGCTGTCAATTGTCTTGAGATACATGTAAATGAAACAAAGAACAAAGATAAGCAACAGTATAACATGCTATTCATTAACTGACATTAATATTTATTAATTATTTTAATTAATTTGCATTTTATCAACATCAAATTTCATGACAGTCAATCCATCTGGTGTTACATCTCCAATTACATTTTTGATTAATTTGTCATTTTCAGTTGCCCAGCTGATCAAATCAAAGACGAGTAACACCAAGCTAGCCATCAAACTGAGCAACGGAAAGAAGAAGGAGTATGCCTTTGAGGATGCCAAGGTAAGGTGAAGGTGCCACGTTGTAGGGAGTCATTCACTTGACTTTCAGTCATAAGGTTAAGGGTTCAAATCCCAGCACGGAACTAGCATCTTTTAACAAGACATCAATCAGCATTTGCCACTCAACATCCGGATATAAATTGATGGCTGAAATGCTGGAGCGTTAGTTACTTTTGCGGCTCGGCCATAATAAAGATAACAATGTTTAAGCGCCATGAGTACCACAGTTTGGTGGATATAAACGCTACGTAAGAATTATTATTACTCGTCAAGACATTGATCTACAGTTGCCACTCTCAACCCAGGAGTAGTAAAGCGATAGTGAGTGTGAAGTACCCTCTTTAATGCTTTAAGCGCTGGAGGGCAGCTTGGCTAAGGACAGGGTCATAGTATTACTCTCTAGTCGCCTTGAGGAAAAAGGGATAACCTTATGATTAATTCTTTTTTTTTCTACCTTGTTTGACTTTCAAAACATTCAACAGAATGCCTTAGTTGACTTTTATCACACATACAGTGCCTATTTTACACAAATGGAATTTGCAGTCCAGAGATTTAGTTCCTGGCAAATGAAGAGTTATTTGCTATTGTTTGATGTGGTTATATCCGCTAGATTGGAAACAAGACATATTTTATCAGATGTTACAGAAAAAAGTTGTACCGTAGGCCTACTCTAATATACAAATAATATGAACAAAGATAAAACTGACAAATATAACCTTGTTTATGTCAAGCGTATAGAATTTGTTCATTCTACATATGGTAATGTCTGCTTTGGTTTTGTCTTCTGCACAGAAACGAGAGACATTTTGTCAGATGCTACAGTACATGAAGATGGTCCATTCTAAGAGCAAGGAAGTAGATCAGATCTCTGTCTTCATTGGAACATGGAATATGGGTAATTATTTTTTAATTACCTGTGAATGGGTTTGTTATACAAAATCTTTTGATGTCCTCTATATGAATTTCAGTGTAAATATCTGAAAGTTCACTTCTATATACGTCTCCCAGAGCTGCCAACCATTCCGTTTTTGCTGGAATTACTCCGTTTTTTTCCTCCAAATTACGATATATCGTAATTTTTTTTCTTCATTTTTAATATTTTTTTTACATACCACAACTGCCCTAAAATGGTGATTTCATCACAAATTCAATAGAAAACTAATTTTAAAAACATACTTGAAGAGAAAAATATTCTCAAAAAGAATGAAATGCTAATAATACCAAAATAACCAAAACAAAAAAAACCTGCTTGTATGGAAAAAACAGCATGAGGAATGAACATTTCTGCATTGAAAGTGTGTCACGCGTGGTTGTAAGTTTCCTTTTTATGAATTTCTTTTTTTTGGTTGAAATTCCTTTTTTTTGCCATCGTGATTCCTTTTTTTGGTCACACAAGGTTGGCAGCTCTGGTCTCCTTGCTATTAAAGATCTTTTGTCCACAGCTTTCCATGCAGCATTCTCAAAGTGTTGTAGAAATCGCAGGCAGGGAATTTATCTTTCATCTCTCAATTGTTTGGTTTTCCTCTTAAGGAGTACAAAACTGGAAAACATAATTACTATTGCCAGTGTCTTGATATGTATCAACTAAAAATCAAAGAAATTTGTTGAAAAATTTCAGAGGCCTACCCAAAAAAACTATCATCATCATCAACTTCAGGTGGCGCTGTAAAGCGCTGCTGTGGTCTTCACGAGAGCACCCCATGCAACTCTTTCACCTGCCATTTGTGTTGCACCTTTCATTCCTTGTCCAGACACTTTCTTGATATACATGAACTTTAATCGTATTTATCTAAGCCTCGCCCTTTTGCTACCTTTTAGTCTCCAAATTCTATTTTTTTCCCCGTTTTTTTGTATCCTCCCACCAGGTGATGCCCCACCTCCAAACTGCATCACGACGTGGCTGACGTGCCAGGGGGATGGGAAGACGCGGGACAGTCGTTTGGTTTACATGCCTCACGACCTCTATGTCATTGGTACGCAGGAGAGCACACTCAGTGAGAGGGACTGGGTCAACAGACTCAAAGTAGAGATACAAAACATATGCAGGGTGCCTGGAGAGAAGGAATATTCTGTGGTATGTGTATGAGAAAGGGTTGATGTACTTACATGAAAAGCTGTATGTGGGACTGGGTTGTAGTATGATTGGGCTGGATGTGTAGAATCACCACATAACCTATGTAGGGTACCCCAGTGGTAAAGCATACATCGTGGTGAGGTATACTTACTCACTTATTTGAGATTATATATGTGGGATTGAGATGGGCTGTCATCCCAGAAAATTTGTCGGCCGGTTGGCAGAAGGGTAAGCGAGCAATTCAAAAACTCCTTTTCAAATTATTCGCATTTAAAGATTTGTTTTGAATTTAAACTGCTTTCCATCCCGAAAATTGCTTTAAAACTTAAAAGAGTAATAGAAATGTTATAGTAGAACACGGCCACAATTTTTTTCTTGGAAATAAGTCAGTTTTATAAAAGTTTGAGGCAATTTAGAGCTAACGCCCTTCTGCCAGCCAGGCGACGAAGTCTTGATCACTTTGAAATCACAATGATGGATGTCAGACAAGTCACAACATGTCCTACTACACATACATGTAGCTCTTAGTATGTAATTATTCTAGTTTTGTTTTCTCTCTCTCTCTCTCTCTCTCTCTGCATGTCTCTCTCTGTCTGCCTGTCTCTCTCTGTCTCTCTCTGTCTCTCTCTGTCTCTGTCTCTCTGTCTGTCTCTGTCTCTCTCCCTCTCTGTCTGTCTCTGTCTCTCTCTCTCTGTCTCTCTCTCTGTCTGCCTGTCTCTCTCTGTCTCTGTCTCTGTCTCTCTCTCTGTCTCTCTCTCTCTCTCTCTGTCTCTCTCTCTGTCTCTGTCTCTCTCCCTCTCTGTCTGTCTGTCTCTCTCTGTCTCTCTGCCTGCCTCTCTCTCTCACTCTCTGTCTCTCTGTCTCTCTCTGTCTCTGTCTCTCTCTCTGTCTCTCTCTCTCTCTCTACAGGTGACGGTGTGTTCACTATGGGGCATAAGAATAGCAGTACTTGTCAAGCCTGAACATCAGGATCGCATCAGTCACGTGAGGGAATCCTCAGTCAAGACTGGTATCGCCAACGCACTGGGTAAGTTCAGGGGTCACAGATGAACGCGTGATTCAACAGAACGATGGAATTGCATGACCAGGTGTAGTTAGCACATGATAACAAAAACACCCATGAATAATCAATAATGATGGTGGCTTCTAGTATATTGCTCGTGTCCATCACGCCTAGATAAACCTGGTATTCCTACAGTAGATACTGAATATGCATAGGGCTTTTAAACATGAAGAGATCCCATTTTGTTCAGAGTAATCCAGAGCTGTCAACCAGTATGATTTAATTGTATTTCGTACAATTTTTCTTTAATAAAATACAATTTTCACCAAAAAAAAACAACAACAACAACAACAACAAATCAGAAAATTTGAATGTGCTTGTTTTGTGTGTGTGTGTGTGTGTGTGTGTGTGCCATTTCAATGGCGAATTGCCCATTCTCTCCTGTAAAGTATCCTACAAGCATCTCACATCGGCAATTTGGGGACGTTCATTGGTTCATCGTACACACCAGTCATGAGGAAATCATGCATATGCAACCAATGGTCCATTACAAATACATTTACATGCCGCTCGTTGGTTCATTGAACCATCATTCATGACGAACTCTTGCATATTCAACAAATTGCTTGTAAAATGTACTCATGCATAATTCTTCAAAATATCGACGAACACAAAAAAGAAAGTACTCATCAATCAAAAAAGGATTTTTATCTTTTGAAAATTAGATTTTTGTTCAGTTGGGGTTGGCAGCTCTGGTAAATCACTCTCAAAGTGAAAAAGATGCTTGATTCATAATTTTTGTTTTCCCTGTTGATATAAGAACTTCCATCTGCACCTGTGTATCATTGGAATATGTATCCCGGTACATGAAAACAGGATTTACATAACATACTTGATCACTTATCCAGTATTTTCCTCAGTTGATAGTCAACTAATCTGCCACAGTTGATAGTACCGATTATATTTTAAAAACAGCTTTGCCGTTTACTTTTCTTTTTGTACAATATAGGTAATAAAGGCGCAGTTGGTGTGTCTTTCTCATTCAATGGAACATCTTTCTGTTTTGTCAATTGCCATCTTACATCAGGGACAGAGAAATGTACGAGGTAAGCAAATCAGATCAGATCAGGCTGGTGTTTCATAAAGCTGTCTGTAAAGTTGCGCATGACTTTACGAACGACTTGTATATGAAGTGTCAGATAGGATACCAGAAGTTTTTCCTGATGTTTTAACAAAATGTGACTATATTTCCAATAACCTCAATTAAATTATGGCAAAAATGATACCTTTGCGTTAAAAATGTTTGTTATAATAAGAATGTTAATCTACATTTGCACTCTTCAACTTTTGTTGATGCAGTTAAAAATGATTGACCATCCCATTTGGCTTTTCATATATAAGTCATTCGTAAAATCATGCGTAACTTTACGAACAGCTTTATAAAACACCCCCCTGGTCACGTAGCAAAATACAATACAGAGTGGCCCAAAGAGATGGCAACACCTGAAATCTGCAATTTGAACGTCATCATCGACATGAATGTCATTGGTTTTATTTTATTCTGATAGGACTTAATAAAGCCCTAGGGCCCCTCAGTGACTTACCTGCCAGCATATACTGTCTTTCATAGAAGTGAGGTACAAAATTCATCATCAATGCATTCTTTGAGTCGCCATTAATTTGTTTTCTCTTCGTAAGGAATGTTAAATATAGCATTCTCTCAAAATGCTCTTTTTATTCCTGTCTTGTGTTTCTCTTGCTCTTTATTTTACTTTCTCTCTGTCTTTTGTCTTTCTGTCATTCTCCTCACTGTCTGCCTTTTGGTCTCTTTATCTGTCTCTCTCTCTCTCTCTCTCTCACTCACTCACTCACTCACTAGGCGGAACAACAACTTTCATGACATCCTTCGAGGTCTGAGCCTTGGTGCTAAGGGTCTAAGTCTCTTTGATCTTAACAATCAGTTCCATCATATATTCTGGCTTGGTGACCTCAACTATCGTATCGACTGGAATGTACAGGTATGTGATAAATCTATTGCAGGATTGGATATGTTCGTACATGCTCTTCTTGGCATAAGTGAGAGACAGAGAGAGAGACAGAGAGAGAGAGAGAGAGAGACATAGAGAGAGAGACAGAGAGAGACAGAGAGAGAGAGAGAGAGACAGAGAGCGAGAGACACAGAGAGACACAGAGAGAGAGCGCAAACTTAAATTTAGTGAAAAATAGACAGATGCAGAGAGTGAGTACAATTTCACATCATGATGATAGTGGTGGTGGTGATGGTGGTGGTGATGATGATGATGATGATGATGATGATGACGATGTTGATGATTTTTCTACCAGAGGACATGCCCTTACACCAAGAGCCACCAGTTTTCTGCATCATGATAAACATTTCAATACTCGGACAACAATTCAGGAATAAGCCTCCAATTACACACAAGTAGATCAAAACTATCTAAGAATAGGTACATGGACCTTTTTTTTCTTTAATTCTATACGTTTTGTTCATTGTCGTGAATGTTTTTGCATTGCAGGAGATCCTGACCAACATCAAGAGTGGCCATTATGAAGTGCTGTTCAACCATGATCAGCTCAAGATTGAGAAAGACCAGGGAAAAGTCTTTGTAGCATTTGGTTAGTTGACTTTTCATTCAGAGATAATCTTGCGTTCTGCAGGGCCCCGTCTTATAAAGAGCTGCGATTGATCCAAATCAATCACAAGTCCTCCAGTCAATTGCAAGTTTGCAGTCTCCTATCTGTTATATACATAGTTGTATTTCCTTTCAATAGCTACTAAGTTGCGATTAAAGGTACTATGTCCCATTTGCAGGCCCAAATAATGAAAAGGTTAAATTTCAACCGCATTTGAAAGATAATACTAATTTAGAACTTCCCTAAAGAAAGTGGGGCTTGAAAAAGTTTTCAAGTGGGAAAATGACGACTATTAGTTGTCAAATCGACTTAGGAGCTATGGAGCCAATAAGTAATAGTCTTGATTTTCAGACCATTGTACCAAATGGTCATACGTTTTATGCTGCGCAAAGATTCAATCAGTTTAATTTTGGCCATCACAAGAAGTGGGTTATTGATGTAGACAAATGCTCATATACCCTTTACAGCTCATTTTATGTATGTTATTACCAGAGAAGAAAAAAAGCCAGTCAGTCATTCAATAGTGTCTGACAGTGAAGTCTAGCAAGTAAACAGGTTTCCTTGCAGAATTTGAATGTAAGGACAGTGCTAATGTTTAAATTTCATACATACATACATGACATATTCATAATTCCTACAGAATTTGAGGTTGCCTGCAAAAGGGACATTTAGTACCTTTAATATCAACTCAAGATGAGGCCTGGTAATGACAAAAAGTTACTTCTCAGAGAATCGAGCATATAGTGTTGCAAGTTTTCATAGAATGTCCATATAAATCAATCATGATAACTGCAAATGACTTTCCTAACAGGAATAAGCAACAAAAGATAAGAAAATGAAGCTAGTCATCCCAACATATGTGCATAACATGTGGTCTTATACATTACTAGAACTCAGGATTAATTTTGGGTCATTTACTCATATGCCGGTATTTATGGGATGTACCAGATAATTTTGCAACGGTTGTCATGACAAAATATGAATTGAACTATAAATGTAACGTGCACCTTGAAGGCATGTTTTCAACAAATCTCAAAAATATGAAAAGGAAGTCATTATAAATTGCTTCTTGAGAGTTCTGATAAATAGACACAGATGCATGTGTTATGATTAATTACAAATCAATAGTCGGGGAAAGCAATATGAAACTAAGATTTGACCATTACAAGGATGGCAGTCATAAGCTATAAATTCGATTTTGTTCATCTACATAGAGATAAATGTACCCGACCTTTTGAGGTTTCACATTAATGGTATCACATTAAAAAGTTTTATTGATGGAGCACTTAATGAATGTTGACAAACCATAATGTTTGAACTCTTGATGCCCTTTAAGTTGAAAATTGATTAATTGATCTTTCATAATTTATTAATACATGTGTAGATTTGTTTTCACTTTGTGTGACATAGACCATGTATTTGTGTATTTGTATCTTTCAGTGCATGATTGAAGTAATGTTTTACTCTTCTTGTGTGATTAAAAAAAAAATGTGTGTCGTCACAATGAAATACACATTGTTATGATGTCCATGCTTTAATCTTTATTTTATTCATTCAGAGGAGGATGACATCACATTCCCTCCGACCTATCGCTATGAGCTAGGTCATAGGTCAACATACGCCTACAAGAAGATCAAGAAGACTGGGGTAAGTGCTTGCATCAGTCAAGTTCTTTCATATCATCTTTCAAATGTTTTCCAATTTTTAGATAATCATGTGATATTTATCTGATTGTCGGATTCCCATATTTATTTTGTCCTCATTTCTTTGTTTTCTATCTATCTCTGTCTCAATATTCTCATCTCTGTTGTGAGTTTCTCTCTCTCTCTCTCTCCTTCTCCTTTTTTCTCTCTCTCTATTTCTCTCTCTCTCTCCCTCTCTTTTCCTCTCTATCTTTTTAGCTCTTTCTCTATATTTTCGTCTTTCTCTCTCCCCCTCTCTCTCACTCTCTCTTCTAGTCTCCCTTTCTCCCCTTTGTCTCATCTCTCTTTCTTTCTTTAACTCTCTGTATTACTATATCCCTCTGTCTCTGTCCCTTGTCTATCTATATGTCTATGTTATTCTGTGTCTTCCCTGCTCTTCTAACTACAACGGAAATGAAACTAGGTCTCAACATTTACGAGTACATGCTGTGGACTTAATTGAACTTCCATTATACAGCCCATTAAATATTCTATACAAGCTATGAGTGAGATTAAGTGGTTGCTGATCTTTATTTGTATTATTTAGAAGTGTATGAAGATCTATAGTTTTGATAGTTGTTTTTTTGATGCTTGTGTATGAATGAATCTGTGATCTGTCAAAGGGGATAAGTTTTAAGCTAGTTCAATCATGATATGGTAAAACAATTTTTTTTAAAACAACAAACAAAATAAAACAACTGGCAAAATAGTTTAGAATGAATGTAGCCCCAATTTGTATCTCTTATAACACAGAAAGTAGGTGCACTTTTATTATGGACCTATGTTATACAGAGCTACATTTTCACTCCAACCTAATAAGAATAATTTTCATTGATATTATTATTTTTTGCCCGAATGGGTTTATTTAACACATTTTATGTGAATTTGAATTTATCAATTGTAGGTTAGAGGCTCACAAAATCATACAGAAAATTGATTGCGACAATGAATCACGATAACACTGTGTACGAATGTGTATAGCATGTATACCCAGTGTACATTCAACTGATGTTCTCTTGTCTTCTCCGTACCTGATTTAGATTCGCATTAATCAGCCTTCGTGGTGTGATCGAGTACTATGGAAGTCCTACCCAGACACCCACATAATCAATACCACGTATGGTAAGTAACACTGGGATTGTCTGTAATACACTCATCATCAAATACATATATGGATCGTAAGATTTTTGATTTGTCTGTAGTGCCCATATACTCAATTCCATGTATGATTAGTTAAGTTTAGTTTCAGCTGTACAGTGCACATGTGTGTGTGTAATTGGGTTTTTACAGACGTGTATCAATCAGATATGATTATTTACATCTGTGGACCAACCTTTAGCATCACCATCCAAAAGACGTGACTCACCTTCGACCCTGGCTCGCCTGAGTCAGTTTGTAGGCGAAGACAGAGAGCTGACTAAGTGAACGTGCTGCTAGACCAACTGACATGTAGTTTGTGAGGATTATATCAATACTACATATGGAGAGAAAAATCCAGTTTATTCCAGCTCAATCCTGTCTCCGCTCATTTCATTACTAATAAAATCAAGCCTGCTTTAGTGACTTCCTGTCTACAAAGACCACATTGTTTGTTTCCCTTGAAGGTGGTTTCTCGTTGAAACATGTTGTTGTTGTTGTTTGGTATTATCGGCGTTTCATTCTTTTTTAGAATATTTACGCCTTTCACTTTTTTTCTTTTTTTTTGGGTACTATTTGTAAATTCATACTCTTCTCTTTTTTTTTTTGGATAATATAATCTCAGATCTACTGGTCCATGAAAACCCCTCACCGCAATTGTACTCATGTACTAACGGAAGCTGCCTTTAAGCTGCCTTTAAAGACCACCTGCCTTTAAAGACCACTTTTCTTGTCTCCCTTGGGTGGTCTTTATAAACAGGTTTCACTGTAGTTATGTTATTTATAATCCTAGTTGTATCATTCTGTGCTCAGGTTGTACAACGGACATTGTTAGCAGCGATCACTCCCCTGTCTTTTCAACATTTGATGTCGGTCTCTCGGCCTCCACTGTCATTCCGAAAGGTATTTTGCTTTATTTTTTCTGTGATGATCTTAATTTTAAACAGTCATTACTGAACTAACCTCTGAAAAGATATTGCCAGGGCCTGTGAACTGTAGCATAAAATACTGTGGTTCATGAATTGTTTTAATTCTTATGATAATAATGGAAACTGTATATATAGTGCACTTGTCCATCACATCGCGATACCACAGGTGCTCCATTAATCCAGTCAAGGTAATGCGCCCCTGGCATAACGGCTACCTATTTACACCTGGGTAGAGAGTGGCAAATGTGAATCAATGCCTTGCCAAAGGTTGTTAGTTCAGAGTTGCCATTCCTTCTAACCCCTTGAATGATATTCAAATTTCTGTTCGTATATTTGTTATGAGTAGAATACAATGAAGAAGTACCTAACATTTCCATGCATTTGTGAACATCATGTCATATATGCATCAAAGTATATGGCATTACAAAATACATCTATGTTAAACAAAGTGCTCAATTTTGTAAGTCGTTTAGCTTCAGTTCTCTTATCTCTTGTTAATTTGTTTTGAGCAGAACAGAGCGAGGGCGGTACACAAGATGTGAAGATCATTTTCACCCAGGTAGACGCCACCATCGTCACCAGTATGTGTAGCAGTCGCTTCTATCTGGAGTTCTTCTCCACGTGTCTAGAAGGTAGGACAGATCCATTTCAATAGATAATGGATAATAGACAACAGATAATAGACCAGGGACAGATTAAAGGCTCAAACATGAGATATTGAATTGTGTGATCAAAATGACATTACAATTACATGGCAATTACAGATATCATTATATTTATGTTATATCATTTTGTCAACCTTGTGATGTTTTGTATGTTATCATCTTGCCCGGAAATAAAATAAATAAATAAATATAAATAAATAAATAAAAATAAATAAATGTACATATACAGCAATCTTTAAAAGTGGGAAGACAAAGTGAAAACTTTGTCTTACAAAGCCATTATAGTTTTTTTTTCTTCTCCTTTTTCACGTTATATAAATTGTAAAATGAAACATTTTTCTTACATTGCCGATGATATTGATTACTCTGTTTATTCATTGTTTTGTAGTATAAATACATGTTCATGTGCTTTTATTGTTACTTAATGAAAATAACGCAGATAAACGGTTGATTGATTGATTAATTGATTGGTTTGTAATGTATGTGTGTATTTCAAATCATGAAGATATTTGCAAATTTTTGCAATTTTTTTTTTGAAATATGTAGTGTTCCTCTTCTGAAGTATGCAACATTTTTCTTTCGAGATGGTCTAGATGTCACTTTTTGATTGTTCAAACATGTTTCTTTTGATTTAACCTTCAGCCAAGTCAGAGAAGAGTGGTTACAACTCAATGTGTCAGCAGAACAATACTCTGAAACTCACCAAGCCATCGTGGACTAAAGACCAACTTGTCAAGGTAGGATAGTACTTTTTTCACTCTAAATATTTCTCTTTGTCTGTCTGTTTATCTATCTTTGTATCTCTCTCCTTCTCTCTATCTCTATGTCACTGTGTGTATTGGGTTTTTACAGACATGTATCAATCAGATATGATTATTTACGTCTGGGGACCGACCTTTAAACGTCACCATCCGAAAGACGTGACTCAGTTTCGAACCTGCGTCCTCGCCTGAATCAGTTTGTAACTTCCACTGTTAGCTGGATTACAGGCGCATGCCACAACACCTAGTCTGTTCGTCTTTCTCCCTTCTAACATAAACCATTATGGACTGAATACCAGGGACCCGTTTCATAAAGCCTGTTTCAATGACAAATGACAAAAATCAGTGACAATTCTGCTGATAACCAATCAGAAGCAAGGATTTTTACTAGCTTATAACAAAAACTGTGGTTTATCACTGATGACAAGTTTTGTGAAACGGGGCCCAGGTCGTCATGGCGAAATTATCATACGGTCTGTTGCGTCTTCTCTTAATCCTTAATTTGTCCCTCGAACAGAAAAAAAACATTTAAACAAAATGCAACCATTCAGCCTTTAAGACATGTAAAGCAATGCACTTTTCTGTCTGTTGTAAGATACAAAATTGTGAAGTGCACTTTACTGCAATTTTGCTTGCAGAAATGTAAAATGAAAGTGTCCCTCTTCTCAAAATAGATGATACTTGTCTTTGAAGATAACTGTGATCTCACTGTGCATGCCCTTTTAATTCATCATCATATTTTTAGGCAACTTACCTTGTCAAAATAGGACAAAAGGCCTAATTGATAAAGCTTTCAAGAGATGTTAGATGCTACTTTTCGAGAGGCACGATAGCTCAGTCGGTAGAGCAGTGGTCTCGTAATCCGGTGACCCGGGTTCGAAACCAAGTCGATGCGCTAGTGTCCGTTGGTAAGGCATTAATCCACATTACCAGGTCTCTCGGAAAGAACCTAAAGCCGTCGGCCGTCTGGTTGCTTACTAACAAGCATTTATGCTTTCTTAGCAGTCAGGTAAAATAACCAACAATAACCAACTTTTGTTTTGTTGCAGTTGAATCCTATAGTATCCGACGTGGAGTACTTGGAAGAGCAGTTCATCTTGGTAGCTATCAAATCGGAAGACAGTGACGAGTCGTACGGTAAGAAATTCTACCTCTCTTTGCCCTTCAAACAAAAGTAGAACAATAAAACATGTACATATGTTACACATTTGAGTTACGGCACACAAAGACAACCTGCCAATAAGGATTGTTTTTTGTGTCTCCCTCGAGGGGTCCATACAGCTATAAATTTTGGAAGTATTGAAGAGGCTTCGTAGTTGACTGGGATTGTAAAGGTCAAGGGTTCGTCGCATTTTATCTACATTGCTCCTCTCCACCCAGGTATTAATTTGGTACCCGATAGGATTCACACTTCAATGCGATGAGATTAGCATGTACATGCCCGTCAAAAGGGTTACTGGTTGGAATGTTCCCATGGGAGTGGAGAGTGTGCTCAGTGCAGGATTGTAACAGAATCCAGTGACCGTTGGTAATAATACTGCGGGTGCTTTAGTCGGTTACGCTGTACCTAGTAAAGCGCTTTATGAGAAACAGTTATTATTAGTATTGTTATTATAAAGAGAAACAGCAAAATCTGTGTTTTAAAGCTTATTTGCACTAGTTGGGCCAGGAGGGAGTCAATAGACCTCCATGCGAGGTCACAAATCAGCTCTCAAATAATATAAGAAAAGGGGACCATGTGGGATCAACGCGTACCGCTTAGGCATTGTTGGCTATATAGAGGGGGCAAGAAGCTACAAGTAGTGGTTATCTCATCAAATCAGCTCTCAATTAACATAAGAAAAAGGGGACCATGTGGGATCAACACGTACCGCTTAGGCATTGTTGGCTATATAGAGGGGGCAAGAAGCTACAAGTAGTGCAGTCAAGCTTTAATCAAAGACATCTGTGGCTCTATTTTGACTCCTGCTTATCTTATCCTCATTAAGTGTCGTGGTCGAGTGGTTTTAAGTGTTGACTGGAGATGCGAAGGTCGAGGGTTCTAATCCCGACACGGCACTAATATCCTTTGGCAAGATATTAACCTGCACTTGCTACTCTCCACCCAGGTGTTAAATGGGTACCCGGTAGGATGCGACCGTCATTGTTGGCCAAACACTTTTTGAGCGTCAAGTAACGCCTGGCTGGAATGCTCCCCAGGGAGTGGAGATTGTGCACACAATGTGTGTGGGCAAGCACTGAATCCAATGACTGAGGTAATAGTATATTTGTAAAGCGCTTAGAGACATTTGTGATAAGCGCTATATAAAAACTAAATATTATTATTATTATTATTACAGGAGAGTTTGTGGTGTCATTACGCAACCGCTTTGAGTCGTCACCTGTCCTGTTCAAGAGCATCCTCACACACCAAGGACACAGGACAGGAGAAGTGGAGTAAGTCTTTGAAATTTGATTGATTGATTGATTGATTGATTGATTTTATTTCATTTCATAAAACAATTGTTTGCACAATAAAGAACATAGTTGACAAAGTAAGATCAAAATTATGAAATGAAACAGGAACCTACTGGAAAGCGTAGCTCGTTTTTGTAGGTTCCCAAGAATAAATATCATTTTAAAGTGTCTTAATAATCACAGTAAAATAGATATAATATAATAACATATTTTCATAAACCATTTTTAAAGTATCTAAATAATCAAAATATACAAAAAGAAAAGAATGACAAAAACGGGACACAAAGGACAGGAAACTGACATAATAAGATAAGACATGACAGGACAAGACAACAAAAAAATCATTGTACATCCTGCTAACTTCCCTCTTCAAATTGGCAATTTTGATTTCAAGAGTTGCCTTTTGGATACATATAGTGCAACATTGTTACTGTGTAAAGAACATTGTCACAAACTCTCTTTGAAACAAGGATATTTGCCCTCAATACCTTATTTTATTCTATTCTTTTGTAACCATATACAAACGCTTCAATAAATGAAATTCCCATGTGTTTGGTAGAATTAGGTCCAAGGGGGTGTTTCACAAAGATCCTAAGTTGGACTTAACAATTATGGAAAGCCGTTAGCATCATTGAAAATATTTTCTATCGTTAAGGGGATTTCATGTTCTTGATGTAAAATTTATAAAAAGTTTAAAATAGTACAATTTTCGCTTTTGAATATATTAATTCTAAGGCTACAAATGGTTCTCCATAATTTTTAAGTCCAACTTAGAGTTAAGTTCGAGTTAAGATCTTTGTGAAACACCCCCCAAGTGTATTAATGTATTAGCAAGAAACCCTAACCCTGTCCTGGCTCTGTCCACCAGCTGTAAAATCTTAAAATAGGAATAAACAATTTTTGTTCAAATTCCTGTTCCTTAGCTGATGTTTCTATCTACCAGAACTTGGTACAGCATGGCATGTCTGTGAAGCTGCAGACTGGAGAGAATGAAACCCACAGATGGATGCCTCAAACATTAAAAGAATTAAAAGAATTTGTACTCTGATCATTTTTTCTGTCAAATGCTTGATTATGGAAAGGTTATCTGATGATCTTATGTTCATTGTTTACAGAGGAATGGTTCACGTGAAGTCCAGGGACGAGAGTCTGTATGGTGGCTTCAGGAAGGCAAAGACATATGGTAAGTTGAGCGGAAAAGAATTTATCCTACAAAAAATAAAAGCTAAATTGTGAAAAATTCTTGACTTTGCTGTAGGAAAGCGATCAAAGAGCTATTTTCTGAGAGTGCTTTTAAAGAGAGCGCACACAGAAATAAAGTCAGCATTAGGTTCCATGCGCTGGGTTTTTTTCCTGTTATTTTTTATACTATTCACTTCCTTTAACTTGTAACTCATAGAATGCATCAAAGAGGTATTGGAGTTGATTTTGTCCATACATAGCCAAATGACTATGTGATTGGTCCAAATATAGAAAGACAGTTCAGACCATTGTACCTTTATCTAGTTACCATTTTGTGATAATCAGAACTGGTGAAATTTTTGGAGTTAATGTTATCCAATGAGGCGTGATAGCTCAGTTGGTAGAGCAGTGGTCTTGTAATCCAGTGACCCAGGTTCAAAACCAAGTTGATGCGCTAGTGCCCTTTGGTAAGGCATTAATCCTTATTACCAGGTCCCTCGGAGAGGACCTAAAACCGTTGGTTCTCTGGTTGTTTACTAACAAGCATTTATGCTTTCTTAGTAGTCAGGTAAGAACCACCACTAAACATACACAATGACAACTCTGATCTTCTGTGAGTGGTCTAAATTGAGAACCACAGCTCAGACCATTTATAACTATGTTGTGTTTACTGTTTTTATATTCAGAACTGGTGAAGTTTGAAGACAAGACAGACAGCATGTCATCAGGGGATGTAAGCGATGAGACCGCCTCGGCCAAGATCAGCAAGGCTAAAGGTGAGCATTTATTTATTTATTATTTATTCAGCAATTCCCCAAAATATAACAATATAAATATGGGTAAACAAACATTAAGATAATGTCAATTATAAATGCACAATCTTCCTGGAGGTCCTCTGAGTGCATCAGTTGGCTGCCGGGGAAGAGGAAAGCAAACTGAATCACTGTAACCGTAATGGTCCCTCTTTCGGACCAGCTGGTGCACCCAGAAGACCTGCAAAATATAGCATGAAGGTAATAAAAATGTATAACGTTTCATAAACAAACCAGCTGACAAAAACAAAGCCCAAGGAGGAAATCATATTAATATATATGATGACACTAGGTCATGACACGATACTGAACATAAACATGAGGAGTTAATTCTGGCTAAAAAACTCTTGCATAAAATGTCAAGTAGGTAAATTGAAACCATGAATTATAAAACTGAGAAAAGATCAAAATGTGAGAACATGTAGTTGGTAGCATTGTTTTGGTAGAAGAGTGTCCTCTAAAAATATCTCAGAAGGTACAAATTTTGAAGAAGAAAAATGGTGTGCTTGATAACTTATTTAAGAAATCTACTGAAGGTGTCAAACATGGCTGCTTCATTTCGTCTGTCCAGCCACAAGGGCATTCACTCAGTGTTAAAGAATATGAGTTGATGCATTTCTAGCTTTAAACAGACGAATTGTTGTATAACAACAGTAGATACAGGAAAATCAGATTATGGAACACAATCATTGTGCTTATCTGGCCATGCATTTATCATTCTTTAACATTGGTGCTGGTTGGGAACATGCACGTAACTTTGGTTGTGGGTCTACAGATAGTAAAGATAGGACTTGTAATGGTTCTCCATACAACGGCAATGCCAACAAGACCATCTTTTTATTTCTTAGGCTTTTAAGTTAATTCTCGATAGGTGTAGATTAACGTTTGTGTTGTTTCTTTCACTGTTCTTTGTGTTCAGTTTGCATTGAGAACACCAAGAACAAGGTGAGACAGTGGGTCAACAAGGCACCCAGTGAAGATCATTCTTCAAGGAAGTCACAAGAAGCTGCTCCACCTATACCTACCGCACCCCGCCCTAGGGATCTCAATGTCTCCAGTGGGTCACTCACCCCTCCCCAGAGTGACCCCGCCCCTGTGCCTCCAACGCGGAGGAAAAATGGCCTCAAGGTGTCGACTGGGAAAGCGATGAGTCAGAACGGAGTTGGTGAGGAGAGCGAACAACCCCCACCGTTGCCCCCTCCACGCCTTGGAGCTAGTCCAATGAGCTCAAGCCCTATGAGTACCAACCCCTTGAATGCGGCACTCATGAACACCATGCCCATGAGTGCCACGCCTATGAGTGCCACGCCTATGAGTGCCACGCCTATGAGTGCTGACCCGATGGATGGAGGAGAGTATATGGGACTGAGTTTAGACGCGATGCCTCTGAGCAGATCCTCAGCGGCAGAACAATCGGGAGGACCGGACGTAGGAAGAGGGATGAACCAAGTCACCAAGCCGCGTCTCAGAGGATGTCGATCAGTTCCTGCCGAGTCGGACATTCCACCTCCGCTCCCTTCCCGCTTACCTGCACCCCCTCAACGCTCACTCTCCCGGGACGTTGCACTTCCCCCTCCTCTCCCTGCAAGGCCTTCCCTCACGCTACCTCCCTTCCACCCGGAGCGGTCTGATTCAGAGACATCCGATGAGGGGCAGGTGCTAGAGCACTCACCACCCAGGAGAACACCACCGGCGCTTCCAGGGCAGCAAGTGAGTCGGCTACGAGATCACTGGGAGAGACGGTCCAGCCGCGATTCGTCCCCAGATAGTAACCGGTCAAGCGTGGATACAGGAGACGCAAAACCAGCCCTACCGCTCAGGATCACGGAAAGAATGGCGCCTGATGGACGTCCTTCTTCGTCTTCTACGGACGACGGTCAGCTGCTTCTAGAAGGACTTCCGCCGCCTCTCCCTAGCAAGTCCAGACAGAATACACCACCTAGAAGAACAACAGACACTGAGCTGGAAGTAAGTATTCCGTCTTTGAAAGCACAGCCTTGCTCCTAAGGTCTAGTCCCACTCACCTGATGAAAAAAAAACCTATTAACTATCTCTGAATAAAGGTAGCGTCTAAGCTGTTCAAACCTGCTTTTCCGACCTACTGTGTCGACAGACCACCTGTCTATTTGTCTTAATTCATTTTTTTACCTGAAGTAGATTTTCAAATTAGAAGTACATAAAGACTTCCTGCCTATAAAGACAGCTTTTCTGGTCTCCCCTAAATTGTCTTTATAATGGCCTGCAGGTTTCACAGTCTTCAGTTTTTCTGACTAAAATTAAGATTGGTTCAATCATGCTCAGTGAATCCATCTCAGTCTACTTTAAAAACATATTGTCAAGGTTCAGCCAAAAAGAGAATGGTCGTTGAGAGAGAAAGTTTGCCACTTTCTTTGTATCTCTTTTTGTTCTCGGTGCATTTCTTCAACATATTTCAGAACAAATATGAAAAATAACAACAAATATAATATGTCAATCTTGATGATGTTTGTTTTTTTACTGGCTACCTTCATATTCCAAATCCTTTGAATATGAATTATAGGGTTGGGTATTTTATTGGGTACGTGGGACTACGCCTTTAGACTCGCACGGCTCGTTTTGTTGTCGGGTTTTTGTTTTTTGCCTGATTGAGGTACAATAGAATAGGCATCTTTGTGTTGGTGTGGCAAATACTGTTGAGAGAGCTCTATACTTCCAAACTGCTGATTTCTTCTCTCCTAAAATATGATTTACAAAGCATTGACTCTTTCTGTTTTTCAAACGTTTATTGTTTGCTGTGTCATTTCTGTCACAAACTTCATCATCTGTGCTGTCTTTGCTTATAGTTTTCATGTGTAGAACTCTTTAAACATATAATTGCATGAGTCCAAAGTCAAGATTGAAAAAAACAAAAACACCACTTGTTGAAAATGAATTGAAATCTTTCACTTTTTTGTTTACATTTTCCATTTCTTTCAAATCAATAGAAGTAAAACTTTAATGTCAAATAAATGTATTTTCTCCTTATTTTCTGCTCATCTTGATTTTCATGTATTTATTATTTGATGTATCGTACTAAAGGACCTCATGTATGTCGGCCACCTGCTCACTTTCAGGGTATTTGAAATGAAATAATGCACAAGCTCTGAAACTGAAGTCTGTCTCCTTTTGCGGAGTTTGCTTTTCAATGCTGCCAATAAAACTGCTTTAAAGGCTTCATTTAACAATGTTAAATCTGAGATGCATGGCCCTGCGTGCTACCAGTGTCTGTGATATGGTGTAATATTGAAGCCCTAAACAAAAGTTGCTCTTCAAAATCTTTGAGTGACCGGTTTTACCATACTCGTTTTCCCCAATAGACTGTAGTGTTATGAAAAACGTTGGGGAAATGCAAAATTTGGTTTCGATTTCCAATCATAAATATCTTGATAATCAGACAAGCAATCGGATTGTAAAAGTCATGGGGTTCCTGACTGACCTAAAGGTTTATAATTATCATTGCAGCATGAGCTAAATCCAGGATTTTCTTTCAGAATCTGAGACAAAGTTACCCAATCCCTTTAAAATGAGTCTGGAGTTTGTAAAGTAACCCTAGGAAAGACAAAAGTCTAAATACTCTTTACTATGTACCGGGGTAGAACCAGGATTTTGTAATGGAGGCACAATTAAACAAAAATCAACTGCCTTTAAATTTGAAATGAAGGAGGAACATGAACAGTAAGGTATGCTAGGTGTGGGTTTTCTAAGAGTTTTGGGGGAGGGGGGCATGGGTTGGTTGTGTCCACCTCAACCCCACCCACATGTGCTACTGCCCTTTACAACACTTTTTTGTTCTTAAAGCAAAAGAGTACAACTCGGTTTCATTGATTGGACAGATAAATACTACAGCATTAAGAGCTCAATGTTTTATTACATGTTCACGCCATGTGAGTGGGTTGTGGCATTGGCTTGTTGTGATCATATCAATTTCATTTCGTCCATTTCTTCATGTCTCTTGTCTACCATCATCTGATCTTGTTTCGTTTTCATTTCCAGATTAGATTCATGAGAAGCCATCATTTTCCTATTCACAAACTAAATACATCCTCATTCCCTTTCCATTAATAACCTTGCGTTTATTGTTATGCCATTTCCCATCTTACCAAAAAATTATTGCAGTGTCTGTATATGATTTTATGATTTGTTTGGTGGTTTTGTTTGTAAATCAAAAGCATTTATTTTATTTTTGCCGAAAAGCCTTTCATTATGCATTGCATGACTTACCTCTCTTGTTTGTCTTCCCTTTCCTTCCTTTTTATTTTCTTTCTGGGTGTTGTGATTAGATTTAGTGTTTTATTTGGATGTTTTCGTTTGGTTTTCGTTTGATTTCCAGATGAAATAAACCAGATCATCTCGTGTTCAATATCGTTCTAAAAAAAAATGAAAAGAAAGAAAGAAAGAAACGAAAACAATCCTTATTTGCACCTCTTGCCCCCTCCTCCCTCACTCCCTCCCTCCCTCTGGGGTTTAAACAGGACTATGACTGCCTGCGTCGGCCCATCACCATCACGGAGTGGCTTAGCAATCTAGGGCTCATGCAGTACAAGCAGCAGCTCTACGATAACGGTTGGGACAACGTGGCTTTCCTGGATACGATCACGGATCAGGATCTCATTTCTGCCAGGGTGGAGAGCATCAAGCATCGACGACACATGCTGGAGAGTATAACCTGTATCATGGCTATGCAACGATGATGAGGATGATGATGACGGGACATCGAGGCTGGGGACCTAGACCACATGAAGAAGAACCTAGACTGCTACAATAAGGACCTAGATTACCTGAATAAGGACCTAGACCACAAGAATAAAGACCTAGAAAACAAAATTATGAACTTTTGCCACATTATTGTAAGTCGAGGCTGGAGACCTGGGGGGCGTTTCACAAAACTTGACATCAGTGACAAATGATAGTTTTTGTTATAAGCTAGTGAAATCCTTGGTTCTGATTGGTTATCAGCAGATTTGTCACTGATTTTTGTCATTTGGCGTTTCACAAAACTTGACATCAGTGACAAATGATACTTTTTGTTATAAGCTAGTGAAATCCTTGCTTCTGATTGGTTATCAGCAGATTTGTCATCTGTCATTGAAAAAAGGCTTTGTGAAACGGGTCCCTGGAAAACATGAAGAAGAACCTAGACTGATGATGATGATGATGATCCACAACACTTGTATGGCGCCATTTATCTGATTCAATAAGGACCTAGAATAAGGACTTAGATCACATGAATCAGGACCTAGACCACTAGAATAAAGACCTAGACAACAACATTATGAACTTGTGCCACATTATCGTAACACTTTGTCTCAGTGACTGGACCTGTTTAAATGAATGAAAGCATGAAAACTGCTTCATATATTTTCAGTCGATCAGGAGTTGTTAAACCGTGCAACTTTTATATGTCTTTCAAGTACAATACATACCACAATCATACATGTTTTCTTTCCTCTATTTTGCAATATGTGATGTGGAATGTACAGTACAGCCATCCATGGAGAAGCTAAATTTTCTTTGAATAATTTTTCTCAGAAGAACATACATACAGCTCTTGAATATTTCAATTTACTGATGCATGCGTGTATAGGCCTATATACCTGTACTTGTCCATATGCACAGGACGGTGAAGCAACAAAACATTATGATTTAATTCTAAAACTGTATTTTAAATGTATATGATATTTGATTTTGCAAAGTGTCTCTGAAAAGAAATATGTACATGTATATTTACTTACATTGTAATTCAGCATATCCTAGTTTAAGTCACACTTCTGATAAATCTTGTTACTCTTAAGTCAACACCGATACAAGAAGTGCATGGTACTTGATATTCAAAACAAACACTCTCCCTTTTTACAATTGCTCTTGTGATTGTTCGAACTGCAGACACATATACATTGGGGCCTGTATGTACATTGTACATGTACCTTGTAAGTTTGCTTAGAGTACTTGAGTAGAATTAATTAATAGATTTAATCCTAAATTTGTCTTTATATATCTCAGCAATCAGTTTGTCATTTGAATTTCAGGTCCGATTTCGAATGTTTGTATGTATACTAAGTCTCTACAAATGTATGTTCAAGTCCCAGCCTGAAAATGAAAAATATCACTATGAAACAGTTGACCACAATTATTCATTGCATATGGGGGATAATTGATAAATTTGTGCTGTTTTTTTTAAATAGATTTTTTCTAAATCATATGATCTGATTGTTACTGTGTATGTGTAGCTGTTGTGTGTACATTCTTTTTATGAAAGTCACAGAAAGTCATGAAAGACCTACTCTAAAACAAAATCTATTTTTCTACCTGATTATATTGATGTATATAAGTAAGTTTAGTACAATATTGTGTAATTATCACTTGGAGATAGAGCTAACCTAGAGTTAATTGATGTAATAACATGTAAACATGCACTTGTTGTTAACAGTAACAAATATATTATTCTTTTAGGACCCTCTTGCATAAAAAGTTGTGTTTAATCGCAAATACGTGATCCTGATTGGTTGAAAATCAAGTTGCGTTTAATTTGCTGAGTTGCGTTTAAACGCAACTTTTCATTTTAAGCAAGAGGGCCAGGTAGGTGCCAGCTCTATTATATCTATTATTGCACATGTAGCTTGTTATAATAAGTGTCTGTTATATGACACATACACACACACACACATAGTGATTGCGCAATCATCTGTTTCATCATTTTCTGTGATGAGGTTCAAGAGACATGTTCCTTGGATAATTACTTTGAAGCCAGTATCATCCCACGCTGGACCCAATACTATAAACCATATAGTAAACCTAAACCTACATGTAATGCCCTATGCACATGAATAGACTGGTTTACTGATATATTCAAATGTTATGCATAGTTTTTCAACAAAGGTTGTTCTTCACAACCTGAAAGCTTGCTAGAGGCTTGCATGACATAGCAACAAGTAATGTATGCAGACTGGATTCCAAGTATTGTAGTTCATGAATAACAGGTTAATGGAATGACTTATCACTGGGTGCCCAGGAAAGAAACATCCATAGATTTGAATACGTTAGTAATCCAGTCTTTTCCCTTTTGTAATGGCCACATATAAAACAAATTCATACAAATGTCTGTGAGGTAGATGTGCAGGATGGCCTTCTTCAAAGCTTATGCGTGAATGAAATGGCATTCTATGGCAAATTAGAAATACTTGTAGGAAGTCTGGGATCTAGTTTTTTCAAATTCTTTGTTCTTGAGTTTTTAACTTTGATTTGGCGTTTCTTATTTTTACCTCCTCCAATAAAAATATTTTCAATTACCCAGTAGCTTTTGGGGGCATAACATTTATTCAAAGAAGTTTGTACATGTATATAGAATTGTGATAATGGCAGTAGAAAATATAATGTATATTGTACATGACCTGATTCGGGCGAGTATAGATAATTAATGCCAAAGTTACTAGTTATGTGTAAATGTTTGAAATACCTGATATATACAGTGTATAAACAGAAAGTTGATATACATTATTGTATTTTAGGTTGTACTTATATATTGATATATATACCTGTAGCGTTATTCTGAACTGATTCTTCTTTTGTTGTTTGGTACATTTGTTCTGAACGAGAATGAATTAATGCCGTGTCACAATATGAAGTACTTCTAGACTAATAGTTTGTATAAATTTGTCGATTAGCGTAAGAAAATTGATGTAAATATCAAATGTTGCATATTTTGGCTGAATTTTATAATGGATGAAAATCTGTAATTTGTATATAAGAATACAAGTATTTTGAAAATTTAGTGTGTAGTGCTAACAAATAGAAAACAACTGTTCCGTGTATATTTCATCAATGATATATTACTTTTTTTTGCTATAAATATAATATGACTTTATAAAGTGCATAATAAACTCTTGTCTCTCTCTCTCTTGAACTAAATCACAGATTTTGGAGAAAAAAGAAGCAAATTTCAAGGAATGCAGTGTCATTCTGATTTAATTTGTTGGGACGATTAACCAACCGAAAAATGTTGCAAGAAAGAACAAGTATAAATGAAAACGTTTTTTCTCATTTGACCAAATGACCTTGTATCTCTTCAAGTGAATTATGATACAACAAAAAGTAACCTTCATTATTGCAGTTAATTAAAAATACTCAAAGTTCAATGTTCTAGAGAGTCTGGACTTGCCTTGGGTGGTAAATTTGTTGTAATATTTACAACTGAGGAGTATTTTTGTTAGCTTCCATTTTACTTGTTATGCTTACCTACTTGCTGCGCTTCCTATTGGTACATTATATATCTTTCAAGAATTCTGTTTCATCATTTTGCTACTGTATAATTGTGGACCTCAGTTTTTCTGTTGTATATAGTTATCTTTTTAATGGAGAAAACAAATTGGAAATACCTTCCTATTTCTCATAAATGTATATCTGAGAGCTAACTCATGAAAAAGATATTTATGTAACATTTTGTTGTTGCTAGTCTATTTTTCCCCTCAAGCCTGTATACAGACACTTGTCAGTGTCAATGATAGTGATCAGGGGGATCTTCATCATAGTTTTATTTCAGCATCAGTGGTGTATCCCCAGGGGGGGGGGGGGGTCTGATAAGGTGGGCATGTCCCCTACCCCCCCCCCCCCCACAAAATCAAATCCGACGTATACTTGAACCCGATGACTACTGAATTGTCCAATTCTAATTCCCATTGACTTAATACAAACACCCTCCGGCTTTCATGGGCAATGGGTTATTAAAGTGCATGAAAGAAAAATAAATATGCCCCAAACTGTCTTCATGTCTCGTCTTTCCTCTCCCCCCCCCCCCCCCAAAAAAAAAAAAAAAATCTTATCTGATATACTGTACGTACATGCTTCTAGTTGCCCCCCACCCGCATCATCCACACTAAAACCAAATACTGGATGCACTCCTGCTCTGTGACAATGTATGACAATCACAGTTGATATAGTGAAGAAAGGATGATATGCAAGATTTAAAAAATAAAAAATAAAGCAAGGGAGAAAAATGAATTGGTGAATTCACTTGATTATATTACATGACATATGGGAATTGTGTAGTATCTTTGTTTACCCACAAAAAAATGGATAATCTTTTCCCCTCAATTTAATGTTGAAATAAATATTGAAGGTGCTCTCTTTAATGCTATATATGCAGAATCACATTTTTAAGGCTAGTTTTAAATCTTTGGAATGAATTTGTTTTATTTTTCTATTTCTACATCAAGTTATTAGCCCCATTATATCACTGCATTTTCAATTTTGATTTTCTTTCAGCTGCACTTCAGGCAATCTGTTTATCTTAACAAGGATAAAGGGCAATATTAATCAGATATATTCCATTTTCAACTTCAAATCTTCACCGATTGTTGTATGTTATTTGTTGAAATGTGAAACTGTAAAAGCTTGTATAAAATGAGTCAAGAATTTATAATTATAAAAGAAAAATCTTGTTATTTTTGCTACTTTGGTGAAGCTCTGGGGTGCAAATAATAAATTTCTATGTAAAGAAGAAATATTTAATGTATTTGTGTTTATTTTGTGTTTTGTGTAAGTGTGAAAATAAGATTATTATACTAGCTAAATCTTTATGAAAGACAGTGCTCAACATATTTTAAAAATTAGCTGTTGTATCCAATCTCTTAAAGAGAGAGAAAGCCCCTCCCCTACCCCCGATATTAAATTGGTTTAAGTAGAAGCACAACAATTAGAGAAACAATGCCGTGAAAGTTTGAGAAAAATCGGGCAAACAAATAAGAAAGTTATGAATCTTTTAAAATCATGAAAGTCATGGACTGTTCGAGACAAATTGGCAATGCAATGCAAATTGTGATGTCATTCCCTCACAATTCACCACCGATTTGAATGACCTAAAATCTCCATTTCTCTGAATGTTAATGGAATAGTAGACCTGTCTTATATGGGGGTGCATGAAAGAATATATGATAGAGATAGGAATGAATAAAAAACATATTGTGATCAAAATGAAATTTAATGACCCTTCTTGCATTCAACAAAGGATAAAATGTGAGGGGGTGACATATCTAGAGACCACGTTGCCAATTTGACTCACAGATTTGAAGTATTTCATTGAACCTGCATTCAATCAGCAGATGTACGAGATTTATTGTTTTATTACCAACGCTCCTTCTCTCCCCTTCCCTTTTCTTCTCTGCAAGTCACTCTTCTTTATTTTTATTTTTATTGTTGTATCTAAGTTGAGGGCTGCGGGCACGTCAAGCTACTTTGCTTATTTCTGTAGCCCTACTGCATCTAATGTATGTTAAAGGGATCCGGTAACTTTGTCTCAGATTTTGAAATAAAATTCTGGATTTAGCTCATGATGCAATGATAATTATAAACCTTTAGGTCACTCAGGAACCCCATGACTTTTACAAGCCGATCGCCTGTCTGATTATCAAGATATTTATGATTGGAATTACAAATTTTGAAAACCGTTCGCCTGACGGTTTTCATAACACTACAGTCTATTGGGGATAACGAGTATGGTAAAACCGGTCACTCAAAGATTTTTACTTTTTTGAGGCACTTCTTGATCATTTTGAAGCGCAATTTTTTTAGGGCTTCAATATTACACCATATCACAGACACTGATAACACGTAGGGCCGTGTATCTCAGATTTAACATTGTTAAACGATCCCTTTAATAATGCATTCAATATATTTGTTTAATTTTGTGTATTATCTGTATAAAATTATATACACCTAAAATATTTTATCAAATCAAATCAAATCAAAAGTTATGGATTTAAAAACGTAACTTTCTTATTTATTTTCCAATTTTTCTCAAACCGTCACTGATCTGTTCTCATTTTTCTTATTGTATTAAAACAAACTTATTATCAGGGTGGACTATTTGAGTGTATCCACCGTAAAGGGGATTTGGGGCCATCACCCTAGACCTAGACTATAAACTTTAACCAGAATTTGTGAATTCACAATATACATTTTTCTTGTATGATTACTTTTATCTATGAAATCTATCATATAAGCTGTCACATAGAACAAATATTGAAATTGTAAAAAAATAATTTCCCCTTCCCCACTCAGTAATATTTAGGCTTCACAAAAACATTCTCTATAAACTGACAATACATTGTTGATGATTGTTTGAAACAAATCTTCTGAATCAAATTTTAAAAACATATTCATATAATTGTTGTACTATGACATAATTACCAATTTTAATTGATCCACTAATTCCCTGAAATTTCCCTTCATAGTGATATGCCACCACCACATCCAATAAACATGTTGTCACTGTTTTAATATTCACATAATGTAAACAAAAAGTACACAGAATATTATGTGAGCTTTGCTCTCCACAGATATGGTTTTATTCATGTTCAATTTCAACATAAAGAGCAGATATCTGGGGCAACAGGGTATGAAACGATGAAACAGTTGGCTCAAGACCGAGGAACTTGGAGAGAAACTTGGAGAGACACTTGATATAGAATTTTGAATGGGTCACTGAACCTGTCATAAACTGACAGCTCACTATTGATGATCTTGAATGAACGATAATCATTCATGAACCATAAGAAGATGAAATTATGAATCTACTATGACCAATGTCCACATATTAAAAATAAAGCTTAAGTTTTGGTCATGTAATTGAGAAATTATGCAAAGAGAAAGAAACGATTACAGATAGGTTGGCTATGTAGCACATGAAAAAAACAAGAAATTGTGAGGTTTTGGAATTATCAAAACAAATTGAATGAATCTTTCTGAAAATCTGGAATAACAAGCAGCAGTACACAAAGATACATGAAATATTACATCATACCTGTACATGTATGGGAATACACACAAGTGACATCGAATTGGGTTCTAAGTATTGAACTATTAAGTTATTAAATTAGATTTGGAAATAGAGGACAAAGAGAAATATTTTTCGTGGGACATTGCTAAAATCATATTGTTCCATAGAGGAATACAGTGAAAGGGGAAGCTCAAGCTCAAACAAATCAGAATTAACTAGGAACATTGAGATTTGTTGAGCTGAGTTTGATAACAAAAATCATGATAAAATCATTAAAATGTAATTAGTTTTTATATCTTTAGTTTTAAATGAAAAAATAAAAAGTATAAAAAGTGGAAACTGGAAAACCTCCATGTCACAGACAGAGAAGACACTTATCCGAGGAGACTCTGGCACTTCAAATAAATTTGGTTTGCTGAAAGTGTTTTGAGATCGAGATGGAAAAAGGAAGATTGTCTAAAGAGCTGAACATCATTCAGACATTCATTGCTACTTTAATGGGATCCGGTAACTTTGTCTTAGATCCTTTAAAAAAATCCTTGATTTAGCTCATGCTGCAATGATAATTATAAACCTTTAGGTCAGGAAGGAACCCCATGACTTTTACAAGCCGATCGCCTGCCTGATTATTAAGATATTTATGATTGAAAATCGAAAACAAATTTTGCGTTTGCCAAACGGTTTCATAACACTACACTCTATTGGGGAAAACGAATATGGTAAAATGGGTCACTCAAAGGTCTTTACTTTTTTGAGGCACTTCTTGATATTTTGAAGTGCAATTTTTTTAGGGCTTTAATATAACACCTTATCACAGACACTGATAACTTGTAGGGCCGTGCATCTCAGATTTAACATTGTTAAAAGATGCCTTTAAGTCTTGAACAAGCACCTATGAATACCATATCATCAATTCTACAGTTCTTTGATCTGCTGTAGATGTTCATTTGTTATCAGATGAGCATCACTGCACTGCTCCTACTTTTGTACTGTATCAGATTCTGAGCCCTAGATGTATGACATGGCATCACTAAGGGCAATGAGGTAGATGATCACAGGACTGGGTGTACTCCATCTCTACCAGCTTGCATGCTATCGCCTCTCTGCAGACAACTACACGAGGGTTTTGATGAAAATGCTCGGTCATTGGACTGAGAAGTACGTTCTTGATCTCTTCATCATGAAGCAGATGATGACAATATTGGTAGAGCTCACGATCATTGACTCTTGTAACTCTCTTAACTTGGTCTTGGCATGCTTCATCATGTACTCGTACCTCAATATGGCCTGACAATAATGCCCATGTTGACAATGGTAACACCGGTCGTCATTAAACAGAGTGTTTTCAAGTTCTCCATGATCATCTTAGCAAGCTCCGATCGTCACAAGCTGGGACTTCTTTGTACATGAAAATGTCCATCACGAACAACAAGCTAGTGATCAATGGATGGAGAATTATTTTCTTGCTCTCAGCATCAGCATGGTATGTGCTATGGTTGGCACACATGAAGCAGAATGACGACGACAACGTCCCCATCACAAAGACACCCCTGATCATTGGACTGTAAGCGTTTTCTTGATTTCCGTGAGTTTCGTCTTAGCATGCTCGAGTCTGTGTATCGCCATCTGGGCTTCTTTCTGAGCCGAGTAACTAGATCCCTCGTGGGGCTGTCCCGTCGATACCTAAAATTGTGAAAATAAGATCGAATTGATCAGCAAAATGTTGATAACAAAAGAATATCTAAAAGAAAGTAATAAAGAACATTAAATACTCTGAACTAGCAGAACAAATTAATCTCTGTGACTAGGTGCTGCCTGTAATTGTGTTTACATTTTTGCAAAGAAATAGATATCATGCCATCATGGTTTGCAGTTCTATTTAAACAATTATGTGTCAAACAACTTTGGCCCGAATTCACAAAGCAAGGTTTGAGCTCAAACCTCCTTTTGTTTCGCCAAACCTCCTTTTGTTCTTTACAAACCAGGTTTGTAAAAAACGCGTAAAACGCGTCATATGACGTACGAAAACCAAGGTTTGTCGACAAACCTCCTTTGTGAATTCGGGCCTTAGCTAGATGCCCCAATCCCCACCTATTTTTCAGATGTCTCTGATTGTATTCCATAAAATGCACAACATTAAAGCTCATCAGAAAACTGGTATTTTCATCAATGGATCACTACTACAGGACTAGAACTTAGAAGAACAATAATATGCCAAAGCCAAGGAGAGGTAAATCGAGCAATGGTATTAAAGAACATTATATTTTAATTGCAATTAGAGAAAGATATCTTACTCTTAGGGCGCGTTCATGCTTGATTTTGACGGCCAGAATCAGGCATCTGTTACGCGTTTAGTTTAAAACACGCTTGCGTTCATGCTCACTTTCGTAGAATCACCGAAAAAACGGCGATCACGATCGCCGATCGTAAACTCACAAAAAGATGCGTTTACAATTTGTAAACGCGTTTAAATGGGGTCAACGCACTGACCTCTAGTGGGTCTACGTAGCATGCGCACACAGGTTTGCGAATCCAGCTGAAGGCCACCCAAGGAGAACTGCCTTCAGAAGTAAGCATGAACACTACATCGTGGAACTGCGATCACGATGAGCGTTTACGATGAGCGTTTCAGATCGCTCATTCTGCCTTCAAAATTTAAGCATGAACGCAGCCTTAGTTAGGTTTAGGCCTTCAATTTCATGTATGGTACCTGGCCCTGACAATCATCGTTCTATGGGTGATGGGGGGGGGGGGATTTAGTCATGAATCAATGTAGATTTAACTAAGTTCCCCAAAACTCTTACCTGTGAAAGATAGTTGATCTGCTCCATGAGTCTCTTCTCAACAGCTTCCAATGTCTTTGCAAAGGTTTTGGTGTTGGAGTCAATCTGTTTCTCAACAGGTCTATCCTTGGACAGTTCTAGAATCACTTTTCCTGTCAATCAGAAGGAAAAAAAAGAAGAAAAAAAAAATCAGGAATTAAAATAAATATAGATAAAAAACCAATAAAGAGGGTCCAGACGCGGATCCAGGATTTCTTAGGAGAGGGGGCCCAAATTTTAAATTATGCGACCAGCAGTGGCGTAAGGAGAAAAAAGTTTTGGGGGTGGGGCAGACAAAAAAATCTGCATCACCCCACTTTTACATGCAGGTCCGATGAGCATATTTTTATACCTCATTCATGACACAGGCAGGTAACTAATTGATGAGGGGTCCAGGGGCGGAGCACCCAGAAGCTAGGGGGTCTTAGGCATTAAGATACTGTCAGATGGGGGGAAGGGGGCTCGAGGCCCCTGACATGTAGGCTTTTAAATAAGCATATTGTTTGCTAGACCGAAAGCTTCAGTCTCTATAATCGTCGGTTGTTCCACTGAGACTACGTCTGGCTCCACTAGACCTCCGGTTATAGAGACTGAACGATCGCCTATGCCAGCCTATGTTGAAGATATCACGGCTAGATTTTAGCCGCTAGGCCCCTCCCACAAACATGACAAACTTGCCACGGCCGTATTTGTTATGCCCCCAAAATCCCCCAAAATGTCATTTTACCTCGTCCATATCCAATTTTAAATTAGGCCTAGGCTATAATACATTGGTTCCACTTACTAATTTTATGGAAATAATCTGTTTAATGGTCCCTTTTAAGGAAATTATGGGTCAAAATCGACATCCATGTTGAAAATCTTGCAAGCCGTGTTAAACTCTCGCTGCCGTCAATCTCATCCCTTCTAGTCTACGCCGAAGGCAAAATGATAATGAAGGAAAAACTGTGCTCCATCTACACGTTCGTAATGGCGTTATCACAGTTTTTCCCTTCATAATCATTTTGCCTTCGGCGTAGACTAGAAGGGATGAGATTGACGGCAGCGAGAGTTTAACACGGCTTGCAAGATTTTCAACATGGATGTCGATTTTGACCCATAATTTCCTTAAAAGGGACCATTAAACGGATTATTTCCATAAAATTAGTAAGTGGAACCGATGTATTATAGCCTAGGCCTAAATTAAAATTGGATATGGACGAGGTAAAATGACATTTTGGGGGATTTTGGGGGCATAACAATACGGCCGTGGCAAGTTTGTCATGTTTGTGGGAGGGGCCTAGCGGCTAAAATCTAGCCGTGATATCTTCAACATAGGCTGGCATAGGCGATCGTTCTGTCTCTATAACCGGAGGTCTAGTGGAGCCAGACGTAGTCTCAGTGGAACAACCGACGGTATAGAGACTGAAGCTTTCAGGTCTAATTGTTTGCCTGACTGTAAATTTAGGAATTTCTCATTTTCCAAAAGATGCATAAAAAAGTATAACTTACTAAAAAGTGAGGAAAAATCTCCCAAAATTATGTCATTTCAGCAACATTTGTAAATCTTTTGTATTGAATTAGAAATAAACCATGTTTAAATCTTGTGGGGGGGGGGGCACCTGACCCCCCCCCCAATCCACAACTTGTTGCCGTGAAATTGCGAACTGATATCCCCCTTTTCTTTTCTTCTTCCTCTTTTTTTCCTTCCCTTTATCTCCTCTCTTCCTTCCTTCTCTCTTATTTTTTTGATGGGGGTTGGGGGAGGCAAGGCCCCTTTGCCCACCCCCCCCCCCTTTTCTTTTCTTCCTCTTCCTTCTTTCCCTTTGCCTTCTTTTCCTACTTTCTCTCTCTCTCTCTCTCTCTCGCTTTTTGTAGGGGAGGGGGGTGGGCGCAAGGCCTGCTCGCCCCCCCCCCCCCCCTGAATCCGCACCTGCTCAATGGAATGCAACCATTTTCTGATGAACTTGGGCATCGCCATGGGATTATTTATAGTTTATGCACAGTTCGAATAGCGCGGGCAGAATCACAATGGATGCACGCATTTGTATTCACATTTCCGTGTGCAAATTCCAGTGTGCGGCAACGTCAACGCAAAAGGCAAAGACACACTGCAAACCACGAACTCAACTCATCAATGTAATGTAGCAAACACACAAGTCTCTTTCAAGTCATAATAATGTCAAAAAGAAAAAGAATAAAATTATTATATTTTACCTGCATGTTGGACAACTAAGGCAATATCTGTTTCGATACTCTCCAGTTGCTTTAGTCTGTCTTCAAATCCAGATGACATGATGACAATTTTTATATCAACATGTGTTGTGGTGGAGATCTAGATAGCAGTAGTACATGAACGTTATCATCAGCGCGCGCTATATGCTAAGTGTATACTACATAGAGATTGAGTCCCTAGCTGGTAAGCTAGCTGAAACATTACAGTGCAGTGTGCAGTGAGGCATACGGAGGCATAATGATTACATTAGCTTATTGTAATATGGACGATTCCATTTGGACGGGGGTGTCAATCTCATTATATCTTGCAGGTGCGACGACCAACCTGGCTGGGACGATGGTTTCTTTTTACGGATATAGGAGCAAGGGCTTTAAAATAGGGGTGGGAGGGGTGAAATCAAATGCGATAAAACTAGGCAGAATTTGCCCTTCTAGTTTTTGCTACTTCGATAGCAACTATAGCCTTCAGAGTGATACCCTTTTCCCATCACTGAATTTTGAGAAAATCGTGAAGATCCACAATTTGAGAAAAGATGGAAGAGGAACTAATAAGAAAGTAAGAAAAAACGCTGGTAGATTATTTTGTTTTCTTAGTTGTCTTTACCTATAGTTTACCATTTTCTTTGATTTTTTCATGTGAGATATATGGCATGGGTTCACCAACACTATTTAAAACGCTATCCCTGCATATATAATTAAGTTATGTGTATTATAAATGTATACACAGTGGCATATATGTAAGTTTTTTTTTCAAGGTGGGGGGGGGGGGGGGGTTAAATTGGATTGCATGTGACCTTGCGGTGAATCAGCCAGTCGGGGGGGGGGGTAGGAGCAATAATTTTTTCTCGACGGGGGGAAGGAGGAGGTGAGGGGTAGTAGTCCTAGTGTTAAGATGTTGTTCAACACCCATCCTGCACCCCCCCCCCCCTCCCCTTGAGCAAAAAAAGGGGGAAAAAGGAGCTTTTAATTTTTTTTTGGTTTTTTTTTGGGGGGGCAGGGGGTCCGAGGCCCCTTCTCCTGGATCCGCCACTGACAGGAACATTGAGGGGGATGTTTACCCTCAAACACCAAACCCCCCCCCCCCCCCCCCCCCCCCCCCCCCCCCCCCCCCCCCCCCCCCCCGCGTTCGCGCCTTACCTTTTATTTGTAGGTATTTTGATCTAGCTGATGATTATTTTTCCCAACATCTATTAAAATCATAATTTGTTTAAAACTTTCCAAATTTACTGTACATTACACCCCCTCTAAAAGTTTCCAATTTTATATCAGATTTTAGCTTGCGCTGATGGAGAATATTTCTTTATCCCCTACAAGAAATAGAACAGACTGGGAATGGGTCACAATTAAGCCAATCGCAATCCTCGTTCTAGAAAGCTTGACCCTGTAATATTTACGTGGAGTGTTGGCCAATTAGACGAAGGCTACCAAACTCAATTCCTGGCGTGGTACACGGTTCAAACATCGGAAGTACGGAGAGGATCGTTTTGCGAAAAACGTAGTGTCGTATCAAACATTTTGGGAAATTTACGCAATTTACAAGGAAGAAGAAATTATCTTTGTAAGTATTCGAGATCTGTACTCTTTTTTCAACCGGGAGGTAAATTTAAAAGAAAATTTATCGTAAGGTATGTTGATGATTCTAGTGCAAACATGAGCCTTATTTTCATGTTTTCTTGTGTCTGCTGCCGGGAAACATGTACAATTACGGTGTAGATTGTACGGTACCGCGCTGTTGTGGCTGTCGGTGTAATTCGTGATCGTGGCAAGCCTTGCTATTTTTAATGGGAAATGACAGATGATATCTGCTTGATCTTGAGTCTGAGGAAGTTACCGTGGAATGTGGCAAATGAATGAATTTATTGCGAATCATGCCTTGCTGCATGTAGAACTGATATTAGTACATTTTATACTTTTTCGTCTTCAAATGTAATGACAATGTTGACATTTTTTTGAGGAATGAAATTCAATGTGGAAATGGGCTGAATGGAATTACATTGCCAGTGCATGGCAGATGCACAGAGCTGAGCTGAGTTGACGACGTTATTAAAAAAAAGCTAACTTTCCTTTAGCTTTACTTGGTAGTCTTTGTCTTTACTTGGTAGTTCACCTTCTAATGTTACTGGTTAATACTGACTTTTGGATCTGCTTTTTTCCCCACTTGGGAAAGGAGAAATAAAAGAAGATGGATTTAGCTAGAGTAGACCTACCAAAATGTAAGATTATTTTGCAATATGGTTGTTGTTGTAATTTTGGTCTTGATTTTATGGCTGATATCTGTGCGGTATGCCAATGCAATGCTGGCCACTGGCATGGCCATTTCACGAACACTGAAAATTGAAGTAATTCAATTACTGATGTCACATGACAGAAGACAAAATTGGTCATGATTTAAAAAAAAAATGATTAGGTATCTGTTTCTTAGTCTTACCTGTTTTGTATCTATTTTCTATAAACGAAGAAATTATTAATATAGACCTCTACACTTTCTCTGTAGTTTCTCACAGGTTTCACGGCAAACCGCTGCATGATACAAATATGGTACGGACAGTGGGGCACGCGCGTCCGCACTTCACCTTTGGTATGCACTTGTATTGTGCAGCGCTTTGCTGTGAAACCTGTGAGAAAATGTAAATTACAGGTACAGTATGTCTTCATTTTTGGGAAAAACACTCCAAAAAAGATCATAAATTTGACACAGGTGAGAAACATAGCGACTTTTAAATCATGACCATTATTTGAACAATTGATGAAGATTTAGTCGATCTTTGGTATGATTTTGAAGGGTATCTCCACCCCGAAGTTACAGGTCAAAGTCTGGATATGATTCTGAATATTACTATTAGTTTGTTTGGTTCAAATCTTTACTTATGAATTCGAAAGACCACATAACTTATTTGTTTATGTAATATTCTCACTAGAGTCAGGTAGGTTAACTAGAGTCTAACAAATTTGACTTCATAAAAGTTTACCAGTATTAATTTAATGAAGAGCTGTGAAAATAACATGGCATATCTCATGTCAAAATATGTGTACATGTACAGTATTTGATGAAATTGATGGTAATTCTGTTATTGTATAGCTAGTCAAAGCAAACATCTGAAATGAAATCGCTTGTTTTTAAACAATTCTGAATTTGTATGTAAATAAATTAAAACTGTTAACTCTGCAGGGTCTGTGTTGGGGTCCTCCTTTTGTCCAGTTCATATATTGCATCGGTTGGATCTATATTTAAGTTGGTCTATATCTACACTGGATACTGGATAGATCTAATCGAGATATCCTGGGATGGTATGAGAAGTAATGTTTACTGTTTATTTTAGGGACAGCACAACTGATCAAAATCATTGTGTTATTGATGGATCAAGGCAGCTGAATATTCAGATATCTGCACAAGCAGTACCATGTATGAAAAGTCAAAGTGTTTAAACAAATTTCTTAAATTACATTGACAATTAAAATTATTTCACCAGAATTAAAAGATGAAAATCAATATATAAAACATTAAAGGTAAAGACCAGTATTGGTAACGCCCCAATTTCAAAAAATGAAATGGAAGCTCTCATTACCAATCATGTGAAAGAATATGTTTTGACTAATACATGATGATAACAAATTTGACGGGAAACCGCCTACTAATTCATATATTTGGTAAATTTATCTCTCTCATGGTCGTGTGAGAGAGATAGGGTAGTCCCATATACATCTTTCTGTGTATAGTGCTTGTAACTTTACGAAGAATGGGCCAAATTTCTTATCATTTTGATGATTCCAGAACCTTGCAGATGCTAGATGCTAGATGATCAACCTTTTCTGATCGATTCCACAACGTTTCTTACTTTCTTTCACAATGCAATCGCATGACCATTACTGGTCTTTACCTTTAAGGATTTTTAAAGATTATACATGTATATTGTGTAAACTAAAAAGAAAAGAAAAGGGGAAAACCGGTAAATACTCACTGGATGCATACATGATGTTGACTACATTACCCTCAGTCTTAGCTCTCTGTAATTGTGATTTGTTATTACTCTTAATCTTTAGGCCAAACTACAGCATATATCTTGGACTTGATGGGCATTTTGTTTTGTGAAATCATCAAAATAGTTCTGTTTTTTACAAGAAAAAATGTGAGGGGATCAATTTGCAGAAGCAATTATGGACCATACTGCTCATCTTAAACCTGATACAGTGAAACCTGCCTATAAAGACTACCCAAGGAAGACAAGAAGTGGTCTTTATGTACAGGTTCCTTTAGTACATGTTTCAATGAGAAACCATTTTCTAGGGAAACAAAACAATGTAGTCTTTCTATACAGGTGGTCACCAATTATGCAGGTTTGACTGTTAAATCAGTTAAGAATAGATAAATAATGTACAGTAAGGCCTAATTGTCTATATACTGTAATTTAACATAGAGTAGTGTGACATGTCTGAATTACACTGTACACCTGTATATTTTTTCTTGTGTATTTAGTATTTACCGAGTGTGAGTTATAAGTATACTGATTTTGTGTAGATTAGACTTAGATTTATTTATGAGGGATTTTGTGAGTAGGAGGGATGAACTTTTGAGTTTTTACGCATGTGAGAGGAAATGTTAAAGGTTATTAATCCCATTTCTAATGCACATGTAGCCACACCTCATATTTTAAGGTCACATGTACATGTACATGTACATAGGAGAATGTTTTAATTTCTGCTTGATTCTTTAGTAGTAGAATCATTTTTTTTTAAATTATTATTTTTTTAATTTTATTTATTTTTTTTATTTTTTTTATTATTACTATTATTATTTTATTTTTTTGAGGGGGACGTTTTTGTTAACATTTTTTGTTAACATGATACAGAGTTTTTAAAACATGTATTGATTGGCATTAACATTAAGATGAAAAACTAGTTTAGTAAATGTGGTGTTTTCAGCAAATTTAATTATATAACTTGGCAAGTGGTTATTTTTTTTTTACTAGGCTCTTAAAACTGTACTTTCTTTTACTTTGATTGTTGTATGTAAGTCATTTTTCAATGATAATTACAAATGTAGAAAGCAATGCATTTTGGAATGTATTCACCAAGTCCTAATGTGATTAATTGGCTAATGTGCTCTCATTAACCATTAGCAACCAGGCCCATTATGGTGTTTGCTGGAACACCTTGCTCAATACTTAAGTCATCGCTATTTGCTGGGGGTGGGGGGGGGGGGGATACATAGTACAGTATGTACATTGTACGATCTAGGCCCACATGTACAGTTCATACTTCTAAGATAAAAGATTTGTGGTTGCAGAGTACAGGCACCATGAGTATCATATTGTGCTTTCCCAGGTAAAGGGTAATCTTGGCACTGTGCCAAGTTTGAATGTCAGAGTGAGCTAAAGAGCGATGATTCACCATAGGGGAAGTACCTTATGTCATGTGACCTGTGCATTGTGTATTCATTAGAACGGTGGGCTCATAGAGTGGGCAGTGTGCTTCTTTTATTTGTTTGTGTGCTTTTGTTTTTATTTGTTTTTATTTGTTTCTTTCTTATTTTGTTGTTCTAATCTAGTTCAGAATGTAGTTGAATAAATGAATTACTAAAAAAGAAATCAAAGAACATGAACAAGATAGGCAGTAACTTTATAAAAAATAGAAAGCTCCATGTAGAATGTACATGTGTATCTGCTAATTTTCCATATAGACAAATCACCAAAATGGCTCCTAAAATTGATTGATTGATCATTCATAAACCTGACTGCTGTAAATGCATGCTTTTGCATGTACATTGCACAGTATACAAAGTATCAACATTTTGTAGGGTACAAGGGGATCCCATAGCATTAAGTCCTCCCCAAGGAACTGGTCTGTCTTACCAAGGCCACTTGCACATACATCAAATTCAAATCCTTCTTGAACCTTGTTTCTTCAGACTTTGAGCCATTTATAAAAAGTAATTAAAATAATTAATCATATGCTTACATTACATTGTATCTACAATGTAGAGGACAACTTTGGGAGTGGGAATATGGCTATGTTAGTTGGGTTAGAGTGGCCCTTTAAGTCCTCTCCAAGGGACTTGTATACCTTGAAAGGCCTATAGCACATGAAACCGGTTTTTAAAGGGCCACTCTAACCCAACTCTGTCAGAAATTATTCTACATGTCTTTTTTCCCCATTTTTTAGCCCGTTTTGGTTAGAGTGGCCCTTTAAACTTAGACCTACTGTACATGCAGATGCTTTGGGAGTTGGGACAAATGCTCTACCACTGAGCCGTTTTTTTTTAAAGTAGCAAAGATAATTAATCATTCATTATTTGTACTCTCTTTTCTTCGCAGTCCAAAATTGGCAACATGAGTAGCCACACCCTGCCCCCAGAGGGAGGGGGCGGCAAGGGGCCAGCCAGCCAGACTTCCTCGTCCCAACCCCCCAAACAACAGCAGCAGCAGACCCTGACGCAAAAGCTCGTAGCAGAGAAGAAACCGCAGGAAAAAGCGAAAGTGATTGTGCAGCCGGTTCACCCACCGCTGTCCACTACTCTGCCGTTACTGAGACAGAATGATTCACCAACACCTGTACAACAGCCGACACCTGCCATCATTGAAACTACAGTGCCAGTGAGTTTTTCCTGTTTTAACAAATATTCACCCTATTAGTGATAAGGGATAGTAATATAGCGTACTACACTGTACATGAAAGTTAAGCCTGGCTTAACTTAGTCCAGATTTTTATGGAGTGCCTCTTGCTAACTCATTTACCCTGTACAGATTATTTTAATTCTGCAATGAAAAGTGGCCCAAAAATTAGTTTTGCAACGAAATGGGAAGAAAAAGATAGTATGAGAATGAACTAAATTTCAACAAAGTCTTTGGTAAATTATCTTTGTCATGAATATTGAAGAAGGAAGATGAAACCTGGCATTCCATAGAAGTGAGAACTAAATTTCTTGGTTAGTCTGGACTTAGTCCCGGCTTAACTTATGAGAATACCACACTAGGGGTTTATGTATAAATCAGTGGGTGTTTCTTGAATAGGGGATAGGGATACATGTCAAATGCAGAAGGAGCAACGGAGATACCATTGAAGAGAAGAACTTGTTAGAGGAATTACACCGTGGAAGAATTTAGAGTAATGATCAAAGTACAGACAAATTTTGAAAGCATAAAGAATGCCAGAGACATGAAAATAGCAAGAATGATTTATGTAAGCTTATTAAGGTTCTATGTTTGGTCTGTGTATTAAACCAAGTTAATGTAAGAGTATGAAATTCTTTATATAAAGTGCCTACTGTAAATTGAAGGAAAAAAACAGATTTTACTTGGAATTGTACAAACCCTTCTTTACTTTATTTGTTTTGTTTTAAACAGGTCATCAAGTCAAGCATTCCTAATCTGAAGCAGCAGACTGTACCCATTCTATCAGGTGTCGCTTCCACCAAGCCAGCTCTGATCCCTACTATTCCCATCTCCTACACCACAACCACCTCCACCGCCCCTACCACTACCCCCATCACACACCCCCATAGTACCAGCTCTGCCACGCCCAACACCCCTGCCGTAGTCACCACCCAGGCCCGTCTAGCGTACCCGCCTCTAAACGTCACCATGACCTCTGTTGTTCCAACAAGGATCACTACAACCGTTGCTGCGGCATCAGGCGCGACTGCAGCAGCAGCAGCATCAGCTGCAGGTGGTGTCCCTGTCTCAGGTGTCCAAGCCCAGTACATCCCCTCTGTGCAAAAGCTACCACCCAACTCGTTACCTGCTGAAGTACCTGGTCATACCAAAGCAGGCTTGGTACCCGCCTCACACCTGGTAGCGGGGGCTAATATGTTAACAGGGCAGGTGCCGTACATCAGCGGTTCTCCTCTGGGGCTACAGCTACCCCCAGGCACACATCCATACTCTACACAGATTCCACGTGGTACGTAAATAAGTTTCCTAACTCATATGTTACAGATCTGTCAGTCACAAACTCAGCCCCTAAGTTTTGTTTTTTGTTTTGAATTTCTTTCTTGTCATGCACAAAATAAAATGAAGGCATAAAAATCATCTTACGGCTCACATTTGTATAAAATATAACACTACATTAACATATCATAGACAATAACTACAAATAACATAAATAACATAACAATGTAATATCATTTAACCTCTCTGTTGAGAGCCAGGGGAATTATTTGATTATTTGTACTCCCCTGGCTCCCAACAGACAATACTAACTTAAATAAATTGCATAAAATGTACATGACAACAATCAATGTCATATAACATATAAATAGAACAAGTCACAGCAAAGATCTTGACATTCAAGCCACACAATTTCTTTTTTGAAAGAATTTTCTGAATGTTCAAAGGAATGAGTGTCATAATATTCATTAACTATGCAAGAATATCAGCTCTTTACAGTTCTGTGCCATATACTGTACTCATGACAATAGTTGTAGTGTTTTCAAATACTTTAAAGCTTACCAACTCCAAACCTTACCTAATTCCCAATTATAACGCTAAACCTATAGCTATGAATGACTTAGCTTAGAGCCTGTGTTCTATAATTAGTCTAGTGTCACATTGTGTACATTTGTATTTGTGGTTCCACTCCTGGGGGGGGGGGGGGGTGTTTCACAAAAACTAAAATGAACTATATCGATCAATCGGTCTCTCAATTATGACCTTTAGATAATTTATTGTCCTTAATAAGGAACTAACAAAAAATGTAAATTCTGTAGATTTGTTACCAGGATATATATATATACGTCCAATCATTGAGAGACCAATGCCAGGAATTGTTAAAGGAACCAGTGACATGAAAGGCCTACCATAGTTAAGTCCGACTTAAAGTTGATTTTAGTCATTGTGAAACACTCCCCTGGTACATTAATATCGGCCAATGATCTTACAAAATGACTTATTTATATCCGCTTCACCCAATGTTTCAATCTGTCTGTCTGCAGGACCAACCTCAACTAATCTTAGTCTGGCTGCCACTGGGAAGTCTGGGCTGACCACAGCCTTGTTGACCAGAGCTGGTGTCCCCCAAGGAGCAGTTAGTACTGCTGCATTTCCTCAGCAGTCCATCTATGGTTACTCTGTAAGTCATGTCATATTGCTTAGGCCTAAAAAAAAAAGATGTTGTATTGCCCGTTGCGACTGACCCCCAAATCTTGAAAGCTACGGTCTGCATTTTTTTTATTTTATTTTTTTTTACGTTTAAGTTTGCAGTCTACTGTACATAAAAATATGAATATAAAGGTGTATGCTTAACATGTCATAGCATGGCTCCTGTTTGGTACCGTTATTACAACCGTAATATAGCTGAGTCTCAGAGAATTCTTATATTTGAATGTCATACGTGTCATGACACTGTACAAAGACAGGTACAGGAGGTAATTGTTAAATCGTAAATTGTTAGTTGCAGAATCAGTTATTAAGGGATATAATGGATGTACTTTACATTTATTTATACTTTGTTAATCTGCCCATTTAACCGTATAATGATATCACCAGTGGTGATCTTGGGTATGTCTATGGTTGTTATTTGTGTTATTATGTTTCTATACCAAAGCCTACATGTATACCATTTTGTACTTATGTCTATTGTGTGTTGTATTTATTCCTGATTTTGTATTTTTTTATAAATTGATAGTGCATGTATGATAATTGATGTTTTACAAATTGAAGAAACAGCTGGAAAACGAATTTTATGCCCTGTAACTATGCATGATCAGTAAAAGAGAATTGACTAAATCTCTCTTGACTTTGAACAGCGCCACCATGCACCGGGTCAGGTCCATCTCTTAACGCAACAACGGGCAGGGTCACCAGGTGTCCTAACAGCTGGAGCCCTTCCTCGAGCTGCATCCCCAGCCAGTACTCTGGCTTCATCACAGCAACATGAATCATTAAGGTAAGTCTAGGTTGTTTTTAAGCTCACTGGTATTTTGTCTGATGCTCATTTTACTAAGATTCGTATCAGAATGGATAGGGTACTACAGAAACGGTCTTAATTTCCTCTCATGATCCTTCCAAGTCACTAATCCATGCCCTTTTTTGAAGGCTTCAAATTGATACCTCAGTTATTCCTTCCCAGTTTCTAATCTTAATCTCCTCATATATGCCTTACATGATCCCTACAGGGGCGTTGTAGCGTGCGCCTGTAATCCAGCTAACAATCAAAGTTACAAACTGATACAGCTGAGGACGCAGGTTTGAAACTGAGTCACGTCTTTCGGATGGTGACTTTAAAAGTTGGTCCCCAGGCGCAAATAATCATACCTGATTGATACACGTCTGTAAAAACCCAATTACACACACACACACACACACCTTCAAGACTCTAAGCCATGCCCTTCTTGGTCCCTTTTTGATCCCCTCAGATTGAAACCTCACATGATCCCTTCAAGACTCTAAGCCATGCCCTTCTTGGTCCCTTTTTGATCCCCTCAGATTGAAACCTCACATGATCCCTTCAAGACTCTAAGCCATGCCCTTCTTGGTCCCTTTTTGATCCCCTCAGATTGATACCTCACATGATCCCTTCAAGACTCTAAGCCATGCCCTTCTTGGTCCCTTTTTGATCCCCTCAGATTGATACCTCACATGATCCCTTCAAGACTCTAAGCCATGCCCTTCTTGGTCCCTTTTTGATCCCCTCAGATTGATACCTCACATGATCCCTTCAAGTCAAGGACTGAAACCCGACAGCTCGACCCAAGCCAAGGTTGAACTCAAGATGGTCATCAAGAAAGACACGACCAAGCCGGATTCCTCTACCAAGACCGACGCCAAAGCAGACACAAGGCCATCATCGCGGACAGAGACCACCGATAAACCTGGAGATGCAAAGAAGGACGGGAAAGCAGAAGAACGTATACAAGGAGTCAAGCTAGCCGTTGCCATGGCGTCTGGCAAGGGAACGTCGGCTTCGGAGAAGGACCCGAGGGACGACGTGGCTCGAAGTGCTGCAGAGGCAACAAAGGTCGAGATGCGGTCTTCGGAAGGCCGGGTGGAGATGAGGGTCGATGTGAGACCGATTCATAGAGGTCCGGAGGTGATGGGACCGAGATGGTCCGTACCGCAGAGATGGGGTGGTCTCCCACCGTCGGGGCCCACAGGGGGTCTACCAAGTCACATGATGACCCAGGTTGTAACCAGCGTAGGGGGTATGCTTCATCCAATCTCATCAGTCCCTGCAGGTACTCCAAACAGTAAGTAGCACCTGGGCCCTGTTTCATAAAACTTGATAACAATAACAAGTTACAAGCTACTGTTATAAGCTACTGAAATCGTGGCATCTGATTGGCCGAGAGCTAATTTGTCGTAGAAATTTAGCATTTGTTATACATAACAAGTTTTATGAAACGGGCCCCAGGCTTTGAAATTCATGTGTACTTTATGGTATGTGACAAAGTGATCTTCATATTCAGAGATATATCTTTTCTTCAATGTTTTTTCATAAGGGCCGGGCCCACATGACTTATATGACAATTTGTACAGCTAGTATATCCAGAAAGGATGATGGATATCTGTCTTGCTCACTGATTTTATGTTATTGAATCTTTATCACAGATTTCCTTGGATCAAATACCCTTTTTTACATATATTTTTTTTAGTATAGGGTGATGTGTGACCAACCCTGAAGAGAATTAAAAGTTTTCTTTGAATCTAAGAGCCACTCAAAATTCCATATTCTGCAATGTACATTTCAACACTTCATAATTGGGACTGTTAAAACAGAAGTTTTACCGGTTGGATACTTAAACCTTATGAAAATTCCTGTCCTTTTAAATAAAATGTGTGAGGTATAATATATTTTTTTCACTTAAAAGTCAGAAACGTGTCTTTTGAGATGGAAGTCATCACAATTTGTATATGTTAATTTTGTTTGTTTCAGCTTCATCACATCCAATGGTACGGGCACCCCCACCCACGACATCATCAGGCACAGGAGCATCACAGCCCACTGCAACCAATTCAGGCACCATTCCCGTTGGTGAGTTTTAATAAAAATAATAATAATTTCTTTCATAACTCTTACCAGTTACAATCTGACTTACCAAAGCGTGATAGTATTATCACCCTAGTCACTGGATTCAGTTAAGAGTACAATTTTGCACTGAACAGAACACACTCCACTGGAGAAAATATTTCCTTCCAGCCAGTTACCTTTTGAATGGGTGTGAACATGCTAATAACAATCATATTTATGTTCAATTAAGGTCCGTCTTAGAAATACTTTGTGACATATTTTCTGATTTCAAAGTAATATAGACCATTTTCGGATGTAGTGTCATTTAATATATCCATTGAACTTATAGATTTTTACATTGTCTAACACTACAAAATATATAAACAGAATATATTTGGATTTGGAGAATTCTTTTTTTAATGTCAGAAATATATTCAGCCACTGCTGTCTTTGAAGAAAATGTAATAATTATTGAAGATATTGTTGCATTGCAGAGGTTAGTAGGTCCTTCAGTCACATTACCATCAGGAAGTCCATTACATTGTTTGTAAGGATGTCTCTGTTATCCTGTAAGCCACCATAATGTTGGATAAAGTTGAATTACGATGTTCTCCATTCCAATGTCAAGTTTCTTCTCTCCAACTCATACCTTATTCTCTGAGTTTTGTCATAAATCAGTAGTATTACGCAAGGGATCTGGTAACTTTGTCTCAGATTCTGAAACAAAATCCTGGATTTAGCTCATGCTGCCATGATAATTATAAACCTTTAGACAAGGGGATCGCCTGTCTGATTATCAAGATATTTATGATTGAAATTACAAATTTTGAAAACCGTTTGCCAAACGGTTTTCATAGCACTACAGTCTATTAGGGAAAAGAGTACTTTTTTGAGGCACTTCTTGATCATTTTGAATCACAATTTTTTTTTTTTTTTTTTTTTTTGGGGGGGGGGGGGGGGCTTCAATATTACACCATATCACAGACACTAATAACACATAGGACCATGCATTTCAGATTTAACATTTTTAAACGATGCCTTTAAATTGTTTTAAATTAAAATTGTCATGTAAAGTGAGACCTGCTAGCTACCCCCTGTGTAGAAAAGCCACCTTCATGTTTCTTTTCAATGGTACATGTATTTCTCATATAAAAAATTACTAAAGTTACCTGTCAGTAAAGGCCACCTGTTAGTGAAAACATATTTCTTCTCTACCTTGAACAGAAAAGCCTCCTTCCTGTTTCTTTTCAATGGTATTTCTCATATAAAAAATTACTAAAGTTACCTGTCAGTAAAGGCCACCTGTTAGTGAAAACATATTTCTTCTCTACCTTGAACAGTCTTTATATCGTCTATTTTAAGTCATAAGGGCATTAACTCATATTAGTTTACAGAGGTAATACCCTTACCCATACAACCCTACAGGTTTCACTGTAAATTTCTGTAAAAAGTGTGTTGATTTCTCGTGCTATCTGGGTTCCCCAACATTGAGTTTATATCCTATATTTTTGCATTACCCCATCAGCTAAAGTCTATCCCCGCCAACAGCAGCAGCAGCAGACGCAGCAGCCCCCTCCCCAGGTACCCACCTCCCAGCGGTTCCCCATGCTCTCTGATCAGACGGCGGGGCCTGCCTATATCCAGATGCATCGGAGCTCACCGGGCGTGACCGCCAGTACCCCGGCCTCCACCCACCCTGCTACCATCTCCACCACGGTGCCGGTCCCCCACACCACGCCCGCGGGGGCAACAGAGGTCAAGATGGAGAGACCACCGCCCCACGGATATGCCCTCTCATATTATTATCATCCAGATTTAGGTGAGGAATGGTGGATTTCTAATCATTTGATAATAATATAATAATTACGTTTTATTTACCCAGGGTAGCCACTTCAGATATGAAACTGCTCTTCCAGCGAGCCCTGCATAACATAATATGTTATTACTACCCTTTTCCAATCTCATATGCTGAGCGCCTAGCTAGAAGGCAGAAGGTCCTATTGTTATAAGTCTTTGGTATGACTCGGCCGGGGTTCGAACCCACGACCTCCCGTTCATGAGGCAGGCGCTCTAACCACTGAGCCACCATCCCCGGATTATAATATTATAATTATTGTGTTAGAACTGATATTGACACAAAATAAACTCTCTTAGAATCCAAGAAAACTGCTGTTTATGTCATACGTCTGACTATGTTTAAAAGACGCGTCCTTCAAAATTTGTGCTTGTTTTTCTTTCTTTCATAGGTTACCAGCATGCTGTTGCTATGCAACAATATCCTGGTCGTCATGGTTACAACCCAATCATTAGACCGCCTGTTGGTAAGTAGGCATCTTGCTCTCTCTGTATTGTGCTAGAAATATCATGGGGAAAAATACTTGTGCCAAATCGTATCCATAATGTTCTGAGCAGAATTATTGGGGTATTCTTCAAATGATCCCTGTCCCCCACTCCACCCCCCTAACATTTATATGTTCTCTTGCATTCCAAAGCAATTAAGACTTTAAAACTATTGTGTAGATGTAATTTATTAATTTTCAACTCTTTCTGTTAATCTTATCTCTATTCACTAGACGGTCAACACCGATTACCTCATCACCCTGGCTCATCGTTGAATCAGAACAGTCCTGTTGCAGCAGCATTAGCAGCTACGACCCATGCAGCCAATATGGCTGGGGCCCCCGGAAGGCCAGGCCAGCTGACTATGATGGTTGGAGCAGATCACAGGCGGCCTATTGGATTGCAGGGTAATACTACCCCGGGGGTGCCCAGCAATAGTGTGGGGGAAGGTTGGTCAAAAATGCTTGTTGGCATGTCGGTTGACCCGTGTAGTCGTGTCCAATGGGATAGTTTGATGTAGATTTTAGCATGTTTGCTGTGGCTAGATTTGAAAATAATATTAAATTTGTTTGAGTATTTTCTTATGGTTTGCATGTTTTCCTTTACTTTCTATTTTATGTTATTTTGTTCAATTATTTTGTAGTGTGTATACCATGTTTATTCAGTTATGTGAAAGCTTGGCAATGTTTATATTTTTAGAAGCAAGTTGTCGATATTGCATGTGTTTCTTTTCATTCTTCTATAAGTTCAGCTGGATATTTTGTTTAACAATTATGGAACAAATGCCTGACAATTTTTGGGGGAATTTGTGCATGTTCAAAGATGAAAAACAATTGCCGAATTCTTTGCAAATCAATGAGAAAATTTTACATTTCTAATGCCTGCCTCTCATTTTACTATGCTTCTGGTGATTATTAATTTATGTAAATAGTTTTTTATTTGATCTTTTTTACAGCATACACATCTTACCTTATATAGGATAACCTTTTTTAAAGTGCTAAATACCAGTAGTTTTCAGAATATATGTAATGAGAATGGGTTTTTTATTCAAGCTTGTGATGAAAATCTTCATAATCAAAAGAAAACAGCATGAATGATCAGTTTGAAGACCTGTATGGATGTTTTAATGTTATGTGCAGTGGTTATGCATTCGCTCTTCTATATCTTGTTTTTTAGACACAGTTTGCAAATAGTGTTTCTATAAATATCCTGATTGTCTTGTTATCTCCCATCAGGATCAGCTGAGGGCAGTGTTCCTTCGTTCACGATGGCACAGGTACCGCCCGGAGCCCTGGGGTTGACCCAGGGTCAGATGCCTCCATCCTCCGCAGCCAATCCCGGTGCTTCCCCTCGACCTAGTATTCTCAGGAAAAGAAATAATGATAGGTGAGTTCAGAGCTCTTTTCCTTCTGTCCCACGGAATCTAAAATCCAGTGATCATAGAAGGGACCTCAGAAAGGTCATATTTAAAGAGAAGGTTGAGTTCTGGGAAGAGATGAAAAATAATTTGTGAGCGTTATCATTGTTATTAAGCAAGTGTGGAAGAACATCCGATAGAAAATGTTCCCTGAAAAGCATTACTCTTCAAATGCCCTAACATTCTAAATATGGCATCTAACAACATAAAAATCGGGACAGATTTTAAAGCCACATGTTCGTGTAGTCCCATATACATCTTTCATTCTTTCTGTGTACAGACTGGGCCAAATTTCTTATCACTTTGATGATTCCAGAACCTTGCAGTATACACCAATACCTGTATGCTAGATGATCAACCTTTTCTGATCCATTCCACACCTTTTCTTTCACAATGCAATCACATGACCAGAACTCAACTTTATCTGTAACCATGCTTCTTCATGACCTTGCCTCCTTATAAACTCTATCCCTATTAGTCACAGGTGTTTCTGATTAAAAAATAATGCACAAACACCAAAAAAGGCAACATTTTGGTGGGTTTAGGTAGCTATTTTAGTACTTCTTTTCTTCTAAAGCTCTTGCTTTCATGCTTTTATTCTTCCACTGTCTTTGAAGATAATATTTCAACTTATGAACACTTGATTATTTTTTCCTGTCTTTTTAGCGCATCAAGCCGGAAACCCGTCATGGCCAGCGCCGTCATGTCACAACCAGGTAGCCCAGGGGTCAAAGTTGAAATCACAAGAATACCGGTCACAAGTAATTCACCAAAGCCAAGGTGAGTGTTAAAGGGATTGGGTATCTACATCTGAAACAAAATCCTGGATTAAGCTCATGCTGCAAGGATAATTATAAACCCTTGGGTCAGTCAGGAACCCCATGACTTTTACAAGCGCCTGTCTGATTATCAAGATATTTATGATTGGAAATCAAAATTTTGAAACTGTTGTTCTAACCGTTTTTATAACACTACAGTCTATTGGGGAAAAAGAGTATGGTAAAACCGGTCACTTAAAAGATTTTTACTGTTTTGTAGCACTTCATTATGAAGTGCAATTTGGTATATGAAGACTACTCTTTACTTATTTCCTTGCTCTCTTGAGAAAATGATTCTCTGTTAATATCATCTCCCACTTTCAATTTGTGTACAGTGATTCATTACCCAGTAGTCAACATTCAGAGAACAGCAACGCCTCTGAGACCAGCACAGATACTGCACCCCTCTCTACCGGTAGTGGTCCCATCTCCACCGGTCCTGGTCCTATCCGCATCAAGCAGGAGACGGATACCAATGGCCTGGACCTGGTACCCCTCGGTGGTTCGGCCTCGACGCACGAGAACAGCATTAGCAGTTTGGCGCCCTCAGTAGGTAGTACGGAGGAAGTGGGTCCATCGCCGAGAAAGAAACCAAGGAAACAGCAGCACATGTAAGTAGTACAGAATTGGTATGATTGAATAATGGTATATACACGGCCAAACCTATTGATGTGGCCACCTCTCTGTATAGGCTTACTTTCAATCGTGATCACTTTAATTATGTGTCGGGTAGAGTTCAAACATCACTGGTTTACAAGTGTAAATCAGTTCAAATCCATCCTTGGGAATGTTGGTACAGCCACCCCTTTAAGTACAGTCCATACCAGAGAGATAGCATTACCTGGAGGGGCAAATAAGTTTATTTATATGCTTCAACATCAAAGCAAGTAAGCTTGTAAATTGGTAACTTTCTTGAATGCTCCTCTTCTCCTGATTAACTAATAGTGAGGATGTAATTATTCTGCGGACCTCCCAACTGTAAGCCTACAATCATTACCTCTATATTATTTCTCTTTGCATGTGAGAAATCAGTTAATTCCTTGAAATCCTAAAGATTGCATGTATTTTTTAAAACATTGTAAAATATTGTATATACAATCCAAATCTCTCATTCACCAGTAGTGATTGTAATGAAATTGAGTTTTGTCTTAAAGCTTTGTTTAAACTGCCCTCTGGGGGCGGAATGCGCTCCATTTCGTCATCCAACTTATACCTCGTCATCGTCATACTTGCGAGTGTGGCTACAATAACTAGATTGAATTGCTTGTCTCTTTGGCTGCCTCACATGAATGGAAAAGAATGTGTACAATCCATAGTGCATCTTGTATGACCTGTGACCTCTGAATGTTTTCTCGCATTTCAGTATTGCCACTTTATTAGTGGTAGTGGAGGATGCTGGATGATCAGTCAACGGATGATGAGAAGGATAATGATGATGATGATGATATATTTTGTCTTTAAGTATTGCCACGGAACATCCGATGATGCTGGATGATCAGTCAACGGATGATGAGAAGGAGACCAAACAGAAAGTGCCTTTCAAGCTGCATAAGAAAGAGAAGAAAGAGAAGAAAAATGCTGCTAAAGGTAATTCAAACCCTTAAGAAATAACAATAAGTAACTTAGTATGAAGGTTTCAGTTCTCTTTATGCATTAAAGGTATAAATAAAATGTAGGTGATTGTGTACTGTGTTAGGTGCACAGTTGAAGGTCAACATTGACCAAGAATCAATTGTCACCTGAACATGTCTTGCAACGTTCCCACGAACATGAGACATGGGGCCCGTTTCACAAAGCCCTTTTTCAATGACAAATGACATAATTCAGTGACAAATCTGCTGATAACCAATCAGAAGCAAGGAATTCAGTAGCTTATAACAAAGACTGTCATTTGTCACTGATGACAAGTTTTGTGAAACGCCCCCCTGATCTTACTTTCCTATCTCTTCCCACACCTAATAGCAGCAGCCGCGGCGGCAGCAGCAGCCAATGCAGAAGCAGAGGCCATGAAAGTGGTACAGTTCTTCAAGAGACCATGTCCAAGGCTGGTAGATAACTACAGACAATCCTGGAAACCAGCTCACAATCACTTTGAGAAGTACTCAGATGTCAAACCTAAAGGTAAGTTTTTATCTGAACTTCTGCTGTGCCCATGGCAGAGCTGCCAACTAGTATGGATTTCCCGTAATTGATACGGAAATTAACGATCATTACGGCAGTACGGAATGTTGTCTAAGAATTACGGAATTTATCATAGCGGGTGCTGTGCATTATGGTGGCCACCCAACACATGATGAAAAAGATGAAAAAGTATCGGGTATTCTCTTAATAGAAGCCATTTTTCATTGAAAACTGATGTATTGTGATGACCTGAAAGTCAATATTTCGCAACTTTGTGTGAGTAAAATCACCAAAAATTTCAAAAAATCATGCGTGTATGCGTCCGCGCAGTGTTGGCGTGCCGTTTTTTTTTTCAGATTCATAGCGCTGCATAGGAAATTACTGATTTATTCCCACAATTACTGATTTTGAGCCTTGTGATTACTGATTTTCTGTTCTGGAGGTTGGCAGCTCTGTCACTGGGGTTTTGCTTGTTTCAAGAGTTGACCAACACACGGTGGATGCTTACTTGCAACTCGTTCAACGAGAGTATAATACAAAGTGTGTAGGAATGATACCAAACATTAAAACTATTTGAAATGTTCATGCTTGGGGAGTATCATCATAGAATTATGGAAAGTTTTATTTCTGTTTCGTAATTTACATTCTCTCTCTCTTTTGTGTTGTTGTTGTTTATTTAGTCAGTGGGAAAGTTAGTGGTCTAAAATTATGATACATGTATATTGTCATTGAATTGGCAGCTTCATAGTAACCTGTCACAGAGAAAAACACAGAAATAAATTAGTATAAGATAAGTTAATGTTTTGGGGTTTTGTTCTTCTTTTTATCAAGTAACGATCATAGTGGAGGCCCTGTTCAAAAGCTCTGAGAAATAGCTTCATAATATATCTCTTAAAGCCTTTCTGCACTAGTTTGGCCAGGAGGGATTAGACCTCCCTGTGTGGTCAAAAGTGGTCACTGGCAGGTGGTTATCTCATCAAATCAGCTCTCAATTAACATAAGAAAAAGGGGACCATGGGGGATCAACGGGTACCGCTTAGGCATTGTTGGCAATATAGAGGGCGTAAGTAGCTACGAGTAGTGCAGTCCGGCTTAAAAGTTTATAGTGAGGAGAATTTTCATGAAAGTATTTCAAATAGGTTTTAAGTCAAGATTCACAATTTCAGAGTGTCCTTTTATTACAATATAAATATAATTTAATAAAAAATATAAGTTATTGATACAAATATATATCAAAGCAATGATGAATTGTATTTTTTTTTAATTTCCAGAAGAGAAGAAGATTGGTATTCATGAAATTGCCAACCAGCGAGGTATTCTAAAGAAGACGGATGGCTGGAAAATTCATCATATTGCCTACCAATTTGAGGATTTAGTAAGTACTCAGGACATCTTTTATATGTACACCTTGGTATAGATTCTGTTGCTATTTCCATTTGAGAATTTTTGTTATGAGGAGTAAATCTGAGGAAATAGAGCCATAGATGAAGTTACTGAGCTGAGTTTGAAAGAATGAGCGAGAGTCATACAGGTGACAGATCGGAAATTAACTTTAATCACTGATAGTAATTGAGCCATATCTTGCTATCTATAGTGAAACCTAAAGACCGCTCAAGGGAAACATGAAAAGTGGTCTTTATGTACAGGTTCCTTCAGTAAACTAGTAAAGGTTTAAATGAAAAACCTTATTCATGGGAAAGAAAAAATGTGTTCTTTTACAGACAGGTGGTCTTTCTATACAGGTGGTCACTAAAGCAGGTTTGACTTTATTTGCTTATTAGTGTCATGGTGAAACAAGCACCAACTTATAAACAAGTTAGTGATCTACCATTACATACAAATTTCACAGAATAAGTGTGTAAAACCTAGTGCACACTCAGAAACTGTGTCAGGCCTAATTGTAAACTGATTTCTTTGCTTCTTGGTTTCAGAATTCAATGGAGAAGGATTGTTATGATGAGATGAAGTCAATGAAGGATGGTTTACAAGGGATGAACAGCAACAGCAAACTGAAGGAATCAGAAACGCATAAACTCTCAGAACTCGTACAGGTGAGTCATACACTTCGTACATATAAGCTTTAAAGCCCATCTGTACTAGTTTACAGGAGGGAGATTAGACCACCCTGCAAGGTCACTGACAGGTGGTTATCTCATCAAATCAGCTCTCAATTTACATAAGAAAAAGAGGATCATGGGGGACCAATGGTCACCGATTAGGCATTGTTTGCTATATAGAGGGCGCAAGAAGCTATAAGTAGTGCAGTGGGGCTTTAAATGCCACACAAATAATCTCCCTGTGCCACACTGTGTTTATCATGTGATAGATATAAAAAAAGGCTACAAGATTATTGAACTTTTTCCAGTTGCAAGATTAATCTACAGGTATTAATAGGGTTGCCAATGTTTTGCACAAAGCAATTCTTCTATCAATGAATTGTTATTGTTTTGTTCAAAACTAACAAAAGGTAGCGTGGATCCTTGCATAAGGCTAAACTGTACATTACCACCAATAACCTTGAGTTTTGATAATGACCTTGAGCTTTGATAATGATGGATAATAGATGTCTCGTAATCAAACAAAATTTATCCTGGAATGGTGAGGACTTTAAATACATGATGCATGGCAGTCATTTTGTAAGATAACTTACTGTAGCTGATTTAATGAGGTTTATGAAATCAAGCTTGTAGTCTTAGTCCCCATGTGTAACATGCAGTTCCATTGAGAGTTTTTATTTTTAATAAATGTGATTTTCATTGAGTGTTTGTTAGTTGACTTATGCTTGTGTTGCTGCAAGTTGATAGATACCAATACACAGTGAAACCTGCCTATAAAGACCATGTAAGGGAGTCAAGCAAAGTGGTCATTATAGGCAGGTGGTCTTCATGTACAGGTCTCGTTATTACTTGTTTCAATGAGAAACCATTTTCAAGGGAAACACAAAATGTGGTCTTTGTAGACAGTTGGTAACTAAAGAAGGTTTGACTGTATATGTTTTTGTCATGTTTTTTCCCAGGGGTCGATACAAAGGAGTCAGTACGTGATGGAATATTTAGAGGAAGCGAAAGGAACAATACTCAAGATGCTCGACCACAAGACAAAGGTTGCCGGCATCGTCAAGAAACACGCAAACAAGAGACATGTCAAGAAAAAGCACAGTCCCTGAGTCCAATGGCCGGGCGTTCACGTCGTGTTCTCGGCAACAAAAAAACTCTCACCGTGGACAATCATTATTTATAGGGTCAGATGGGGTCAAAGTATGTTAAGGTCAAATCAAATGGCATCAGGTCAGTTCAGCAGCGGTTCAGCAGAGATTTTGCATCTATAATTGAAATATGGCGATACCAACAGGTTGGTCTCTATTTACAGGGAGCTCAATGCATGGTGAGAAAGCAGACTGGATCACAATGGGGAATCCCCTGCGAAAATGCAATCCTTGAAATCTACAAGCCATGAGGAAGTACTCTTTTGTCCTCCCTCTCTCTCTCTCTCTCTCTCTCCCTCTCTCTCCCCCTCTCTCTCTCTCTCTCTCTCTCTCTCACGCTAATCACCTGCAGAGTACAGCAAGGCGAGACCGAGCATTGGAAATGGATGTATCACACGCTCATATAGATATTGAAACTCCGAAGCCTTGTCCACACTTGACACGGTAGCCACCCTAAAGAAAAATGAGCTGCAGCAAAATGGAAACACTGTGCATGCAAGTAAATGGCTAGTGGAGAAGATTGAAAGTAGCTACAAGCTATGAAAGCTCCTGAGCATACCTGTTTATCTCAATGTATGAGATGCAGAATCATGAAGTGCACTACGTTTACTGCATTTTTGTTTTATGATGCTGCAGCATTTTTTGTTTGATGGTTATCATTTTGTGTGAACAAGGCTTCTGCATATCTGTGAGGGAAACTGGACACAAAGTGCACTGAATTTAATAGCCTAATATGAACATCTGGACCCTGTTTCATAAAAATTGATATCAATAACAAGTTACAAGCTACTGTTATAAGCTACCGAAATCATGGCATCTGATTGGCCGAGAGCAAATTTGTCATAGAAATATAGCGTTTGTTATTGATAAAAAGTTTCATGAAACAGGCCCCAGAATGTGTGACTTGTGTACTGCGAGTAAAACAAGTTATACTTCGAGCTATACCATTAAAAATAGATTTGATATGGATGAGTATTTAGACAAGATTTTAATTTCCTCACATTACAAAGCAACTGAGAAGTGTTATTGAAGAATAAAGCCATAGTTTACTGGAAGTTGACATTTATCGCACAAATACAAGGAGTGACGGGACGGGGTGTTAAGGGGAGTCGTTTATGAAAGAGGTGCTATTTTTGAAACCTTGGTTAGATGCATTTGATGTGAAAAACAGTTGATGAGTTTTTTTTTCTGATCATGAGATTTAAGTACAACTTCGGTGCAATGATTTTAGCAGGGAACAAAAATCATGATTTTATTGATTTGTTCTGATCAGTTTTCTTGAAAAACATTCCATGTTGGGAATATAAAGAAAAAGAGGGATGTAGCAAACTACAAAGTGTGTAATGTAGCATGGCCTGATACATGCATGGGCACAGTCTACATTGCCCCCCCCCCCCCCACCAATTATTTACATGGGGCCAATGCGTACAGACCCTAATACTGTCGCTCTGGGCATCGTTTCATAAAACCGTCATGAGTACATGTTCACCGAACATCCCATTCAAACGTGCGTTAAATTCAATACATTCGTTTCAATGAGATGTCAGTGAACTTGTACTCTTGACAGTTTTGTGAAACGCTCCCCTTCACCCCTTAATGACAAAAGGTGATATGGAGCCCAGAATATTGATTTCAAGATATTGTTTGTTAATGGCTCACCACCTGAAATGAGAGGGTGGAGGTTGTTGTGAGATATTTATAGAACAAACCAAAAACTATGTCTTATAGAACAAACATTCATTACTTCAGAGTTGGTGAGTGGCTTTGATATTTTGAAACTTATCAAGCCATTCATATGACGTCCCAGCCTCTTTTTCAGTCATGCTCAGATTAATTGATGAGGGTGCGACTCAAAGCATTCTCGACTAGAGACCTTTTTAGCGTAACCATAGATTTGAAGGCGTCGTTTAACAATGCCAAATCTGAGATGCAAGGCCCTACGTGTTATCAGTGTCTCTGATATGGTGTAATATCAAAGCCCTAATAAATTTGCGCTTCAAAAAAGTAAGAATCTTTGAGTGAACGGTTTTACCATACACATTTTCCCCAATAGACGGTAATGTTAAAAAAATCGTTGGGAAAACAGTTTTTGAAATTATCTTGATAATCAAACATGCGATTGGCTTGTAAAAGTCATGGGATTCACTTCTGACCTTAAGTTTTATAATTATGATAGCAGCACAAACTAAATCCAGGATTTTGTTTAGAATCAGAGGCAAAGTTACCCAATACCTTGAATGAAACTAAATGAATGGTGGCTTTAAAGGTAGTGTCAACTCTTTGCAATGGGTCACAAACAGTGGGAGAGGGGGGGGGGGGAGGGGGGAATAGAACTGAACATTGAGCGATTTTAGCTCTCGAAAGCTCCAAAAGAGCGCTGGTAAATTGTAATGGAGCTCTGGTAACAAAAAAACACGATGAAATACATTTATATCACTGTTGAAATATCACAACATTTCTTAAAAGGAGCCCCCGCGAACAGAACATTATTTTTGTACGTCTAAATGCCCTTTGAGAAGTAGAATGGTGCTTGGCAGACGACATGGTTTCATGCCGTGTCCTTAGCATACAAAGAATGTGTGTGACATTTATGATTGGACATGGCTGCAGCCTCTGTCATAGTAGTAATTGGTTACATAACCTGTAAGGCATTATGACAAAGAATTATGATTGCAATTTTATTAACGAATAAATGTTATGTCTGCATACTCGCTTCATCAAAGAAATCATTACTTGCTGCAGGAAAGGTTTTTTTAAGAGTAAAACTAATCTGAAATTTTGACAATTTGAGGCTTTCAGTCACACCATCTGGTAGCTATACTGAAAAGGCTATTGATGTAATAATCTATAATTGTCCTTTTCTCTAAATTAAAGCAAGCAGTGCGAGCTACAGTTGTTCGACACCTGCTCTCATGACAATTTTCTGAACTAAAAGAATTCCTAACTTCAACCTTGGCTACAACACAATCCCTAACCCTTACCCTAACTCTTATCCTAACCAAAAATCAACCTAGGACACAATCGCAGCCCTGACCGTAGACCGTAAGCTTCAATTCTTTGAATGTCTGTTGTTCCACTGACTGCCTCTTGATGGGGAAGGCTGAAAAATGTCTTTTCCCCCTTTTTGTAACAATAAAAGGAGGTTATTTCTACATCTTTGGAGGAAAAGTTGCCCAAATGTTAGATCCCCTGGCTGGAAGTACTGCGACACGATCCGAGAGAGTGAAGAAATTGCCACATTTGGAGATATTAAGAGAATGTTGTATACAAATGATGTCATAGTGAGTTTATGTTGTAATATATTGCTGTTGTCTAAGGACCAGTACTGGTTCATTATTATTACTTTGTATTATACCTGTACATAAAGATGTCAAATACCTGTAGCATTCAGTTGAATCTTTTGTTGTTGACTTTTTGAACAAAAAACAAAAAAATTACATATATCAGACGAACTATGATGTCTGGAGAAACTAAACAGTAAGTGCTGGTGTTCTTTTATTTTTTTGTCTTTTAGAAGATGAGATGATCAGTGAATGAATGAGATTAAAAAAAGAGGGAAAGTAAGAAGACAGATAGAGAGAGGGTGAGAGGTTAATAAGATGGAGAAGAGAGGGAGAGAGAGAAGGGGCACAGACTGAGAGAATTAAGGTAGATGAGACCAGCAGAAGAGAAAGATGTTGGGGGGGGGGGGGCGGGCGGTGGACTGATAGAAAAATGCTTGCGACAAATAGAGGACGCAATTAGGGTGAAATTATTAAAAGGATTATAAATGAGAAAAGCTACAGGAGGGAAGAGCTTTAAAAAATTTCTTCACTTTATGACAGTAGATTTATTATTTTTTTCCAATTCACCTTGGTTCTTTAGACCCCCATTGAAGAACAGTTTTGTCATGTTGCTGAATGGGCTATTCAACCATTCACTACATTCTTGATTTTACACATGCTTTTCTATGTGATTGTTTTTTATATTGTGATCTGCAAAACGAATTCTATGCCACACCCTACGACCCCTCATATTCTAAGGAAAAAAGCAGATTGAACATTTGTTGACCCAGTTCCATCCTAAATATCTCGATGCTTTTCAGCTCTTTTGAAGATGGAGGGCAAATCTAAAATAGAGAATGGTTGATTCTGGGCAAAGTTAGTTTGTTTCATAAATTATCAAGTTTCTGAGACACCGTACAGGCCGAAAGAAAGCATCGACGATGCCCCTAAAAGAGAAAAATATAACAATGGCAATATTTAGTTGGAACTACAACTCATATTTATTTTTCGTGTGGCACCAAGAAGGTTATGACCATTGGTTCATTTTCTTTGACAACAGTGTTTTCTAATATGCTCATGGCTATAGTATACGAGTTCTTATTCGAGCCTCTGGCCGGACCTGTGTGTTTTTGTAATTGGGTTTTTACAGACGTGTATCAATCGAAAGACGTGACTTAGTTTCGAACCTGCGTCCTCGAATCGAAAGACGTGACTTAGTTTCGAACCTGCGTCCTCGGCTGAATTATTTTAAGTAACTTTCATTGTCGGCTGGATTACAAGTGCACGCAACAATGCCCCCCCCCCTTTGTATTTTTTTTTGTTTTGTAGCATTCTTTATTGCATTCATTCAGTACAAAATATATTTAAAAAAAACATACATCTTCATTGATTTACATAACATATATCAAAATGTAAAGAAAATTGTACACCCCTCAAAAAAAAAAAAAAAAATAATACACAGTACATGATATTTTCTAATTAAGTATACTGGATGAATATTATAGATCAAAGCCTTACGCACAGACAGACACCACACCAGGGGCGGGTCCAGCCGGCCGCAGGGGAGAGGGCCCAATTCGTGGGAAAATATTTAGCGGCGAAACAGCCAGAAAATAAGCGGGGGGGGGGGGGAGCACTATTTTTAAAAAAAATTGGCCCTCAAAAATATGAAAATTCGCACCCCCATCCCTTCAGCGTCAGGGTAGGGGGCCCATCTATTTGAAGAAAAAAAAGGTAAATTTAATGTGTTTTTTCCCCAGGGGAGGGGGCCCGGAGCCCCCTCCCTGTATCCGTCACTGCACCACACACGCTTACCTCCCCCCTTCATTCCAAAGCACAACAAATCCCCCGTCCCTTCCCGAGCACAGTCACATCTACACATTTGTTGGAAATCCTGTCTCTAATTCCTTTTCCTTATGACCAAATTATATAAAAATGTTTGAGTCTGAGAAAGAAGTAATTGCCTCGGCGTCTTTAACTGTGGAAGTCGTTCCACTAATCATCATCATCATCACCATCATCAAAATCATCATCATCATCATCACCATCATCACCATCATCATCACCATCATCACCATCATCATCATCATCACCATCATCACCATCATCATAATCCTCATCATAATCATCATCATCAATTATTGTCATCATCTGCATCATATGGGCCTTATCATAATTATCATCACCATCATACTATACTTATTTTTTTAAAACTTTATGGAAGCATCTGAAGATCTGCTTAATCATCATCTGCATCATAATCACCACCGCTATCATCTGTAGTATAACCGTCATCATCACCATCATCTTCATTCTCACAATCAGTGACGGATCCATGGTAGTGAGCACTATCAGGGGCCAGTCTTTAAAAAAAAACCACCACCAGTGATCCTTGTTACCACCATCATCATCATCATATATCATCACCATCAGTGATCACAATCACATCATCTGCATATCAGGATTACCTCTAAATCCTGGTCAATCATTACAATTCTGATCAATAGGCATTTACTTCCACCAGCTGATACATGCAGCTGCATAACACTGGCATATCTAGGAATGATCATAGCAAGCTGCAGTGGCCCATTGGTCAGGAGTCGAGTCTGGAATTTCGGTGACAAGATCCCCCCCCCCCCACCTTCTTTTTAATTCATCAAGTTTTTAGTGTGCCACTTTGGCTTTGGCTGACAAGCAAACAAAGAAAAGTCTAATAGTACAGGCTTCTTCCTAAAATAAAACCACCTTTGATAAAAATCCACATACCTTAGGTTACACAAATGAAAGACCAAAATGCACACACAAAATGTTATACATTAAACAAAAATTATTTTGTCTCATAAACAAAGACAAAACATATATAAATCTCTACAAGAATATCACAAGGTATCTAAGGAATATTATTTTACACATAACATTACTTGGAATACTTGGTAGCTCTACCAATATGAAGAGCCCAGTAAAACAAACTTTGTTAAACAAATTCTTAGTAATATATTCTTTAATCAAAGAAAGAATGATTTTGTTGTTAAATGTCAAAGAAACAGGCCTTTATTTTAATCTTTTTTGCGTCAGATGTGCAAATTTCAGCTAATAAAGGCAAAAAGATTGTATAAGATGAGGCCATTGCTCAAGTGGCCTAATAATACTCCTAGCGAGTATTGCACAGCAGTACAATGACTCTACCCCTAAAGGCTCATTCAGATATGAAATGAAATGAAATTAAATAAACTGCAACATTTTTTTTAAAGCTTATCTGCCGTAGTTTACAGGGGGGATTAGACCGCCCTGCAAGGTCACTGGACAGGTGGTTATCTCATCAACTCAGCTCTCAGTTAACATAAGAAAAAGAGGATCATGGGGGACCAATGGTCACCGATTATGCATTGTTTGTTATGTAGAGGGCGCAAGTAGCTACAAGTAGTGCAGTGGGCCTTTAAACGATGCGTAAAAGAATGACAGCTTCACGCAATAAAGTTCCTACGCATTTTCACTGAGGTCTGTGAATTGAATATAATGTCTGGTATGAATATAATGAATTACTGGACTTATAAATGTCAAATGGCATCACAAATATATCAATACTTATTGCGACTCCTACCGATAAGAATACTGTCTCGCTTACTGCTACTAGAACATCAAACATATATTTGTCTATTGATTGATAAATGCAATTGGAAGACATGTATCAGGACAAAACAGGAAAATGGGTATGTATAAAGAAAACAACCTTCAAGGTTACGAGGTCTCTTCTGGCAAAATGCAGTATAGTACTTATATTTGTAAGTCTTAAGATGTACAAGTTACAAACTATCAACAAATAAAATATTCAAATATTCTCACATAGTACGTATCATAATAATAATAAATAATAATAATAATAATAATAATAATAATCTAATAGTCCACTCCAAATTTAATAATCAGCAAACAAGAAAACCCAATGCATGTAACTATAGAAAATTTGCCTCTGCAATATGTTTATGTGTTAGTTTATCTCCCTTTCAAATAAAACATAATAGCCTCTTTACAGTAGGATTATTAAATAAATAACAGCCTCTTCTAATCATTTGCACATATATATGAGCACATCTAATTTTTTTAACTTTCTGGGCAGGATCGACCTATATTAAAATAGAGTTGCTATTGATTCAACTTGACTCTCTTTTCCTCTCTTCTTTTCTCTTTTCCAAGCCCTCCGCTATCCTCCTCTCCTCTTTGCCTATCCCTTTTTTACTTTCTTCCTTTCTCCCATTTATAATGTATAATTGTATTTATGTATTCGGGCGTACCCAATGCTTATCGGGTTTCGCGCCTTCTTCCTTGTAATACAAGTTCTTTAATCATATTTATGTTCCTACTTATAAATTGTATTGTTTGGAAGAAAATAAATGTTCATTTGAATTTGAATTTGAATATAGGCTTACTACGAGATAGGAGATTGCATCTTTGTTATAGGTTGGAAGACTCATGATTGATTCACATCAGTCACATCTCTTTAAAATGGCCCGGGAATCATACCCCCTCCCCCTCCCCCTTTACATTGTGTATAGGATATTGCAGGAGAGTTATCGAGATACTTGACTAGAGATCCATATCCACAGGTTTGAGTTCTGGCACTATACTTGTGTTGTCATGAAAGAGCAGTTTCATCTATATTAATTATCTTTACCCAGGTGCATAAAGGATACCGTATCCAGAGTGATCCAAATATCATAGAGACTTGAGTTAGTATGTGCACAACTGTACAATATGTATATATATGTATATGTATGTATATGTGCGTATATATGGATATATATCTATAAAAAAAAAGTTTAAGCTCACTTCCTTATTTTGTATTCATTATGTATCATGACTATATTGTTTATCTTATGAATTGTTTTGTATATTATCTTTGTAAACACATTTTATATTATGTATTGTATTATTTTGAACGCAGAAATAAAAGCAAACAAACAAACAAACAAACAAACAATGATTACTTGTTAGAGTGCTCCTTAGTGAGTGTACTCTCTTAAAAAAAAAGAATGAATTTTCACTCTTTTTTCACTTTCTTGGGAGTGACGTCCGTGATCACTTGTTTAGGTGTGAAAATCGATTGATTTTAGAGTGCTCTCTAAGAAGAAAAGAGTGAATGTTCACTCTATTTTCACTACATTTTCACTCTCCAGAGGAGTGACGTCCGTGATCACTCGATTTTTTTAGAGAGTATCCAGAGTGATCCAAATATCATAGAGACTTGAGTTAGTATGTGCACAAGTGTACAATGTTTAGTGGTTAGAGTGCTCCTTAGTGAGTGTAGTTGAATTGTACCCCCTTGTAAGTGTTTAAACATAATACATGTACATCAAATCCACAATATAAAACAATAATAACAGTTATCACACAATGTGTTCTAATAATTATGATGTGATGTCACAGGTTTCTCAATGTGATGTCACAGGTTTCTCATTGTGATGTCACAGGTTTCTCATTGTCATGTCACAGGTTTCTCATTGTCATGTAAGTTTTGCAGCCATCCTTGGGCGTAAGAGTGACTGCTTCTACAAAATCAAAGCTCTGGTTGGGTACAAGTTGGAATTCCAGTTGCTGAATGAGCTTACATATGACCACCTTGGATTCAATCTAATAGGAATACAATCAAAATTACAAAAGGAATCTGCATCAAAGGTTGAAAATAATTTATATTCTAGTTGATGGTTTAAAAAAAAATGGAAATCTGTTTATTTTGTTTTCCAATCAATACTATTACAAAGATGAGAGGAAAATAAATATCAATAACGAACAAAGATTCCTGTTCATCTGATGACTGTATCCAGCCGACAGCCCTCCTAAAGCATGATTCATATAAAACATCAACAAAATAAATACCATATTGTAATGTCAACTTGTGTTCACAATTCCATAATGCAAAAAAGAGGAATGGGACATAGGAGTTCATTAACAAAAAATCATGTTTACAAGTATGAACTGCTATGGAATTTATATTGCCCTTAAAGGTAAAGACCAGTTATGGTCATGCGATTGCATTGTGAAAGAAACGTTATGGAATCGATCAGAAAAGGTTGATCATCTAGCATCTAGCATCTGCAAGGTTCTGGAATCATCAAAATGATAAGAAATTTGGCCCATTCTTCGTAAAGTTACAAGCACTATACACAGAAAGATGTATATGGGACTACCCTATATCTCTCACAGACCATGAGAGAAACAAATTTACCAAATATATGAATTAGTAGGCGGTTTCCCGGCAAATTTGTTATCATCATGTATTAGTCAAAACATATTCTTTCACATGATTGGTAATGAGAGCTTCATTTTCATTTTTTGAAATTGGGGCGTTTCCAATACTGGTCTTTACCTTAAGGGATGCCAACTGTAGATTGTACTACTTTGATTGATATACTCACCATAGCAAACGTCTGGCCGATGCAGGCTCGAGCACCCAGAGAAAATGGTATGTACGCAAATAAGGGGCTGCACGATCAAAAAACAAAGTTCACAATATAAGGCATTTTGGTCAAGGCCATGAAAAAAATCTATTTTTTTTGTTTTGTTATCGTCTTTCACTAGGACTTAATTTGTGGTTAGTTTCATCCTATTGGCTTTGAAAGCTATTAGTACAATAAAGGTCGGGGTCATTCCCATCACCAGGAAGAAAAAAAATATTTTTAAATCAATTTTTACCTTTTTACTGACTTGAGATTTATTAACATGTATTGTTTTGTGGTTTCACATCATTGATAATAAAAATGTATGACTTCTTATAAACTGAATATTAAGTGAGTGTCAATAATGTGACCCAGCTCCACAAACCATCAAAAAGTCGCCATATTACAATTTTATTTTAATAGCTTAGGTTCTGGTTCTAAGAGGAGATTCTTGGGTTTAAAAATCATGTATTTATTACTCATCAAGTTTCCTAACCCAACTAAAAAAGAGTAAAATGTCTGTTCCCAAATAATGTTCCTTCAGTTCGAGAAAAAGTTGGAGTATGCAGTCTATTGAAACACTCTGAATCTCAAGGTATTGTGCGAGGTGACAACTCTATTTATCTATCTGCGTATCTCCTCCCGGTTCGGAGGTTGATTGCAACATCTCGCCATTTCACTCTATCTTCTGCCATTCTGGTGCACTCTTGCAGTTTTAGTCCACTCCAGTTATTGCATTCTCTTCCCAGTTCATTCTGGGTCTCCCTCTAGGTCTACTTCCTTCCACTCTTCCTTCCAATACATCCTTTAAGAGGCTTTGGTGCCTTTTAACATGACCAAAGTATTTGATTTTTCTCTCCTTAACTAATCCTACTAGTGCAATTCGTTTACGCCCTGCCATGTGCAATATCTCTTTGTTGGTTTTCATTCGTTTCCAGGATATTTTCATCATTCTTCTGTAGATCCACATTTCAAAAGATGTTATTCTATTTTCCATGGCATTGTTTATTGTCCATGTTTCTGCTCCATACAATAGGACAGGGTCACAGACCATACATAACATTTTACTAGTCTCAACCTAGTCTCAACCTAGTCTCAACCTAAGCGCAAATTTCACCTTTCTATTTGTGAATAATCCTTTCATTGCCAGAGGTGACAACAGGAGGATTAAAACTTCTATCATAAAGGGATAAACTGATTAAATCTTATAATACCAGTGAAGCATATCCTGCTCTCTATTTTGTCTATGTATCAATAAAACAGCTTGCTCTATTTCAAGATATAGGAGATAAAAGTGAGACTAGTGGGCCAGGGTTGTAAAGAAATGAAAATTACAACACTAGACAGACTCAAAATCAGATAAACATAGGTCTATAAAATATGCCTAAATACCTATTTAAAGATATAGGAGATAAAAATGAGACTAGTGGGCCAGGGTTGTAAAGAAATGAAAATTACAACACTAGACAGACTCAAAATCAGATAAACATAGGTCTACAAAATATGCCTAAATACTTATTTTAGATTGTTTAATGCTTACAAATTTTGAAATAAGTAGAGAGTATTCTACAATTTGACGATCCTGACCGAATACATATTTATTCAACCCTAACTGAAAATCAAGAGCTTTAATTCAGTTTCCTTCATCATGATATCAAGGGTTAATCATTATGTTTTGGATATATTTTGAAAATTAAATTAATGCCTCTTATTATCACGTTATAATTGTTATATTCTGATCAACATTTTAGTCTTGTGTGTGGTACTTTCGTAACTTAATTGCTCAGTCTTCAGTGGGTCATATTTTGATTTGTGTTTCTGAACGCACTCGGTACCACGAAGCGTGATTCTTTTCTTGCAGCCTCAATTTTAGAGCGATAAAAACACCTACCAACAACTGAAACGATATCCATTTATTTCTAAAGCATATTTATTTAATTAAATTGAAATATAAGTTTGTGAATTGCATATTTTAAGTTCTTTATTTCAAAATATCAGTGTGAAATTTAATTTTGAAAACCCGAAACCCGAATATTCAAACCCGTGTTTCGGCGTGACGGTCGGGGACCGGGCGGGGAACCGCTTTGACTCAGGCCTATAGTACCATCATATATATATATATATATATTATTAAATTTAATTTTAGAAGGTCGGAGATGATCCAAACAAAGCAAAAAAATGGTTATGAAATATATTAATAGATTTCCCTGTTATTTTTTCTTTCTTCTCCAACTAACACTAATTAATATCCCTTAATCTATCAGGTTTTTCTTTGACAGTATAATTATGATTGATTTTATTCCTACCTGTCCTCATCCCTTGTGAATCTCTCCGGATCAAACTTCTCTGGATTCTTGAAATGTTTCTCATTCCTACCCATTCCATATACGGGTATCTGAATAGAAAGAGAGTAATAGGAATTGTAAAAAGTGGTTTCATTAATACACTATCATATCTTTATTACTTTCATAATCGTATACATTCTAATACAAAATTATAGTAAGCAATACAGAAAGGAAATACAGAGGAAGCTATCAAGAATAGTGTTTATAACTACCTCTTCTTTATATCAGGTTAAGTGTGCTGGTCCCATTGCTTTGTATTCTGTTCATTTTCATTGCTGATTTTAAAAAAATGATACGAGAAGGTAATTTCTTTGGCCATACGTAATTTGTTGAACTGCAACTTGCTCATGTTACTCCTGTACTGAGGAAGTCATCCCTAGATCTTGATGAGATGAGCAGTTATCAGCCTATATCTAACCTGCCTTTCCTCGCCAAAGTCCTCGAGAGAGAGAGGTCGCCAAAAGACTTACATCACACATTGAGACCATGCAATATCAAATGACATCTTGAGGGCAGAGGACGAAAAAAAGCAGCTATGGTAATTCTTTTGGACTTATCTGTTGCATTCGAAAGAATTGATCACAAAGTGCTTCTCCGGGGCCTGCAACGGGACTTCGAGGTCGATGACACTGCCCTGGAATGGTTCAGGTCATATCTTCACTGCAGACGACAGGCTGTGAACTTCATTGGAACTGTGTCGGATAAAGCTTCCTTAATGATAATCTACGGCGTTCCGCAGGGTTCCGTCCTTGGACCGGTACTCTTCATGTTGTACACTTCCCTCTTGGGAACGTAGCCTGCCAATATGGTCTTCAAGTCCACTTGTACGCAGATGACACTCAGCTGTATGTGACATTTGATCGAACAGTGGCAACTGATGAAAAGGCTGCAATGGATGGTGAAGAATTTCATGACCGAATACCTCATCATCTCTTCACCAAACATGAGGAAAAAGATCAAACCCATGGACCTCGAAGTTGGCAATGTGTCTGGCTCTCCTACTGTAAGCGCCTGTAAACTTGGGGTCTACTTCGATCAGTCCATGAAGATGTACAGGCACATTTCACAGGTATGTCAGACTGCTTACTTCCAGCTTTCTAACATTGCAGCTATTAGACCATTGCTTATAGGGTAGGCAGCAGAAAACCTTATCCATTCACGAGTTTCCTCACGGCTTGATTTCTGTAACAGTTTTCTAGCTGGTCTTCCTTCTGCAACCTTGAAAGAACATCAAGGAGTACAGAATGCAGCAGCACGTTTGCTTCCTGGGCTGAGGAAGCATGGTCACATCTTTCCTGTACTGGCTGAGCTGCATGTGCTTCCTGTCAAGAGCAGAATTGAATCCAAGGTCCTGCTGCTCACATTTAAGGCAATTCATGGTCAGACCCCAGGATATGTGTCATCTTCAATTGAGAGGCGCGTCATCTTCTCCCCGGTCTTCCCTCAGGTAGCCTTACTCTCCAGATGCCCATTACTCATCTCAAGGGATATGGAGACCGGGTACTTTTCTTTATTGCTTCTCGCCAGTGGAACTCCCCCCCCCCCCCCATCATTTCTTCGCGAAATTGACAACCAGGACCACTTCAAAGCTTCACTCATGACTCAGATCTTCCTTCAGACATTTAAATGTAAACTTTATCGGAGGAGCTCGCGCCTTTGAATGTTTTTTAAAAACAGATATATGGTGCCATAAAAATGATGTGAATCTTCATCATCATTGACTGTGGATATACATACTTACCATTACAACACTGCCTTTAGGTACTTTGTATCCACATAGATCCATCTCATGAGGTAAAAGTCTATGGATATGACCAAAAGGAGGGTTGATTCTAAGAGCCTCTTTCAAAACCTGAAAGAGAAGACAGTCAATAATATACTATCGATGTAATTAAAATGGATTTCCTCAAAGTTGAAGGGGGAAAAGACAAAAATATCCTGTAAATAAATGCCCTGTAAGGTAACAGGTGCGTGAAATAAGATTCAAAGCTCTTGGGAATTCATGTTTGAGAAGTACATTTTTGAACTAGGAAATCCAGAAGTTTAATCAATGATAAATTATAGGCATTGATGCAACAGCAAGGCCTACACAAATGGTTGCCATAAGTAAGATACTATTTTGTTTTGATTGTAAAAAAAAAAAAAATCACTGTTTTGTGTCTTCATCGGACATTGTTTTGTTAATGAAACTTTAGTCCTACGGTTCATAACAAAAAGTGTAAGCTTTTGATGTAAAAAGAAAAGAATTGCAGTCTTACCAAGGTTAGATACTTCATCTTGCTGATATCTGAATATTCAACATAGTTTCTCCCTTTCAATACAGAATCAATTTCATCACGGAGTCTGTGTGAAAATGAAATGATCAAAAGGATTTATAACTATATTTTAGTTGAATAAATTAATTTCTTTAGGATCAGCAGGTATCAGTAATATTTCTACTAGAAAAATAAATCCTAATAATTGTTAACTGAGAAGGAAACTTTAAGCTACAGTCCCATATACGTCCCGGACGCGTTATTTTTTTATGCGGCACAGATTGGGGCTTTTTTTTAAAAGGGGTCTTGATTTACAGACTAATACTGGTCGTGTGCGTACTAGACAGTATAAGTAGTAGAGGTCAGTTTTTAATAGTGTTATATTTAATCCACTACCGCATGGAAAATCATTACATCAACAATTAAAATCAAATTGGAAATCTGAAGAGGAGGCAGCACGTCAATAAGGAGAACATCACAATAATTAGCCAATAAAACTTAACTAATTTAAACGAAGAGGAACGTTATCTAAACACATAGTTCGCGATGGATATACAAACTTCTTCGCAGCGCTAATGCGCTAGCTATAAACATGACTAGTCTCACGTACGTGCAGACACTATTCAGAGGGGAAAGAACGTACTTCCCATAGGTTTAACACGCGCCATGCCCCAATCTGTGCCGCATAAAAAAATAACGCCACCGGGGTGGTCCTGGATGGTCCTGGATGGTCCTGGGCGGTCAATAACTCACTCCCGGACTGCCACGGATCAACACGGACCGCCCCGGCGCCACTACGGATGACCCCGGACCCAGCACGGTGGCTACACGGATCACCCCGGATCAAACTATTGTCCCGGACCGTCCCGGACCACCCCGGCAGTTTTTGACCGTCAAAAACATCCGGGGTCGACTCCCGGACCGCCCAGGACCATCCAGGACCATCCAGGACCATCCAGGACCATCCAGGACCACCCCGGTGCCAACACGGTGTCAACACGGACTGAATCCCGGATCACCCCGGATGGGGTCCGGGATGGTCCGGGACGGTCCGGGACGCGAATTTTTTTTCCGTACTCGAGAGAGCAAAAATCCCATGTGCGCATGCGCGTGGACTTATGATTTCTCTGCTACTTCCCATACGAAATGTACATGTATTCGCATGTACTGTGCACGATTCGCGTTCTACGAGTAAACGATGGCATAGTAGTCTTCAAACACAGACTCTGATTTGCCAGTTTGACAAATCAATATGCGTATGTGTCGCGATGTGCTTATTCAAGTCTGTGTAGTTGTATGATTCAGACCCAGTAGTGCATATGGAAATACATTGCAACTTGTATAGAATGGTATAGTAGTCTGCAAGCACAGACGCTAATCTGACAGTTTGACAACATACTAGTAGTGTGCTGAGAAGTACTTTATTCAAGTCGCCAACTTGTATAGAATGGTATAGTAGTCTGCAAGCACAGACGCTAATCTGACAGTTTGACAACATACTAGTAGTGTGCTGAGAAGTACTTTATTCAAGTCGCCAACTTGTATAGAATGGTATAGTAGTCTGCAAGCACAGACGCTAATCTGACAGTTTGACAACATACTAGTAGTGTGCTGAGAAGTACTTTATTCAAGTCTGCGTAGATGTATGATTCAGACCCTACTGGTGCGTGCGTTAGAAATGCATCTCAATGTGTAGAGTGTAGTATAGTAGTCTGCAAGGACATAATAATATATTGTGTATTGATGAGTAGTGATTTTATGCAAGTTTGTGTAGTTTAATGATTCCAGACCCCATGGTAGGCCTATGTATTGTGCCACTGCTCTCTCACACTCTTTCTCTGCTTGCATACTACTATGCCACTCTATAAGTTGAGGTGCATTTCCAATACACGCACCAGTAGGGTCTGAATCATAAAACTACTCAGACTTGAATAACACTATTTTGTCAAACTGTCAGATTAGCGTCTGTGCTTGCAGACTACTATGCCACTCTGCAAGTTGAGATGCCTTTCCAATACACGCACCAGTAGGGTCTGAATCATAAAACTACACATATTTGAATATAAAGCACTACTCAAGACACTATGTTGTCAAACTGTCCGATTAGCGTCTGTGCTTGCAGACTACTATACCATGCTATTCAATTTGGGATGCATTTCTGTAAGCACTAAAATGTCTGAATCATACAACTACTCAGACTTGAATACTAGTACTATTGCTACGCACGATATATGCGTAATTGTTTTGTCAAACTGGCAAATCAGAGTCTGTGTTTGAAGACTACTATGCCATCGTTTACTCGTAGAACGCGAATCGTGCACAGTACATGCGAATACATGTACATTTCGTATGGGAAGTAGCAGAGAAATCACAAGTCCACGCGCATGCGCACATGGGGTATTTGCCCTCTCGAGTACGGAAAAAAAATTCGCGTCCGGGCTAATTATTGTGATGTTCTCCTTATTGACGTGCTGCCTCCTCTTCAGATTTCCAATTTGATTTTAATTGTTGATGTAATGATTTTCCATGCGGTAGTGGATTAAATATAACACTATTAAAAACTGACCTCTACTACTTATACTGTCTAGTACGCACACGACCAGTATTAGTCTGTAAATCAAGACCCCTTTTAAAAAAAAGCCCCAATCTGTGCCGCATAAAAAAATAACGCACCCCGGTGCCAACACGGTGTCAACACGGACCGAATCCCGGATCACCCCGGATGGGGTCCGGGATGGTCCGGGACGGTCCGGGACGTATATGGGACTGTAGCTTTTAAAGCATCACACTTTTTTGAACAAAACATCCCGGACCATCCCGGATCACCCCAGACCATGGTCCGGGATGGTCCGGAGTGGTCGGTGCTCGTCCGTGCTGGTCCGGCTTTATATGGGACTGGCCCCAGTCCCATATAAAGCCGGACCAGCACGGACGAGCAAAGCCCCAGTCCCATATAAAGCCGGACCAGCACGGACGAGCACGGACCACTCCGGACCATCCCGGACCATGGTCTTGGGTGATCCGGGATGGTCCGGGATGTTTTGTTCAAAAAAGTGTGATGCTTTTAAGCTACAGTCCCATATACGTCCCGGACCGTCCCGGACCATCCCGGACCCCATCCGGGGTGATCCGGGATTCGGTCCGTGTTGACACCGTGTTGGCACCGGGGTGGTCCTGGATGGTCCTGGATGGTCCTGGATGGTCCTGGGCGGTCAATAACTCACTCCCGGACTGCCACGGATCAACACGGACCGCCCCGGCGCCACTACGGATGACCCCGGACCCAGCACGGTGGCTACACGGATCACCCCGGATCAAACTATTGTCCCGGACCGTCCCGGACCACCCCGGCAGTTTTTGACCGTCAAAAACATCCGGGGTCGACTCCCGGACCGCCCAGGACCATCCAGGACCATCCAGGACCATCCAGGACCATCCAGGACCATCCAGGACCACCCCGGTGTCAACACGGACCGAATCCCGGATCACCCCGGATGGGGTCCGGGATGGTCCGGGACGTATATGGGACTGTAGCTTTAGCAAATTGATAAATACCAGAAAAAGTTTCCAAACGTGAGTTTAATAGTATGTCAGAAAATTATTGCAATTTTAAACTTGCCCATAATAAAGGTATTTCGACTTAGATCAGAAAATAAAGCAGCAAAGGTTACCGGAAGAAGCAATTTATGTCTCAATAAAAATTTCTGATACTGCTACTCAAAATCATCATTTATAACTTCATCAGCTATTGCAATTAACAAAATTTTAAAAAAAAACATGAGGTCTCATGAGGAGAACAATTCTGTGAACATCTGTGAATGATTTAGGACCATCATTGCAGAGATGCCAACCTTTTGACACAAAAAACAGACCGAGTATCCTAGAAAATCAGATTTTGGAAAAAGAAATCAGATTTTCACGAAAACTTGACACTACCACTGGTCCGTCGGCCCCGGGCCAGTAAAATTTCAGAAAAATGTTTTACTGGTAAGTACGGTCAAGTAAAATGTTTGCTCTTTCATTAGAATTTTAAAAGAAAAATTGTAAAGCAAAGTTTTTTGTTGGTGTTGCGGGGTTTTACTTGTACCTGTTTCAATGCAATTCCGCTGTTTTTATGGGTTTTAAAAAAATAATTAAAAAAAAAAATTTAAATCGCATTTTAAAAGGTGATATCGTATTACACTCTGATTATCGTACTAAATATGAGTACTAGATATAATCGTACTGGTTAGCATCTCTGTTTTTGTTTCAATCCCTAACAATAATCCTGATCACACTTATATACGATAACTCTGTGGTATATAAGGTGGTACATCTATGTAAGGATATGGTACCATTAGATACAAACAGGAGGTACATCTATGTAAGGATATGGTACCATTAGATACAAACAGGAGGTACATCTATGTAAGGATATGGTACCATTAGATACAAACAGGAGGTACATCTATGTAAGGATATGGTACCATTACATACAAACAGGAGGTACATCTGTGTAAGGATATGGTACCATTAGACACAAACAGGAGGTACATCTATTTGAAGATACGATATTCACTTTTTCATGACTTGAGGATTTCTACCAAGATGAAGAAGAGTGAAGGAGAGAAGGTTGAATGTTGTTTCCTGACCTGGTGGGTACAAATATCATTGAAATGTTATATCGTTCAACAATGTAGCATTAAACACTAGATGGTAGATATGCAAACCAAACTACAACTTACAAAGAAATCAACCTGACTTCCAAAAACATCCCTGTCATGTCATATTTACACAAAATCTGATATATGTATATATATATATATATAATTTTTATATATATATATAGGCGTGAAGAAAATGGTCTAGAACGTGAGACGTAGCTGTACTTTTCGCACTGTCTCGCACTTTTATATGTATATATATATATATATATATATATATATATAGTCTTGTTTTGATAAGGCCCCTAAAACAAATCTACTGTTATTTCAGTCAATATAGAGCTATATTAGAGAAGGGTAGCGTCTTCAGTTAACAAACTGCTATCCCAGGGCCTGGCATAATAAAAGAACAATAAATTTAACACATTTGCACACTCGAAAAGTATAAACTGCACACAACAGCAGTTATAAAATATAAGAAACGAGATTATGATTTACAAAATGGTGCGAAATAACTGATTTTACACATATATTTAATTAAAACATCAAATAATTGAATCAATAAATTGTTTAAAATGTAAAATATAAACACTTGGATTACATTTGCAGTCTATTCTAGGATAGCACGTATTGTAGGAAGATTTAACATAACCACAATTTTCTTACACTGACAGTTATATCAACTTCCTTGCTAACTTTTCATACTGTAAAAGCAGATTTACCTCATAAACTTTGGAAATTAACTTAAGAAATAGTCTATAATGTGCAAAGCGGTCAACCATCTCCTTTGGAAGATCAGAACCAATGCTTCATACTTTGAAAACATCCTTAGTAGGCATAGTACTATAAAGGTGATTCATGGATCTGTGTTAAAGGTAAAATGTGTAATTAGGATTCAGGGTTTTATAGATACTGTACAGTGCGTCCTAGAAAAAACGAAACCGAGAATTATCGATGTTTTATTATAACTTAATCACAATTATAATTGATAAATGACACATTGTTAAGCTCAGATCCTCCTCTTTCATTTGATGCAACTCATATAATGCATATTTCAAGCAGGAGTGATTAAAATGAATTTGAAGAGAGGAAAGCAAAAAGTCATTTGGCGGACGGTATCTGAACTTCAAAAAGAAAATTATATTTCTAGAAAGTTGAGTTTCTGCCCTTTCATATGGTAACTCAGTTAGGCAAAATGAGCTAGGAATAACAAAGTTCTGTTTGTTTAAAGTAGTGCTTGCATTTCCATCATTTCATTAAACGAATTCGTTTTCACGGGCTGCCTGCCGTAGAAACAAACTGAATTAACAAAAGACTTAACTCTGTTTCGTTGACAATCGGCCGTAGACGAAAGACTTCATGCATGGCTGATTTTCAACGAAACGGAGTTAAGTCTTTTGTCAATTATGCTGTGCAGTTTTGAAACTGGAGTTATCAGAATTGGATTGAAGGTGCATGGAGACAAATAGCTGACCACTAGACCAGTTTATTATAAGAATAAGAAAGAAAGATGGTGCACAAAAAGTTACCAGCTCCAAAGAAGGTAAAGAACTCATCGACCAGTTCTTCTAAGTCAAAGTCTTTGATTCCTCCTTCCGAGTTGTTTGACTCCTGCAGGATGTAAGTTAGAATGTCACGAGGAACTTGGTCACCCCGTCTAAGAGCATCCATACGAGCCAAGATGCAACGCCGACCCATCGCTCGGATCTCATTAGCAGCTGCTCTAACCTCACGTTTGTATTTGAGGTCTTTGGGAAGGATGCTGTACTGTACGGTAAGAATACATGAATAAACACATACATTATAAACATACAGCAAACCCGTTGGTTTTATCCAAATACCTTGAAAAGAGACTCATACACTGTATAAAAATAAACAGCCTGAGAAGTGTCAGAACCATGGGATGATCACTTATGAACATAATTTCTTGTTGCTTAATGAGTAAAGATACATTTTAAATGTATCACATTGTCATACATGAATCTCTATCCCCATCATAACTTAGAAATTTACCAATTCTGTTTGCAGCAGTAAATACCGACCATGCATTATGGCTCAAGGCATGGGCACACAGAAGATTTTTTTTTTATGTTGGGGACCGGGGGGAAATTCAATGAATTATTGGAAATTTATTGCATTTTCTTGTTTTTCTTTTTTTCTATTTGTGGGAACTACCCCCTACCCTAGCCCCCTGCTGCGTACAGTCAAAACAAAAAAAATCCCCATCACCCCCACTCTTACATGCAGGCCCCGCTAAACGCTTCTCGGCGGGGGTCAAGGGGCGGAGCCCCCTAAAGCTCAGGGGTTTTGGGCAATAAATTACGTTCAGATGAGCATAGTTTGATACCTTATTTGTGACACTGGCAGGACACAAATTGGTGTTGGGTCCAGGGGGCGGAGCCCCAGAAGCTCAGGGGTTTTATACATTACATTATCGTCAGATGAGCATATTTTTATACCCTATTTGTGACACTGGCAGGTCACGAATTGGCCTGGGGTCCAGGGGATGGAGCCCCGGAAGCTCAGGGGTTTTATACATTAAATTATTGTCAGATGAGCATATTTTGATACCTTATTTGTGGCACTGGTATGTCACTAATTGGTGTAGGGTCCATGGGGCGGAGCCCCCAGGAGCTGAGGGGTTATAGGCATTAAATTACCATCAGAATGGGCATTCAGGTGCCTGACTTTGGGCACTAGGTGAAATCCAGGGGGCAAAACAAATCTGTCCCCTTTTTTTTCCTTCTTTTTTTGCCACTGGAGCGTAGATCCCCTAGCATATTGCCGGCGTTTAGTCTCATTTGACAACGCCTAATTGAGTCAGCAGCCTAACATATTAGCTTATGGACGTTTACAAAAAGAATCGTTAAAAATTCATTTTTTGTTTAAACGAAAAGCACATCCACCCCGACGTACGTTGTCACTATCTCTTTCATTGGAACCCTCATGATATGATCCGTCCAGGAGGTAGAGGTCAGTGGTTTGTGCTGGCAATGTTCCAGGGAGCGAAAATGAGACAACCGGAGCCATATGTTGATAAGCATAGTAGCATACACATGCTTTAGCAGTCACGCAAAAACAAACACTGGCAAATTATTATTCAGATCTATTAGCAATAAATCATTGTCAACATTTTTTCATAAATTGGGGTAAAAAAAAAATCCAACTATATGAGCGACAGTGTAGGCCTATGACATGAGAGCGCACACTAGACACCCACCAAAATATTACCTTTTTACCCTATAGAAGACGGAACACTGGGGGCAGCATCACCAAAAGTTGTAGGTGTGTAGATTATACCAAGATACACCTCCATACAAAATTTGAAAGAAATCTGTTAAAGGTAAAGACCAGTATTGGAAACGCCCCAATTTCAAAAATTGAAATGGAAGCTCTTATTACCAATCATGTGAAAGAATACGGTTTGACTAATACATGATGATTAAAATTTTGCCGGGAAACCGCCAACTAATTGATATATTTGGTAAATTATTTTATCCATTGGTATGTGAGAGATAAACGCACGTGTCGCGCACGTGTGCGTAGTCCCATATACATCTTCCTGTGTACATTGCTTGTAACTTTACGAAGACTGGCCAAATTTCTTATCATTTTGATGATTCCAGAACCTTGCAGTACACACCAATACTATATGCTAGATGATCAACCTTCTCTGATCGATTCCACAACGTTTCTTTCACAATGCAATCGCATGCTGGTCTTAATCTTTAAGGAATGATGCAGTTATACCGCAAACTAGTGCCACGAAGACATCTATCAAAATATGACCTTTGACCCTGTTAAAGACAGAACACTGGAAGCAGCATCACCAAAATCTATAGACATGTAGATTATATCAAGATACACGTTTATTGAAAAATCGAACAAAATCCCTTGAAAAATGTGGCCTAAAGAGCACACACAAACCATCAAAAAAATATGGCCTTTTAGCCTATAAAAAACGGAAACTCTGGTGGCAGCATCACCAAAAGTGCTGTAGACCAAGATACACCTCCATACAAAATTTGAAAGAAATCTGTCAAGGAATGATGCAGTTAGAATGCACACTAGAGTACACACAAGTCACCTATCATAATATGACCTTTGACCCTTTAAAAGACGAAACAGTGCATGAGGCATCATCACCAAAATATATAGGCTTGAAGACTATTCCAAGATACACCTTCGTTCAAAATTTGAACGAAATCCTTTCAGAAATGTGGGTCATAGAGCGCGCACAAACCATCCACAAAATATGGCCTTTTACACTATAGAAGACGGATCACTAGCTGGGGGCAGCATCACCAAAATTTATAGGTGTGGAGACTGTACCACGATACGCCTCCATACCAAATTTGAAAGAAATCCGTCAGGGAATGTTGCAGTTAGAGCGCACACAAGAATATGACGCGGCGACGCGCCGCCGTGTCATATTCTTGTGTTACGCTGCTGAATCCAAAGTACCCCACCGGCATACTGCGGGGATACAATAATATAAAATAATCTAAATTTTAAACAGACCGAGAACATTTATATTGCGAAATATTGTAGAGCAAGCGCTATGAGCGCCCAGCAGAAGTTAGCCCGGCGCTATACAGTGCGTCCCAGATAAAACGAAACCGAGAATTATCGATGTTTTATCATAACTTAATCACAATTATAATTTATAAATGACACATAATATTATTTGGAAAGCAACTTTGATGCAACTTATAATAATGCATATTTCACGCATGAGTGATTAAAATCAATTTGAAGAGAGGAAACCGAAAAGTTGTTTGGCGGGCGGTATCTGAATTTCAAAGAGAAAATCACATTTCTAGAAGGTTGAGTTTCTGCCCTTTCATATGACACCTCATTCAGGAAATATGAGCTAGGAATAACAAAGTTCTGATTGTTTAAAGTAGTGTTTGCATTTCCATAATTTGATTAAACGAATTCGTTTTCACTGGTTGCTTGCCGTATCAACAAACGAAATTAACAAAAGACTTACTCTGTTTCGTTGACAATCAGCCGTAGACGAAAGACTTCATGCATGGCTGATTGTCAACGAAATGGAGTTAAGTCTTTTGTCAATTCTGCCTTTTGCTACGGCAGGCAGCCAGTGAAAACGAATTCGTTTAATCAAATTATGGAAATGCAAGCACTACTTTAAACAAACAGAACTCTGTCATTCCTAGCTCATTTTTCCTGATTGAGGTGTCATATGAAAGGGCAGAAACTCAACTTTCTAGAAATGTGATTTTCTCTTTGAAATTCAGATACCGCCCGCCAAACGACTTTTCGGTTTCCTCTCTTCAAATTGATTTTAATCACTCATGCGTTAATTATGCATCATAGAGAGTTACATCAAATGAAAGAGGAGGGTCTAAGCTTTCCAAATATGTGTCATTTATTAATTATAAATGTGATTAAGTTATGATAAAACATCGATAATTCTCGGTTTCATTTTTTCTGGGACGACAACAAGCCACTGTCATCATCATCATATTGTGAAATATCGACTTCAAATAAATTATCATCCCAAGAATTAACAGACGTATGGAGGGGGGTTCATTTTGGGATTCTGACCCCTACATGACATGTGGTATGTGATTGACATACCTTTAGTAGTGGATTTCTGTATACAGATAGCAAGCCAGACATAACCTTTGGAAAGAGCTGACAAAGAGGGGAATCTGGGTTCCCAATGATATCATCCTCCATTCCAAATCCAACCTAAAAAATAAACAAATACTTTGAATCAATACTAAAATCATATTATAACACGAAATACGTACTTATACGTTACTTTAAATGTATTTGGTAACATTGTAGAGCCCCCATCACACCTGACTTTCTCACTACGTTCTCGAAAATGTTGCCAAACGGGCTCAAACTGTGTGCGAACGGAGTTGAACGTAATAGCAACTGTTTGCGACCTGTTTAAGGACTTTATGGACGGGCTAGGACTGGACTAATGTCTCTAATACGATCCTAGTTCGTTCATTAACAGTCAACAATACGTGTAACTCGTCTGTACCGTCCACAGTCAGTTCATATCAAGTTCAGATCGAATAAATTTGATATTTCCAAGCAGTCCAAACCATTTTTACTAGTTCGGAACTTGTTCTAACTATAGTTTATAACCCAACCACCCCGTTCAGAGACAGTTCAACTCGTCCTCATCTCGTTCTTAGTGCGTTCGAACGCGCTTCTATCGCTTTGCAATCCCGCCCTGGTTCGAGTGCTATACAAACCCAGCATGTTCTTCCTCATTGATGCTCCACCACATCACGTGGTAACACGTTCCTATAGTAGTATCCAAGTACGTCCATCTCGTTTAAGTTCGTTGTCACTCCGTCCAACTGCAGGACGGGGAGAATTTTGAACAGGCTCAAAGTTCTAGACCACCCTTCCCGTCCAAGCCAGTCCGAGCCCGTCCATGAAGTCTTTAAAAAGATCATAGTTGCTAATACGTTCTCTCCGTTCACACACAGTTCGAACCCGTTCGGCAACATTTTCCAGATCGTAGTGAGATCTAGTTTGGTGTGATAGGTGCTTGACTTGAACGTCTTGATCTGCAAAGCCTAAAGCGTTGAAGTTGAACGGGAATGAGGAATGGCGAGAACGCGCTGAGTTTTTACAACTCCCGAGTCAGGACGGGATTACACACGCTCTAGGAGCGCGTTCGAACGCACTCAGAACGAGATGAGGAAGAGTTGAACTGCCTCTGAACGGGGTGGTCGGGTTAAAAACTAGTTAGAACAAGTGGCGAACTAGTTAGAATGGGTTTGGACGTATTGGAAACGAGGTAGAACTAGTTAATAATGGGTTTAAACTGACAACAGACTGGTTTGGACTGCCTAATCTACCCGATCTGAACTTATTATTATGAAAATTACATTCTATATAACAGAAAGTTGATAGGAAAGAACAAAAATAGTAAATGGAACAGAGAGAAGAAAAAAATGAGGAGAGAAATAATTATAGGAAAGCATGTTCACTTATGAAGAGAAAGTTACCAATTGGGCTGTTCATGTGTCTGTGATTACATCATAAAAATAACGAAGTACCAATAGGCAGCGGGTACATCATTAAAAACAAGCAAAATCATCAAACAGACAACAGCTTTATCTGACATTATTGTCCTGGGAATGTACTAGCAACAGCTGAGGCATGTACGTAAGTGATCAAAATACTAACATGTCATTGAATTCCACAAGAGGTCATTTCACACATAAATACAAGAGAGGTATCAATATCGAGCAATTAAATACATTTTCGCCTTAAGGGAAAAAGTCTCCAAGGAGAGCGATATTTGTAGAATAGATGGTAAGGTGTTCCAAAATTTTGGCCCAGAGTATCGAATGTCAAATTGAAATCTTCGGGTTCTATGTTAAGGGAGATGAATGTTTGCAGCGCTTCTCGTATTATACGTATGGGTTTCCGAGTTGCATTGAAAATTGATAAAATTACTAAATTGTGATTGGAAGATGTTATTCATGCTTTTATACATGAAAATACCCTGTTGATGCAAGTTGATATCACTGAATCTCAAGAAAATAATTTGTTTAAAGATGGGACCAGTTTGGGAACGATAGTGCATTCCGGGTATTATACGAATAATCTTCTTCTGCAATAGTGTAAGCGTTTGTATTTTGTACTTGCAGGAATTCGCCCAAACAAGATTACAGTAAGAACTAGATTTGTAATACTTGTTTGGATCAAGTATAGGTGGGCTGATCCAACTAAAAGTTGAGACAAAATAAGGGCACATTAGAGATATCTTATTGTCTCAGCTAAAACATACTCGAAGTTCAGCGTAAACGAAGCTAAAACGACGTAGATATTGCTCGCGAAAGACGGGAATGTAGAATGTAGAATCGAGTTTTGAGAAAAAGTAATGTCCCATAGAGAATATACGCAAAATGTGAAAAATTGACATGCCTCCTTTAATTGCAAAAATACGCCACGATGCCTTTGTCAAAATGAAGAATAATAACCACTGCTTTTGTAGAGAATTGTCTCAGGTAGAACATATCAAAATTTTGGAAGAAAATTGATCAATATTTTTAGAGATACAATCAATTTTCAAAAAATATGCTGACATCATAATATGCAAATTGAAATTATGAGTTCGGAGGCCATTATGATGACGTCATGAGAAAATTGAGAGTCAAATGAAACATGAAATCATATCTCCAATTTATTCTCTATCAAAATATGAAGAAAAAAATTGGGGTCACCTTGCAGCCTAAAGAGCTACAATGGATTTTGTATAGGCATGTTTTGCCCATATATGCTATGTATAACAAGAGCTCGCGCGCACGGAAATTTTTGTTAAACGGTCGATCATTCCGTTATTAATAGTCATAAAGAGACAAACATGGTATCAATTTGTTTGTAAAAATATGTGGAATATTATGAAAGAAAAAAAAATGGCGATCCTATGTTGTGTAATAGTTTTACGCGCGAAAACGCGCGCGCATGCACGTGTGCGCGATTTTATATAAAATGCTTAGAATGGCCTTAAACGTATGCAAAATTATTTTGAGACGATTTTGAGCATTTTTAAATTTTTACGCGCGCATTGACGCGCGGACGTACGCACACGCGCGCGTTATTTGACCTGAAATTGACCGGACTGATATTGACCTTGATCATGATAAATATGAATGAGAAATACCTTTTGGTTATGAAGATATGATCATGAGTCGATTTTCCGAAAAATTTACAAAATGGCGCCTAGATGACGTCATCAGTCAAGGTCAATGATGAAAACGTTATTGTGCTTTGAACATATGCCTATACATATGTGTGCCAAATTTGAAGGCATTTGATTGAGCCATTTTCAAGTCATCGTGCTTACAAAAAAGTGGTTAGATGTAAGAAAAATAAATAAAGGCAATTCTAACGAAATTATAAGGTGGTCTGTACGATATACAGCCCACCTGATAAATAAAGGCAATTCTAACGAAATTATAAGGTGGTCTGTACGTTATATACAGCCCACCTGAAAATATGGAAGTATAAGAGCACAATGATAAAATACGTAGAATGTGATTGGGCAAGAGATGTTTGAGTCTGGATATAATGCCAATGTTTTTGGACACCTCACTTTCAACTTCGTGAATATGGTATTTCCAAGACAAGGAACTATCTAAATAAACGCCAAGAAATTTGACTTTATCTACCCTTGGCAATATGACATTATCAAGAACAATATTGAAATCATTTAAATCTGCATTCTTTTCATTGTGAAAAATCATATAATTACATTTCTTTACATTTACAGATAATTTATTAGATTTGAACCATTCACATATATATGCAAGACCTGCATTTACTGTATCCATAAGAGACTTCAAGTTTGAATCTCTGTGAAATATGTTTGTGTCGTCTGCATACAGTATAAAAGGCAATTCATAAGCAGATTTATAAATATTATTCACATATAATATAAATAACAATGGCCCAAGCAGGCTACCCTGTGGAATTCCGCATGTTATTGTCCTAAACTCCGAAATAGAAGATTGATATTTGGTACATTGTAATCGATTGTTAAGATAGCTGGTAAACCATTTAGGAGCTACACCACGTATTCCATAACGATATAGTTTAGATAGTAAAATATTGTGATTAACTATTGTGTCAAATGCCTTAGACATATCTATAAAACCTCCAATTGCAAATTCATTTGCCTCAAAGGCGTCTATGACTTTACTAGAAAGACTGGTAAGAGCTATACACGTTGAATAATCCCTACGGAAACCATATTGATGTTTATTGAGAATAGAATGTTTGTCAAGAAATTCAATAGTTCTTTTATAAACAGTGCGCTCGAATAATTTAGAGAAGACTGACAGTACAGAAATGGGCCTATAGTTTGTAAATTCACGCTTGTCACCAGATTTAAACACCGGTGTTACTTAAGCTTTCCTTAGCTCATCTGGAAAAATTCCGTTTAATAATGAAAGGTTGAATATATGGCATAGGGGTCTACAGATGTACATAATGACCTGTTTAATGACTCTTGGACTGTATTCGTCCAAACCTGCAGCTTTATTGTTTCCAAAAGTACTACCAATGTTACAAATTTCGTTTTCCCTAGTAGGATATAAATACAAAGAGTCAACAGGTGGATCATTCATATACTGTAAATAATTCGTTTGGGTACCTGGGATTTTATTTGCTAAAGATGGACCAATATTGTATTGAAGTCATTAAAGGAGTTCGAAATAATGTCTGTTTCTGTAGCGATGTCCCCGTTATAATTAAATACAGAATTCTCAGCTGGCTTACTTTTGTTAAGTATAGTGAATTGATCGTTTGCCACGTACGATTTACATTAGATTTATTAAGTAAAAATTTGTCATGGAAATACTGAGATTTTGCTTTACGAATTAATCTGCTGTGAGTAGGTTACGATAGTTTTTATACACATAAGCATTTTGGTCTGATGGGTTACGTAAATACATTTTGTATAATTTATTCTTATGACGGATCGACTGTAACAGTCCATTCGTCATCCAACATTTTAATTTCTTGTTTTGTTTTTCTTTCTAATACAATTGGAAAATGCGTATCATACAATGCACGAAATTTATTTTGAAAAATATTATAACTATCGTTTGGATCTTCTGCAGCATATACATCCCTCCAGTCGACTTCGTGCAAATTCCTAATTAAGGCCTCAATATTTCTCTGATTTATAATTCTGTGACCTATGATTACTTTCGATGATTTGATATTAGCAACATTTAACTTTGAAATGGTAAAGACAGGCAAGTGATCGGATACATCACAATACAATAGACCAGTATCATGAAATGAAAGTAAGTTATTTGTAAGTATATTATCTATTTAAGTGGCAGATGACTTCGTAATTATCTCTGTTCCATTTACTATTTTTGTTCTTTCCTATCACCTTTCTGTTATATGAAATATAATTTTCATAATAATATCTATAATGTTCTCTCGGTAACTGTGTTAATGTATTATGGGCGTTCCCAACTCAAGCTATGCTTTCCGGGTTTTCGCCTCCTTCCGTATCTGAAGTATTTACTATATACTCTATGTTGAAATAATTGTTACATATATACATTGTGTTTCATATTGTACTGTTGAGAAGTAAATAAATGTTAATAAATACAATACAATACAATAGTTATGAACAGGCTGTGGACGGGGTACAAACGAGATGGACGTATTGAGGACTGTTTACGATCGAACTAGGATCGTATTATAGACATTTTTTACACATTCTGCCCCGACCACAACCCGTTTTACGAATTCTAGGACAGTTCCAGAACGTAGTGAGAACTAGTTTGGTGTGATGGGGGCTTAACCTGAATGGGGGGGGGGGGAGAATGGTCCCAGTTGAATTACACATACCGGTATACTACATGTATTTCTACTCAAGGACCCTATAAAAGGCAGATTTAAAAGTATGAAAGAAAATATGAATAAAGTGTGTAAAAGAGACAAAAAGAAACATTTGATTTTTTCAATAGCTGTGACTCAAAGTACACCAGGGTATGCTCTAGATCAAGAAGTCCAAAAAAGCTTAGCCAATGGTTTAGATAGCTTCCGCAATCATTATACCACAAATGAAGTCAAGAGGTAATTTTAAGATTACATTAAACAAAAATTGAACTAAAGCCATTTCTAAAAAGGGATGGCATTCTGAAAATTATTAATGTCATAACAAACTGAAATTAGAACAAGTCATTTGTCAATTTATGCACAAAGCTGGCTGTGTAAATGAACAGTTAAGAAAAACATCTGCGCAAGCACCAACACTAAGAGTCTATTCCATGCAATTTCAGTTTCCCATAATAACTTATTTCTCAATAACATGAAAGATAACACAGTTTGTAACATACAAGAATGGCCCCAGTTAATAAGAGGACTTTTAGTACACTGACCTTTCCAATGACTTCCATGGTCAACCTTTCAAATTCCTTGGTCATGACAACCTCAGTCTGACCATCACTTAATGGGATCAAATGAGTGACCAATTTATCTGAACAGCTATTGAACTCGTTCATCATGCCTATTAAATATCTGCAGAAAAGACATCACAAATCAATTCTTAGTAGTTTAGCAAAATGTATTGGCACAAAACTTGAAAAACATGTATATAGAATGCAAAAGGCATTATTTTTATATAGATGTTGGTGCATCTAAAAAAATAAACCAAATAATCTGAATAACTGGTTTGGTATTCTTTAACCTAATTGAGTCAGTAGAGGTTTAGCGTAACTTTAAGTCCCTACACTGTATATCATGGTTCTTCCTCTAATATGAAATCTAATAGTGATTTCTCAATTTTTCTTTCAATGGTGTTCCGGATGCAAATCTGCAAAATCACATGCCACTACATTTCACTAAGATATATATATTTTTTCATACTACATGGAATTAACATTGACTTCTTTATACACTTCTTGATCTTCTTCCACTCTAATCCTCATTTGCCTCGTACTTCATGTTAAATTTGAAAGAACGTGAATATATCTGTTTTCTTAGGATAAAGAGTTTGAAATTGTCACTGTTACTAATCTGTTGTCCATGTTTCTACAGATCAAAAGAAATATTAAAGAGGAAAATGGCATGGACAGATTGATAACTATACCGTTCCGATTAAACAAAAGACCTTTTACTAGTAATCATAAGAAAACATGTTCACTTGTGACAAATTGGGGAAAAGTCCTTCTTAAGCAATTCAAAATGGATTAAATCAAACTGTGTTCAATTTCTAGTTGGCAGGTCAGGTGCATATGCATTGGTGGAATTATGGTTGGGACTTGGTAAACAAGCAGAAAGTAAAATATGACAGAATTATAAAATGACTGTTACCCTCCCCCTCTCCCCTTTCGTCTTATGAGGCAATTAGGCCTGCATTTGTAGGAGTCTTACTTGCGATGGAAAGCAGGATTAAAGAGAGCACGTTTCTTCATCCAGACCTCATGGTTCATCTCAGAGAGCAGACCATTACCTAAGGTCCTGGCTCCATACAAAGACTTCAAGGCACGGTACTGATCAGGCGACTTTAAGTATTTGCTTCGTGTCAGAATTTCCTTCATAAGAGAAAAAATTACTCAGATTGCATCATGATCGAAAGTAATTAAAAATCACAAGGTGCCATTTGTACAAGAAATGTTCATCTCACTCTGCTTAAATAGAAGGTTATTAAGTAAATAGGTTAGTTAAAGGTAAGACCAGTACTGGAAATGCCCCAATTTCAAAAAATGAAATGGAAGCTCTTATTACCAATCATGTGAAAGAATATGTTTTGAATATTACATGATGATAAAAATGTTGACGGGAAACCGCCTACTAATTGATATATTTGGTAAATTAGTGTATCTCTCGCCTGTTGAGAGATATGAAATGCACGTGTCGCGCACGTGTGTGTAGTCCCATATACATCTTTCTGTGTACAGTGCTTCTAACTTTATGAAGACTTGGCCAAATTTCTTATCATTTTGATAATTCCAGAACCTTGCAGTACATCTATGCTAGATGATCAACCTTTTCTGATCGATTTCACAACGTTTCTTTCACAATGCAATCCCATGACCATAACTGGTCTTTAGCTTTAAAGATACTCTGTCCCTTCTGCACTGAGCCAACATCAAATTCTGTAGAACTTTGCAGGAATTATGAATATGTCATGTATGTCTTACATGTATCTGTGAAATTTAAACATTAGCAGTGTACTAATATTCAAATTAAGCAAGGACATCCGTTTACTTTCTAGACTTCCCTGTCAGACACTATTGAGTGACTGACTGACATCTTTTTTTATCTTTGGTAATAACATACATAAAATGAGCTGTAACCACTACTTGTAATGGCCAAAATGTAACTGTTGAATCTTTGAGCAGCACAAAACTTATGACCATAAGGATATTACTTAGGTGATTACAATCACTTATGTCGATTCGACAACTAATGGTCATTATTTTCCTACAAAAAGCCATTTTCAAACCCTTTTATTTTGAGGGAAGTTTTAAATTTAAGCATTGTGTTTCAAATGCCATTGGAATTTAACCTTTGTATTTTTTTAACCTTTAAAACATGAAAAATAATTTGTGAGCTTTCTTGTTCTTTTCATGTTAGTTTGGAAGTGTGTTATTGTATAAATGTTGCTCATAAATGCCCTCACATTCGAAATATGATGAGAAATACATGTAGCTTAAACGTTTGGACCAAACTTTCATGTCCTGTGTATGTAGCCTTGTAATACACATTTTTGGGTGCAGTGCATGGGCCTTTCAGAAATACTGAGTCAATTTATATCATATTGCGATCATATCAAAACCTCACAGTACATCGATTCTGAAGTACTACATAATCACCATTGCCCAAATGGCTTCCAGTTTATATTTAATCACATGACAAGACTGGTCATGACCTAACTTCTTTAAGTACATCGATCGATGTTGGGAACTGGTCATAACTGGTGTCAGAAATGAATGTGTAGCTGGGTTATTTGTTTCTAGTCTAGATGTCTAATACAATGAAGGTTTACAAAATAATGCTAATAATGTGAATTTTCCCTTCCTGTCATGACTTTTGACAAATTACATTTCTAATCTTTCAGTATCAGGGATAATCTTGACCTGAAACCTTGCCATCCATATATCCTCTCTTTTGTTTTGTTCTTTTCTGAAAGGGGAGTAGTACTAAAGGATGGGGGGGGGGTGGTAAAAATAAATTATGTACTTATACACTCAGGCATTTCTCCATCCATATTATGAAGTGATTAGTAAAGCAAATGGCTCAAGAAATCATGAAATGATTTTGACAATAAATTCAGGAAGCTATACAATCGAGAAACAATTCTATCCACAGTTGCAAGTACAACCATTGCCCTATTTGAGGTATACATCTAATATCAATTTGTAGTCGAAATTGAAACTGATAGCAAAATGATGGAGTGCTATTTATGGGTAATAAAAAAAAATTAAAAACTCTCCTCAGAATACCCCCTATGTTTTAATACAATAATAGTTCAATCAGAATAATAATTCAATTCTAAACTGAAGTTACCTTGATAACTGTTGAGTCATCACAAACGATTGTAGTTCTGAAAACAATGTGGAGACAGTACACTGGACCCAGTTCTTTGCTCCTAAATATTAATCAATAAGTAAAGGGGAGACACATCGATTAAAAAAGAAATCTGGTTAGTACTTCAGCACCGCCTGTATATAAAGTTGCCAGTCAGTTTAATGAATTGCAAATAAACTATCAGAAATTCAAACAGTGTTTTTATCCATTCAGCATGCCAATACTGGGGGTCCTAGGCCCCTAGGAATGAAGTACAAAACCATAACTTCTACACTGCTTCAATTATAATCAATAATAAATCATGACGGTAGTCCAGTTATATGATTTACGTTGGTTGGCATGGCTCAGTAATATAATAGTATACAAATATACAGTGCCTTGAGAGGTTCTGGTTAAAACTATGCGCAAGAGGTGACTCCAATAGTACTATTTGCTGAGGGGCGCAGCCCCGAAGCAAATGGTACTTTTGGAGTCGCCGAGGCCTATAGTTTAACCAGTACCTCGAATAGAAGGCATGGTATATTTGTTTTATATCCTGCATCACAAATTTATTTAAAAAAAAAAAAAAAAAAAAATGTCAATTTTTATCTAAGAAGATTTAAAATATTTTATTTTCATTAAATTAAGATTTGAAGAAAAAAAAATTGATTCAATTCAAAAAAAAAAATTCACATTTTTTTTTCAACTCCCAAATAGTAAACCAAAATAGTACTCTCATATAGTACTTTCTAAAAATAGGTCAAATATTTCTGGTCATGTGACGAGCTCTCAACCAATCAAAAGCCAACAAATTTTTGATGCAGGATATAATAGCAATTATTACTGCAATGCTTTTTCCAAAAAACCCAATTGAAAGGTAGAAGAGTATTTCTTACCACTCAACCATTTTTTTCGTAACTGGTCCATTTTTGGCAACCTCTTTGAAGAGGGGTAGATGTCCAAGCAAGAAGCTGTGCATAAATAAGATAATTGAAACTATAATTATGCCATTGATTCATTTTTTCTTTTCTTCTATTTGACTGTTCTATTTCTCTTGGGACAAATGTTAGTCAAAATGAGGAATAAAGAGCTGATGGTGTCGAGGGAGGGGGAGGGGAAGGGATGGGGTGAGGGAGGGAGGCGGGGAAGGGAGGGAGGCAAGGTCTCATATGTCAGTTATATATAATAGAATTCCCCACACCATACAATTATTTCTGTCTAATTATCACCTAGCCCTGGCATTGAGGCTAGTAGTATGGTAGCAAGGCCAAGATCAGATACGCCAGAGAAACCACAAATTATACAGCCAGGAATGTAAGCACAATCCCTGACTGCCGTCAACTCAAAGTTATTGTGAAAAAATTGCTTGTAAGTTGTACATTAATTTGAGTTAATTTCATTTAAATATATAATATACCAGGCCAAGTCTCACACTTTGAGCCTTTTCCAAAAATTAGCGAGTCTGTCCTGCGGCAAATTAAAATGTCCAAATTTGAGTTTGCTCATATTTATACAGATTAGCAATGTGACATGACACAACCCATCTAAGGCCGCACGGAAAAACCTAACGTTGAAATAATGACCTGATGACACCACTAACTTTAGCCTAGGCGTTTAGCAAAGTATCTCCTTTTGAAGGCGTGTTTTGAATCGGAAAATCATCGATAATTGAGTTTGCCATATTTCAACATTGCCTTTTATTTAGTTAAGCCCATTTTTAAAAATCACAGTTCACAAAACAAGGGATAGCTTGCAGAAGAATCTTCGAAGACCTAAGACTAGAGTAGCTACTATATAGTAGACCGAAAGCTGCAGTCTCTGATATCGATGGTTGTTCTGCTGAGATTACATCTCGCTCCTCTGACCGCCTCTATACATAGACTGAACAAGGGCAAGTCCAGTCCAAAAATAACTTTACTTTCAATAAAAGCAGAAAAATCAGACAAACCAATCAAAAAAAAATTTAGCAAAATCGGATAACTAATAAGACAGTTATGAATTTTTGAAAAAGTATGTAAAACTATGGAACAATGAGAATCACAACACAAATTGCCAAGATGGTTATCAGTCTGTGACGTCATGTCCTCACAACTTATCAATTGCTTTACATAGTTTAATCCCATTAATTTGCCTTTTTATCACCCAAAACTTGATTTCCCCATGCCTTTGCAGGGGCGGATCTAGCTTTTTGCTAAGGGGGGGGGTTGACCAATAATGACGATGCAGAGCATCGTCCACGAGCCGCGAAGCGGCGAGCCGATTTTTTGGGGGGTGTTTATTTGAACCCCGTAAGGGATGTTTTCCTGGCATCTATTAACACAATGGAGACCATAAAAAGCAGTGCATGAACACGTCCGTATTACACCCCCATGTATGGTAATTTACCCTGTATGCCAACTTTTTTGCATGATTCAAACATAACTTCCAGTAAAAAAAGATGCGAGACTGGATTGCCGCAACTTCTTTGCCCTGTTTGCTTCCATATTGCTTGTCACTACACTCAGACCAGACTGATAAAAAAGTGAGCAACTTGAACAAGTAATCCAGGAAATCTTCACAAAATCCCCACCCAAACGACACTTAAAATATCCCCAAAGTTGCCAAATTTTGACAGAAAATCCCCAAATTCGTTTTTCATAAAACTCAATATTATTTTCATTCCCAAATATTTATTTTTCATCCCCAAAGACTTCAACAATCCCCCAATTTTTTTTTTTTTTTTTAATGTGGGGATTTTGGGGATGAGAATCGGCAACGCTGGCCTAGCTTGTCACTTCGGCGGTGGCCCGTGTCCTCAAAAAAGCTGATGGGGGGGGGGGGGGGCAAGGGACTCTGTGACATTTGTTCGCCCAACCCCCCCCCCCCTCCCCCCAAAAAGAAATAATAATAATAATAATAATAATAATAATAATAATAATAAATGAAATAAATACATAGAAATAGAATAAAATAAAATTACAAGTTTTAAAAAAAAGATAAGATTTAAAAAAATGGTCCCCAGATTTTTTTTTTTTTTTTTGGGGGGGGGGGTTGCAACCCCCCCAACCCCCCCCCCCCCCCCTCTAGATCCGCTTCTGCTTTGCCCAGGTTATATAATTTGTGTCATATTGCGTGCATGACATTTCCCAAAAACCTTTATGAATTTTGAAGAATTGATATGATTTTCTGAATATTGTATTTCATATTATTGATTTTTATATAAATAGTTTATCAAAATCATTTTTTTCTTGATTTAATTGGACAAAAATTACTTTTTATTTGTGCATCCACACAAACACATATTTCTAACAATCTAACTTGGATGCTGGTGTGAAGAAATAAGATTCTTAGGATGAAAATAGGATATTTATATTATCAATATACAAAAAATAATTAGTGGATAGTGAGGACCATACGTCACAGACTCATGAGTGAGTTGCCAATTTGTGTAGTGATTTTTAAAGTTTTTCATGTCATTAAAAATTCATAACTTTCTTATTAGTTATCCGATTTTGCTCAATTTTTTTTTATTGGTTTGTCTGATTTTTGTGGTTCTATTGAAAGTAAGTTATTTTTGGAGTGGACTTGGGCTGAAGTACTTCCTATGGGGTACCGTGTGGAATGAATGGTTTGGTTCGGCCGGACTGATATGATGAGATATGCAACAAGTTTTGTTTCCACTCTTTACGTCTTCACTTATCCACTTTGGATTCAAAATTATATTACATATTAATTTTAAAAGAAAAGATTTACGATAGCTTGCCGAGTTAGATCCTAAATTATTGTTTAATCCGAGAAAGACTTGTCGTCAACATTGAAGGCATGAATACATAATTATTATTGTTTTAAACCAAGAAGGTACACCATGGTAATAAATTTTAACAAACACATCAACATATAGACATCTCGCAACCATAGCCATTGTAAAACCATATATTAATGATACATGTAAAATATAGATTGGAGCAATTCTCGTCAATTGGCTGAGTGTGATTTATATAATGAGTAATATTTGCATCTACCTGTAGTTGAAGAATAGATACAGTGCATAAACTGGAACATATGGAGATGTGGAGAAATCAAGTTGGAGCTCAATTGGAAGGAAGTAACGAGGATTACTAAAGCAAGGGAGACTGGGAGACGAGGAAAGCAAGAAGTTATGGAAATCGAGAGATGACTCGCGAGATAGCCTTGCATTAGTTAAGGAATTAATCCTTTATATAATTTTGTCTTCAGAGGAAGTAGACCAATTTCTTTTTAAATTGGAGATAAGTGTAAGTATTAGACAAATCGGAAAAAGAATTAATGAGAAAATTATTAATTTTTTTAAATGGAGATCAATACATGTAAATTAGATGGGGAATCTCCAACTGGCATTTATGTGCGATGTCACACGTACGTGTAACGCATGTCACACACAAAAAATGAGAAGATAAGAGAGAATAATGTAAAAGAGAAGAAGATAGAGGATGGAGGGAAAGGGGAGAGACAGAGAGAGAGAGAGCGAGAAAGGAAGAAAGGAAAAAGCAAGAACATGAAACTGAAAGTACGAAACGAAACGAAACGGACGAAAGTACAACAATACGAAAACAGAAGTTCTATAAAATTGTCTTTAAGGATACTATTTCCCTTTTGCAGCCAGCATCAAATTCTGGAGAACTTTGCAGGAATTATGAAAATATCACGTATGTCCTATCTGTGAAATTTAAACATTAGCAGTGTCTTAGTATTCAAATTATGCAAGGAGACCCGTTTACCTTCTAGACTTCACTGTCGGAAACTATTGAGTGACTGACATTTTTCTTTGGTAATAACATACATAAAATGAGCTGTAACAGGTACACGAGCAGGTTGGGATGGGGGGGGGGGGCAAACATTCCAGGGGGCTCACATTCCAGGGGCAGTGACGTAGTGAGAAAAAAGTTCGGAAGGGGGGAGGGGGGCAGACGAAAAACCTGCATCACCACCAGTCTTACACGTAACATGCAGGTCCCGCGGAACGTTTTTCAAAGTGGAGTATTATCGATCAGGTAGAGCGTAAATTGGCGTGGGGGTCCAGGGCATGAGCCTCGGCAGGGGGTCAAGGGGCTGAGCCCCGGAAGCTCAGGGGTTTTAGGTATTTAATTACGGTTAGATTAGCATCCAGGGGCCCTCTGTAAGGCAATTGACGTGTTCCAAGGGGGGAGAGCCCCCAGAAGCTCAGAGGTTCTAATATTTAACTACGGCCAGATGAGCATCCAGGGGCCCGCCTTAGAGCCCTTGTTGGGGTCCAGGGGGAAGAGCCCCTGAAAGCTCGGGGGTTTTAGGCATTTAATTACGGTCAGATGAGCATTTTTTATACCTTATTTGTGACATTGGCAGGTCACTTATATTTTTCTCCGTCTTTCTTTCTTTTTCTCTTTAACATACTTTTTCAAAAAGGAGGGGGGGAGGGGCTCAAGCCCATACACTTTGCAGACCATGACATAAAGGCTTCTAAATAAGCGTATTTCGCCTGACTGTAATTTGGGAGTTTCTTATTTTCCAACAAACGCATAAAAAGGTATGACTTACAAAAAAAATGGAGAAAAAATGCCGGAAAATCATGTCACAACATCAACATTTGTAAATCACTTGTTTGGAATAAGAAATACATCACCCCCCCCCCCCCCCCACTCGGTACGCCAGCGTTCAGGGGCTCATGTCTTCCCACCCCTATCACAAAAAAGCGGACACGCTTTCCCATTCTCGCACAATATGTCCACGATATGCGCGTATCGCTATTATAGAGACCTCCATTGATAAATGCCGTATAGGTGGCATGCGCAATGTTTATGAAATGTAATTCCTGTGAACTTTCCTTTTTCTTTGAATGGAATTGTAAATGTGATTTAATTCAGGTTTTTATTATTGTTACGTTCTTTTGGTTTAAAAATACAAACCATGTTTACTCCTTTACTTTTTTTTTTTGGAGGGGGGGGGCGTTTTTTTTTTTGGGGGGG